CAACTGGTGTCCCCAAGCCTCCCCCGAGGCCAAAGCCTCGATAAATCGCATCCTTTCGGATCTTTACGAGCAACTTACAAATATCGACTCCGATTTTTGGCTCTTCACATGCCGCCCACTATCGCGACTTCAAGCTGCAAAGCTGTTACCAGTCGCGGTAGTGAGCTTACGCGATCATTTCATCGCGCGATTCCGACTACGACCGTTTAATGCCTTTTCTACTTCGATCTGTACACCACCTTTTTTTGCGCGCCTCGCACTTGATTTACGGGCGACGCATTCCGATACGCATTTTAATACATTGCATTCCGATCCAGTAAATCCTAGGCTCATCGCCACTCTAATTCCCAGCTGATTGGGAAATGGAGCATCAGCACGGTTTTATGCGGCATTATGGGAATTTCAACTATCTTCAAACGGCGTTACATTAGACGGAATTGGGTTCTCGTGGGATTTTACAGATTTCGGATTTTTACTATCGCGGAAGTCATTGTTTTTTTCGAGCACTTCGCATCGGACTTAGCTCAGGCTTCAGTTGCGAAAGAGAGGGCACTAGACACATTTCTGAGAACAATCGCTTGTTCAGACTAGTGCCACATTGTGGATGATTCGGGCCGCTAGACTTGGACCTTTCATGGCATGCATTATCAGGAACCCAAATCCTATCCCTTGTGTCTTGGAACACATTTGTTGTTCCGAAACCCCGCCGACAACCGCTTCTTGCTGCCTGCTTCTCAAATAATCCGTTTTAATATTTGTATTCGGAGTCATTGGTTCAAGCAGCAAATGGTTTATCCAGGGGTAATTCTGAGAAGGTTAGGGATGGAATACAAAAAAGTTTTGGGTTTGAGATGGAAAAGAGCGGCCTGCATATAGACTTTGGTTTCCCCTTGAAATTTTCTTTTGTTTCTGCTCACCCGGCTCGGTTGTCCGCGAGGACTTCGGCCCTGAGGTGTTGAGATCATGTACACTCTGATCGGGTTCGGAATTGGTCTTTTTCGGAAAATGTACAGTGTATTGGGCAGCTTCCTAAGGGATGCTTGGGACACATTACACGTTTGTTCTGTTTGAGGGTTGTTAAGCCACATCATTGGGCGCGCTGGGCTGGAACCTGGTTGATAGATACCCCCCCTGTTTAGACTGTACAGTACAGAGACACGATAGCTACACAGCGCCGGCATGAATCTTTTCGAAATGATGGATCTGATTCTTTTTTTACTACTTCGTTTGGCTTTTTTTTGTTTGATAACTGTGAATCATGAGATGGTGAAATCATTTGTGATTGAGTACTGAGCGAGAAAGATTGTACCTGAAAATAGTAACTCTCTTGTCTTAGAAGGATGGTGTTGACTTCGATGTCATAAGAGACCTGTCATTACGATCGGTTCGATATTCTCTGTTTCATATCATTCGATGCTCGCTAGGATCAATAGCCTCTGGTCTAGTAGAGACGGATACCTGTCATTCGGAACGGGAATCATCTCATGTTCGGGATATTTCTTTTTTACTTTTTTTTTTCTCTTTCTTCTCCTCTCCATTCCCCGTTGCGGCTTTGATGCGGGTGCACAATGCCCATGTGTCTCATCTCGTTCATGCAACTATGCAAGATCTATTGTACATCCCATCCCATCCCGTTCCCCGTCCCGAAGTCACTCTGTGTTCAACTACCTACTGCCTACCTACCTAGGTACGTAGGCCACTTACGAGTCTTGGTGTTCCTCGTAGGTAGCGGGATCTGCACATGCAAACACTTACTTACCCTCGGACCTCCTATATTCATTAATTGGCCCGCCAGCAGCAAGCAAGCAAGCAAACAAACAGATAGACGGAAAACGTCACTAGTTAGGTAGTTATCTATCTATCGAATACCTACATACATAGGTGCCCAGCAATCAGATCTCCGCATCACACGTTTAGACCCCCCTCCCCCTTCCCTCCCCTCCCCTCCTTTCCCGAAGCGTCGGGTCGCGTACAACAAACCTTATATTAGCCCATTTTAAGTGAGATCTTTCATCCCGTGTCGTGACTTTCTTTTCTCGTCTATACCTATAGTTAGACGGGTAAGATATTTCCTCGTGCATACCTATGTTTGAGTAATACATAAGTAATCAAGGCGATGAGATTCTAAAAAAGGGGGGCGAAAACTAAAAGCTTTTACTCGATGACCTCACCCGGCTGCTCTTAATATATAGGGGTCTAGATGTATTTATTTATTTTTTCTTTTCTTCCCTTTTTTTTTTTTTTTAATTTTTTTTTAGAAACATTACCAGTCACTGCAGCTGCCTAGGCACAACGAGCTGCGAAGCTAATGCAAGCTTAAAGGGAGGTTACGCCCTCCAAAGTGTTCCCAGCGACCGTTCCGTCGGGTCGGCCACTTAGCTTGGAGGAAATGATAAGGGGAAGTGGAGACCCCCCGTCTCGGGAACGACCGCCCTAATTCACGGGTACCTAACCACTAACCTTACACCTTACAGGCAGGCTTTGGCTTATTCTTTTTTTTTTTCGTCTTTTGTCATATTATTTCTTTTCTTTATTGCTGTCCCTGACCCGTCGTCTCATTTCAAGGGGGGAAATTTTTTCTCTCGCGCAACAATCCATCCCATCCCATTCCATGAGATTACATTGATCCGGGCTACGCCTCTGCCAACGTGGACTGACTGACTGACTGACTGACTTACGCTGGGTTTTACTTTATGGTCGGCGACCTTCGTGCGCGAATGTCCAGAATACGGCCGAGTTTTTTTTACAAAAAGGTGCCGAGGCAATAATAATATACACCACATACTATTAGAAACACTATCTCGTCGCATTCCATTCGGGTCTCGGTCTCGATAAAAGAAAAAAAAAGTTCTCGGCACGGGGACACACAATCCTATATTTACCTCTCTACATATCCGTATGCGTTAGGTACAACCTACTAACATATACATACAATATGTGTATGTACATTCGGTACATGGATGCAGCTCAGTGGCTTGCGTCAATATGACATAGTAAGTATTGTACAATGCATCAGGGCGCGTTCCCCGTACACGGTACTGCACCCTTCCCGCCTTCGAAAGGCCGCTTCCCCTGCAGTAGTCCAGGACGGGAAATTTCGAAGGGAAAAAAAGACCCCTGTGTTCAAGGTTGTTGCTGCTGCTGCTGCTGCTGTATGCTACATACATAGGTAGGCAGTATGCTATGCGAATTCCGCTAGCTGCGACGTTGAGAAATGCATAACGCATCATTATCCCATGGCCAAATGCCATGGTTCCCCCTCCCTCCAGGGATGGTGATCATTACGCAGTACACTCACACACACTCTCGTAAAAAAAAAACGAGATATCTTGTGTAATCTGATTGTTCAATTCACAGCCCGCGCGAATTCCAGAAATAGGTACCTAGGCCAATCCAGCTTGCCATTTTCGGATGCCGTCCCATCTTCCGCCGTGGGGGGCCACCACCACCACCACCACCAGAGGGAAGAAGGGAAAGGGAAAGGGGGGGTCATCCGCCCATCCGCCCAGGCTGGCTTCCTGAGGATCGATCGATTCTCACTCACGAGAACGATGTAGTCGCCGGTGCGGCTTTTCGGGCTTGCAAGGTACCCGTGTACGTATCATATCGTATCGTATTGTATTGTATGTACAAACGGCGCGCGATCCTGGCCGTCCCGAATGCGAGCCGGGAAATGAGTCTTTTCGTGATTCTGCGGCTCATCCGCCTTCTAGGATCTAGACGAGCGAGATTACCTACTATGAGCTTCTTTTCGGTTCTTGCTTTCTACCTGCGCTACACTACATACGCTGCGCCAGGCTGATACCTCTTTTTTTTCCCTTTTCTACGTAAGCATCCCGCAGCAACTTCATGTTATGATGAGTCTTATTTTAGACGCCTACTTCTTGCTTCTTCACCCCCCTCCCCCTTTTACCTTACCTTCCTTGCCTTACCTTCTGCAGCCCCAACGGGATTTCTACTACACACACCCGTTTTGCCGGGTCATCTGATGGTGATAATGATGACCACCACGTGTGACGCGTGCGTGCCGTTCCGACGCGGCCGCGCCACCGAGGCAATACCTATACAGCAGGCTATAGTTCTATTTTCTAGTATTCATACGAATACACTACCTTAGGTAGGCGGGCTGGATAATTTTATTTTTTCGTTAACAGGGCTGGCGGAGAGGCTTCCCGACGCGGCCAATTCGTGAGTCGAATTTCCTCTTAGAGAACTCGTTGGCCCCCCCATGTGCTACCCTACTAGGCAGGCAGGAGGGCGGCGGGCGCTCGAAGGATGGGAAATAAGAGCAAGGGGTGGGAAATTTGCAAAAACGCAGAAATTTCGTGGTGGGCTTTTTTTTTTCGCTGATTTCTGCAAACGCTCCTAGTCTGCCGCCTGGTGTTGCAGTTGCACACATACATGTATTAATATATAGGTACGTATGCAGTATACATACCTCATAGGTAGGCAGGCTGGCATGCAGGCTGGAAGAGGCGGAGGGCTGGGATAAGATGGATTTTGGGGTACGACGGCACGTGTAACTGCGCGTAATAACTGGCGGAAAGATGCGATGCGATGCGATGCGATGCTACAATGCCCCCCAATATATACTTACGTAGCAGCGCAGGTAAGTAGACATACATACATACAGCTCAGCCCTCCTTCTCCCGACTGCGCGCCGAAATCCCGACCGATTGGATGCGACGGTTTCCACGCGAGCGGCGATGCATGCGCGCGCGCATCTGTCCTGTGCTGCTGTCCTGCCCACGTTGCAACGTGGTCTCTCGCAGCCGTCCCTGCAGCAACGTATGTACGTATGTACGTTCTCCACGGGTCCTGAGCCATGCTGTCGGATCCTCTGGGGAGAGAGAGATAGAGATGGAGATGGAGAGATTGGAAGTTTGTACACCTCCCTACCTACCAACTACCTACCAACCACCAACCATCAACCTGATTTCCTAGCGCCTTTTTGTTTGTGTATGTAGTGTATTGAGGGGAAAGATGGGAAAGATGGATAGATTAGGTAGGTAGGTAGGTAGGTAAAGTAGGCAAACAGGTGGTGTCTAAGTTGGCGTAAAGGACATGGGGGATTCGGCCACGTGTTGCTCTTGTGCGACGACAACCTTCGCTCTTATACCGGGATCATCCTCGGTAGCCGTGCCGGGCCTCCTTGCGTCAGAGTTGGATAAGTACTCTATTCTACTCTACTGTAAACTTTGCTATCCTTCTATCGTGGGTTCGGGGGGCGTTCGGGCTCGCATGTGACTGCTTGGTCGTGTTTACATATTGCGCGGGCGACGCGACGTCACGTACGGGCAGGCAGGACTCGATAATGACGTACCTTGAACCATGGATGGCATGCGGCTCCAACGTGTTCGTCTATCTAGGTACATATGTAGTAGGTAACGGTCGGTTGATTCGGGCTCGGTCTGGTGTCGCTGGGTTGCATCGTGAGGTGTATATTAGGTGCATATGTATGTGTGTGTATATGTATATATGTATGTCTGCCTCAAAGTATCTGCTACAAAGTCCAGATGGCAGCTCCCTAGGGGATGTACCCTACCGACCTGCGACTTTTATTCTATTCGGTGCATAGTGAGGTGTTGGCTGATTGGCCATTCGTCGCCAATAGGAGAGATGATACGGTGTCTAGGGCCGCTATTGGAGCGCATTTATTACTCAGATGTCACCGAGGCTTAAAGGCGCATAGCTATGTTACGAGCATGTCTAAGGGAGGCCTCATGGAGCAGGTAAGTTCACGAATGCTTATTAGGAAGTCAATGTACATGAAATAGAGCCGCATGTTTGTATATAGCACTTATTGAAGTACTCCCCGAGAGGCAGGTATCATCTAAGCCGCTTAGGACATAAGCCAAAGTAGACGGGTACTTAATTATGATACTTAACTGCTGACAGTAGCCTGATCAGCTCTTCTACTTATAACTACTAACTACTAGTTTGCTGCGAGAAGCTCCTATTCCCATGACTAAGCCGCAGGCGTAATCCGTGTTAATCCCGTCTGTCTAGTGGGTATATATTAGAAGTGCGTGAGATATTGATGACCGAAGCTTCCTAAAGGTATGCTCCATGATGACAATATCGTAAGTAGGTCTGATATAGGTTCTTAACTATATCCGGGAATGTAGGTCTCGGAAGTAGTTGTCTTGTACATGCGAACTACCTTTCAATTAAGATATTCTATTTTCGAGATATACGAGCAGAAGCTGGAACTCGTGTATCTTTGAAGTATACTCTCCCCAGTAGTTTTATTAACTTATATCTTGGTACGAAATCGGGGGCTTGATATATCTCTCCTCTTAGCACTCTCAGTGTGTTAAGGACAACATCACCACATGTTTTGACTCCTTGGAAAAGAGGAAATTCATGAATGTCTATTCCATGCTTCACCGCGAAGTTCTCAACGAAACTCTTTGCTCTAGTTGACCTTCGTCGATACAATTGTTCCCCCATTGGTGGCCGTGGCATACTTACACCCTTATACCTAGCCAACTACGGTTTACTAACCTTCAAGAATCTGATAGGCTTGGTAAAGGAAGGGTCTTGATAGACAAAAGCGATAAGTTTTTTTCGAGATACCATACGAACTCTCTAGAAAATTCTCATGTATCATATTAGTCTAAGGGCAGAGAAGTGGTAGTGGTCTACCACCAACCAAGAGTATAGGAAGTCGGGTTGTACGAAACTAGTCTACACCAATATTATTTTGTATTTCTAGCATTCTCGTCTTCGGCACTACCTCATATTACCAGTTTAGATCATTCATTACCTAGTTAGAGCTGGTAGCTATCTAGAACAGTAGGTATAGGCACATTTATTACACGAGATATGCGGGCTGGCCTAGTGTTTTACTATGATAGAAATGTTGAATAGAGATGTAATCGATCTATACATATATACTTGATTAGGTACTGGATAGAACTCCCCTGCGCCCGAAATTCGCATTCCGGCACCTGGTCACACTGGCTCTGACTGGTACGACTATAGATACGCAGTTCATATGTCTCTTGAATCCTTCCTTGGGGATAGCCAACAAATAGTCAAGGAAATGCTTATTGCTATATTCCGGGTGCCTTCGATACTTACTGTCCCAGGGCTAGGCGTCAAACCGTATTTAATTCCTAGGCTATATCGACGCTTAAGAATGAGAGCTTCTAGCTACACTAGTAGTCAGATCTCAGTGAGTTTCATTAGGCCGTCGTATTTTCAGAGTTGTGTTTTTATCCCTTGCTCGAATGCTCACCCAGCGCAACCTACCCAAATATCATTCATGATAATGAGTTACGATTTGACTTTGTTCAAAATAGCTTCTTGTTCCGCTAAACGGATTCCAAACGCTGATCGAGCATCCCTATGGCCCTCTACTATATCTGTTCTTGCAAAGACATCGTTCTTCATCTCACAGTGAGTATGACTGCTTCTTGAGTCCCTCATAGGGTGTTTATATCTACGCAAATATACTGGCAATACTCCAATAACAACTCGACATACACTAATAACGTAGGCCGGTATCGTAACTAGAGTCGGTCAGTAGTATGCGTTGACTTTGGTGTTCTAGACGCATGGGCGGTCTAGCAGAGAAAGAAAGGAAGACATCACATCTAATGCGCAGATTGGACTAAAGCAGAGCTGCTTTCATCTTCTTATACAACACCACTCTAATAGTCACGATAACGCGACTCAATTAGTAACCATACATACAATACACAATTCGTTTACCTAACAGCAATCCCCAACCCCACGGGTTCGCAAACGCGGTCAACTCGACACCTCCCCCCAAGGTGAAGCGACAACGGAATCGAAGGTCAACCTGGGGAGGGGACCTGACCGCATTTACATTACACCCCAACTCACCGGCCTGGTGTATTGTATTTAGACCCCGTAAAAAGGGGGCCGTCACATGTCGTTCCAGAAGCTTCACCCACACCTTTGCGAGGCCCGCCCGGCCCACAACTCCACCTCGAAAAGGAGCCAAGTTGGGGATAGCGGCCCGCACGCGTACATAGGAATCACACCTGTACGTCCGAAAAAGACAAGCAGAAAAAAAAAACAAAAAGATGCCTATCGGGGAGCTTTCTTCCTCCCCCAGACGGCACGTGGCGAGTGGACCGGCTAGCTATATAATGCATGCCTACATATGTACGTACGCACGCTACATAGTTTCCGACCGCGTCTGGCCAGATCGCTAGGGCCGACGATATCGGGATGGAGGAAGTTCGGGATCGTCTGGGCGGTTGTTACTGGAGTAACATTACGAGGACGATGGATATTTACGTGTGCCAACAAAAGAACACAAAAAAAGCTCCTCTTATTGGTAGACAGAAAAATAAAGTAGGGATTCTCGTGACATGTTCACGAATTTATGGGTAATTTTAATGACTGTTCCCTTTACTACGCAAATTAAGTTGGTCTTCTAGGTAGCTCGACTACCGACAGAAGGGTTATTTCTGACGTAGCGCCTCCACCGAAAAGACTCTAGACCTACCTGATAGACGAGTAGTAACACGGGTAATCTTCTTTTGGTAGCATTTAACTAACCAAAGAAAGAAGAGCAACCAATGTTTCCTACATAGTTACCATTCTAAAAGTGCCACGATATCGAAGCCAAGTAGCGACATCGTACCCTATGTTAAAAAATTGAGCGTGACAACATTTGTCCTTTTGCGACTCGTAACGTAACTGAAACCGTGCCGCTCCGAGAGGCGCATGATATCGATTGGGACGTAGATTCGTGGCTGACGTGACGGCTACTCTTTTGCGGACATGGTTTCCAACTCCTTTGGGTCTGAAGAAAAGCTTTGACGTACGGACCGAGAAGGTTCAAGAGTCTCTAAGAATTTTCGACTCTACCTAGACCAGCTGTACCTAGACTGAAAGATGCCACAGTAATTCCCAATTCGGGCCACGTCGTTTTGGTGTTTGATCCACCCCGGGGCCTTTAATTAAAATATGCTCCAACACTACATAGTACCTTCGGACCAATTTGTATTTATCGTCTACGAAAGATCTACGACGTTTCGTTGCGGGGCTAAGCAGGAGAAAGGAGTTCGTAATCTTCATATCTCGGTAGTCACGATAGCGTTCGCGCTGCGACAGCGGCTGTTGGTTTCGATAGTGCGCCGTGGTGGCTCTGGTTGAGACTGGTGACTCGCTAGTTGATACCATTTAAATAGTGGATGATAGTAGAGATAAGCAAAAAAATAAGCCTTTCCCCAGTCCCCATGACCGGGTGCGGCCAACTATGTAGTGAGACCTACCTGTTCGGTTGAATGATTCAGCCAGGTGACTTATACCCAAATGCTTGGCAATTTAGCCTGACTAGCAACATTCCTAACTAGGTCTTCCGTCTCGGTCTAGATTAGAGCCGGCTTCATGCCGAAAATAAGTCGGGGCGGAACGGGAGTTTGTGGGTACCCGGTGCTTTAACTTGAGCCGAACCCACTTTATTTGTCTAGACTCGTGAATGAAAACAATTTGGGATTGGCAAATTACGGGTGATCGGAGTCTTACCTAATAGACCTAACAAAGACCCCTGAAGTTGATCCTTTCTATTCTTCCTTTTCTGCCCTTACTTTCTTCTCACACCCAACCCACGCTGCTTCGTGGGAGGCCCACTTGCACATGCTCCCTGGCTCACTACTAGGGCTGCTTCAAAGCCTCGATACCCGCGTTTGTGCTTCGAAGAAATTGCAGTAAATTGCCAAATAAGACGTGATGAAGGCGAAACAAGCTTTCTTAAACTGGGGCGCATGGGACCCCGTGGCGTGACTTTCCGATCTGTCAGGCCACTTTGTCAGCCTAAAGACCCCTAAAAATGGAATCTCTTCCTTTCTTTTATGCCCATTGGCGCCAGAGCTTCCCAATCTAGCCACGACACTTTCCCAGGTAGAGTATCGCAATAAACATTCTGTCACATTCGGACCCAGCTGCCGAAGTCGGTCTCGCCTTTCGTAGTCATAATTCGACCGAGGTGAAAAAATTCTTCGGGAAAACCCTCCACGAGGGATGATGAAATCCTGAACAGGGGTTCGCGACGGTTTATCTACGAATTTTTCTCGTGCTGTTGTCCTGTTTCGCAAACCGTAATTCTTTTTTCCCATTTTTTTCTGCTTATCTCCAGTTTCCTTTGTAATTTCTGGAATTATTCGTATAATCAAAGAATATCGACTAGACAATTATTAGAATAGACGACGGAGTCCTCATAGATTCGACACCCTACGGCTCCAAAGGCGCAATACATAAAGGCGCACTGCTCTCTTTTATCACGATCTCATTACCTCTCGTCTTCATTGTACGTCGCCTCTTCTCCCTCTTTTTCATGTTCTAACCTGGTCTCACTCAGACGATACTTGCTGGAAGGAAATTCGAAATAGAAAAAACACCCTCGCCGACGCCAAAATGATCATCACACGTCTTATCTCTCTTACGAACTTCGCCGTCGCATCGTCCGCGCTTGGCTTCCAGGTTTTCGTCTTGTACCCATGGCATATCCAGCTGGACAACTCGTTTGAGGAACTCAAGAAGGAACATCTCAGGGTTCTGGATGCAGTCAGGGAGGTCGCGAAGGAGATTGATCCGGATTCGAGGAAAGGAGTGGCCGACTCCATTTTGGGACGCTTGGGAATCAGCGCTTTCAGTGTCAAAAGGTGATTTCAATTTAGCAAGCATGCAGTAACGATAATTGTCTTACCCTAACGAGATTGATACTTATACCAACTCTTCCACAGTTTGTTTTTGCCTAAGCCAGAATCTCCCGTTACCCAGAGTGTTTTCGACAACAGTAATCCTGTAAAATATGTCGCAGACGGCGTCGCCAGTATCCCTCCCCTGTCGATAAGTCCAGGGATGAAACTTTCCGAGTTCGCAAGATACGCTTTCTCGGGGGCTATCTGCTGTTCATTTACTCATGCCATACTGACTCCAGTCGATGTGTAAGCCAAAATGATTTCGCATATTGGCTATTGCCAATAGGAAAAGATTGAATATTTATGTATAGCGCCAGGAAAGCTGATGCATTAGGTACTCAGGGTCAAGACCCGGGTTCAGCTCGAACCAGTTAAATATAATAGAGGCCTAGCAGGCGGGATGCGCCAGATCGTCGTCAACGACCGTGCTGGAGCACTCTTGACAGGATTCGGGCCGACGGTAACGGGATATTTCCTGCAAGGAGCATTCAAATTCGGTGGCTACGAGTTTTTCAAAAGACAGACGAACGACTTTCTAGGACCGGAAAAAGCGGCTGCAAACCGGAGCGCCGTATACCTTGCCTCCTCTGCTGCGGCCGAATTTCTCGGCGATATTCTGCTTTGCCCATTCGAGGCTGTTCGTATTAGATTAGTATCCCAACCCACATTTGCTCCTAACATGCTGTCCGCATTCGGTAGGATGGTCAAGCACGAGGGAATGGCCGGCCTTTACTCTGGGTTCATGCCGATAGTGTTGAAACAGTAAGCCTGTTTTTGTACTATTTGTGGCTGTGTCAAGTAGCTGACTTGCATAGGGTCCCGTACACGATGGCGACGTTTGTGGTGTATGAAAAAGCTCTCGAAGTAGCGCATTCCTGGATCAATAAAGAAACAGCATCGAACACAACACTTTCGGGAGTAAATCTCGGTTGTGGTCTTACTGCTGGTATGGCAGCTGCGATAGTTTCACAGCCCGCGGATACGGTGTTGAGCAAGATCAACAAAGAAAAGGGACGACCGGGTGAAGGAACTGCACGACGTATCTTCAACATCGTCAGTCAGCTTGGCTTACGCGGAAGCTACGCCGGTATTGGACCTCGGTTGGTCATGGTGGGAGGTATGACGGCCGTCCAGTTCGGAATATATGGCCATATCCAGAGAGTATGACCCCTTGTTGCTATTTCTCCGTACGATCCAGCCGAGAACTGACGATTGAATGTAGGCTTTGGGCGCAACTAAGAGCACTACTGAAGTTAAGCAAGAAAAGCCTAAGGTTATGGAGGCAGTTAACCTCCTGCAAACCGCAAAGTATTAATGTCAAAACAGGATAAATAACTTATACGTTTGGTATAATACCTGCCGTATAAATTTCATCAGGGACCGGATGATGCTGGCATCGAAATCCGGTATTTTGTCCTAGCGCAACGTTGCGCGTGTGATACCGAACAGATGTCATGCGAAAACGATTGGGCACGAATTTAATAGATCCGATGTTTATTTGTATATATATTGGTCGATAGGTAGATGGTAGAGATAAAAGGATAAAAGGATTCGGGTATATAATTTAGAGTATAATAGAGGAATAAAAGGAGGCTTGATAGTATTGTATTGTTGTGTTGTGTAATGTTGGCTCGCTCCTTAGACAAACGATGAAAAGTTATCATAACGAAGGTATATTGACAACTGTCAAAGCAGAAGAGTAAAAAGTAGAGGGGAAACTGAGGGAATATACCTACCTACCTGGTAGGTTACGTGGTAAGGAGAGCACCTTCTTTGTTATGGGTAGCCTGTAATTCGTGCAGGAATGAATATGTAGAAGTAGCAGCCCCGCCTTGAAGTTTACTAACCTTAGGTAATTTGTACCTTGACTACCTTGACTACGGATCCGTACATCACCTATGATCGCCACCTTTTTCGGCCCCACCCCCACTATCAATTACATACTGTAGGTATGCAGCGGATTTTGAGTCAACAGTCAGTCAACAGTCAACTATCAACATTACCTCTCCAGTATTTCCAGCGCAATATTCCACGACGCTCTTCCTTTATCTCGGCCTCAATTTTGCTATTTGAGTACCTCGGGAATACAGAATGTCGAGTAGGCAGTTAAGAAAACTTCAAAAACAAAAAGAGCTGGAGGAGCTCCAGGCGAAGAATTCTCTCGAGGACGACGAATCGAGTAATGATGACCGGCCCGCCCAGAAACCGAGAGCAAGCGCATTCTCCGGATTTGCAGCGCTTGGCGACCAAGATGATCAAGATGAGGATTCCGACCATGACGCGAAGGAAGACGAATTAGTAGAGGCCACAACAAAGCCAAGTATCGAACCCAACCGTACCGACGCGCCTAAGAGCTCGTCGAAGAAGAACAAGAAAAAGAAGAAGAAGGCTAAGAAGCAAGATGGTGCTCCCGCTAAGGCTGAACCTATTGCGCAAAGCGGACCGGATGAAATTGATCAGGCGCTAAGAGAGCTCGAAATTTCCAACCCTAGAAAAGAAAATGACGACGAGGATTTTCAACTGAAAATCGTGAAGCCTTACGAGCGAATTTGCGAACTTCTAAGCATCAATGCGTATCACCTTAGAGTAATCAATGAGATGAGCAACCTATTTGGCCGAGAAGCTATCGCTGCTGCTCAGATCGAAGAGCAAGAACAGACGCGCACTAGAAGACAAAGACAGCCGTTGCCCCAGCAAGTCGACCTAGAAACATACCTTAAGGGGGTACCGGGAAAGGGCTTACCTGAAGTAACGCTGCGGCGGAACCCCTTTTTGGCTGGCAAGGAAACATGGCCACGTGCTTCTACGGAGGGCCTGACTATGGAACAAATCAAGGAGGAAAAGGAAGGAGTAGCTTGCCTGCCGGGTACTGTCGAGTTCCGCTTTGCGCATGATACATACTACAACAGATTGGAGGAAGCATTCTACGACCTCGTCCAGATGTACGATCCTATGCAGATAGTGCATTTTCTACATCTCCATCCGTATCACGTCTCTAGCCTTATCCAAGTTAGCAGAGTCGCAAAACAAGACCAGAATTCGGCGCTTTCCGCGGACTTATGCGAACGAGCCCTTTTCACCTTCGGCCGTGTCTCTCTATCGACTTTTCGCCAGAAGATAGAGCAGGGGAAAGCGAGATTGTCGTTCAACCGTCCGGAGAACCGTCAGTTTTGGTTGGCCGGATATCATTACCTTAAGAATCTAATCATGAAGGGCACCTACAGGACGGCACTAGAATGGGCAAAACTTTTACTCAGCGTGGATCATACTGACCCGTACGGGGTTATCCATTTTATCCACCCGCTCGCCATACGGGCGCGCGAATCAAAGTGGTTCATTGACCTTTGCGATTCGGAGATTTTAGACGTAAATCATGCGGCGCAAGATGGCCAAGATTACATCAGGCAGACACTTGTACTAGCTAGGCTTCAGCAAAAGGACACGGCTGGTGCCAAAGCACTGTTGGTCGAGGGTATGGAGCGCTTGCCTTGGCTGTATAGCTATCTCTTTAAAGCACTCAACTTAGATGTTCCCAAGGCTATATGGGGCATGCAACCACGCAACCGAGATGAGGAGCTTCATACAAACGTCTACATCCATCAGACTAAGCCGTTATGGGATAACACGCAAGCAATGTCTCTCCTGAAGGAGGTAGCGGGTGAGGCAAAGAGGGCGGACGTCAACAAAGCATTCCCCTCCCCACCTACGGTTGGGTTTAATCTTGCACGATTCGTCTTCCTACTAGAGATTCCCTCTTTAATAGGACTAGTACCGCGCGACTTACTAAATACGTCAGTTAATTGGGAGTTTGACCCGCTCCCACCGCCTCTAGAGCAAAATATCTTCTCGTACAACTCGCAGATGCTGCCGTGGACTCCCTCACAACCTGAAGATCGACTTAGGGCTGGACTCGAGCAAGGGGATCGCCGACAACTTATGCAAATACTAGCCCAAGCAAGACTGGCCGGTGCACCTGAGGATATCCAAGCGGATCTCGAACGGGCCATCTTGGAGGAGGCCGACGGTATAGGTGGAAATCACAATGATGGCGGTGGTAACGATGGCGAAGCGAGCGAGGATGCATTTGAAGACGGATCTCAGAATGAAGCTTCTCTTGGTCGCTGGTCAACAATCTTCCAGGCCGTCATGAACCTATTCGATATGAATGAAGATGCTGCCGATGATTTCAATGTGTACAACGGACCCTTTGGGCCTAGACCCGGTACTATGCCCGGAGCATGGCAGGATGAGGAGTCAGACGAAGGGGAGACGGATGACGATATGCCTCCTTTAATACCTGTAGGGGGTTCGACTAATCCTAGAGAGTCTGGAAATGAAGCGAATGATAGCGGCGATGGAACGGACGACGAGATGCCAGGATTAGTGTGAACCGGTATGATCTGATTCGGTCGGTACGAATAGGCATAGCCGGGAGAGGCTACCGGGACATGATATCGGTATTCGATGCATACGCGTGTAAATAAAGCTAGCGTGTCCCCCATTACTGCAATTCCTGCAGGACAAACCCATGGAATCGCTGCATGGAACAGGTCGTTGGCTTAAGGCGTGAGTACAAACCTACTCTGTAATATGTACATACACTACACGTGGAAATGGGCTTCTTAATGTCTATATTTAGTGATGTGTGGCACTTCATCCGTCTGCCTATAATTCAGATTCCTAATTTTTAATTTTGCAATTTGCAATGAGCAAGTTTTTCCTTCTCTCCCTATTCGTAATTAAAAACCCAAGGCTAGTTTCGCATCTAGATGAAAATAATAGGGGGTGGAGGATGGGGAAACTTGCTCAGGTTTCATATTACGGCGAGCTGTCTTGTTGCGGCAGCACGCGACAGGTAAGGTAATAGGCGTCAGACGTACTGTTACAGTGCGTATACTGTTAATACTAGTATATTTTGTGTAGGAGACTATATGGTAGTTACTGTGTGAATATATTGGAGACGAAATGCGCCGCACTGTAGTATACTTTGCTGAGTCTTTTATGCGTTAGTAGGAGCCCACCTGAAAAGGCGGGGTGATGTGGTGGAATAGGTACATGGTATCAGTCAGTTTAGGGAAGTAGCTACCTGAGGTGTTAGTGTGTTTGGTACCTGTAATAAGGAATCTGGAACTTGGAATGGATTGGAACTTGGCCATCTGTTTCTAGTCCCGTCTTAATCACGACTTTTAGGTACTTTTTTTGCCTGAGGCATAACTGACAATTATTAATACACTTACAAACAAACGTCCATCCATCCAACACACACTCCCGGCCGGCCGTGCCACCATACACCATTCACCATACTACCCGAGAGGCATATATAATAACCGTCGCTTTTCCTTCTTCCGGCCATCTTACGGTAACTTGTACGTAGACAGACAAAAGCCAATCTTTACCTCGTTTTTCGGAATCGCAACCAGACAACTTTCAACTAACTACCCTGCTGATTTACATCGTTTAGATACCCCTCATCCTTTTTCTTTTTCCGCAAAGCCGATACCTACCTATCTATCTTTACTATTCGCAATGGCCGACCAGGAGCACACTTACAAGTTCAACGTCAGCATGAGCTGCGGCGGCTGCTCCGGCGCCGTTAACCGCGTGCTGGGCAAGCTAGAGGGTGAGTTATTCTTCATGGAAACGCACGAATGGCGTAAATGCCTAAATAAAGTAAGACGGCTAACTAACAATCGCGCAACGAAAACAAACAGGCGTCCAGAGCTACGAAGTCTCCCTCGAGAAGCAAGAAGCCCTCGTCGTAGCCAAGCCAGGCCTCGACTACGAAACCGTGCTCAAGACGATCAAGAAGACGGGCAAGAAGGTCAACTCGGGCTTCGTCGACGGCGAGTCGCGCAGCATCGAGGTGGCCGAGTAAAGCGGATCGCAGAACCACAGCAAATACAATATTTTGGGCATGGCAATGGCATGGCAATGGCAATAAATAGGACGCGGTGTGGTTTGGATGGAGTAACTCCCCCGCTGCTTGCGAGGAATACATACATAGATGCATGCTTCTTGTTTAGGCCTTCGATATGGTCGTGCGTGTTATTTATGCAGCCGGCTTTCTTTTTGTACTCTGTTAAGAGGTACCTAACCTAACCCAACACTCGGTTATTATGGTGAGATCGATGAAAACGATCCGGGGCGGGCCGTGGGAATTCCATACATACATACGATAGTATAAAAGTCAAGGCTCGCGACTTATGTATAGCCCGGCATGGATCGATCTTGCATATGCGATGCGCACCTGTGCTGACAATAGAGAATACCTTTGAGGTAGTTTTATGGATGATTGCTATTTATTGTTACTATGTGTTATTGTTATATGTCTGTCTTGTTTGAGTACATAATGTATGAAGAAGGATGCTGTGGCTTCTGTAATGACGAGCCTACTACCTATGTACTGCTATGTTGTCCGTGATATCCAACGAAGTAAATGCTCGTTTTTCTTTTCTTGATATTGCCAAGTCGAGTTAATGGTCAACTATAGGTTAATAAATTTGGGCCTCTTTATAACAATGATTAACTATATTTTAATTACTTTCTGATCAAATATCTTACAAATTTGAATCTGGACATATTCACTCCTCGAGCTCTAACAACCTTTGGTTCATGATTACATTAGTACATAGGTACCTGTTGGATGTTAGGTGCATCAGGTACCTACTTCATGTAGCACCTCACTAGCGCCTATCCCGTCCAACCGGGTTGCGGCATTTTCGCTACGCAACTTACCAACGATATAAACGCTATTTTGCAGCTAAATTTCCATCCACCGCACTAGGAAATCGGCATTCCTGAGAATGTCAAACATCATCTCGATTGGTCTAGTGGTCAGGATACCTGCTTGTCATCGCACAAGTACGCAGGTGGCCGGGGTTCGATTCCCCGATCGAGAGCATCTTTTTGACGATTTATTATATTCGCTATCTAACAGTTCGTCAATAGCGGGCTTTCTTTTTTTTTCTTTTTTTTTTTTTTCCCTTTCGGGGTTTTTTTTCTCGTCATATTTCTATCATCTTCCTCCATCGTATTTCCTACTCAGTATATTTCTTTCCGTTGAGGCAGCGAGTTAGTCTTTGCACCAGATAGGACACACTAGATAGATTAGCTCTCTCCAGTATGCGCAATTTACCATTCAGAATCAGAGCTAAGAATCGCAGCAGACCTATCATGACTATCCTATTTTCTCATAGGTTGAACTTTCTATGAACTTGCCCGTTTAGGAAGTTGTTAAACTACCTGAAGTATCGGGGTTATTTCATTATTCTATATCGTTCATATGTCTCATCATAAATTTACCTAGGTTACCAACTAATCTGCTTCTGCGGATATTAGTAACGCACGAGCCGAGGTCAGTCGTATATCTTAAAATGCATCCGCAAATTAGGTTGCATCATCAAATCTTCATGGTTATTAGCGTCTCTAGCTAAAGAAAACATAATTAGAAATCACGAAGGACAGGCCTACTGGTCTGAGAATTATCATGTGGCTAGCCTCCCTGTCAGTCGAATATAGCCGCCGGCTAGACGGAGAGCTTGACCAAGACAGCATCCAATGACCAATTTTCCAGAACATAGCTATTCCGCACTTGAACCCCATGGGGTTGTGATCCCGTTATTGATTCGGGCAGAGAAGCCCCGGAATTTGGAATCTGTTGTGTGGGGAATGAAGCTTCTCGCTTGAGAGAAGATGAGGTGCTGATATAAGTGCTGGGCACTGGTTGGTTCTGGACCCTTGGATGTTGCATCGTGACGCGGACTCTAGAGTCGAAAGTAGACCGGCGGAGGCATGGACATGAACATACTTACACGATTCGACCTTTCGTTATGAAGAGCACTCCATCATAGGATAGCTAGAGAAGCTTCGCCGGGGCTAGGCCGTGGTATCTGACTGTCTTTCGAGCTGGTATACTTATAGCCCTCCGGGATAGGTCGTATATGTATGATCATCCATTCTCCTGTTACGTAGTGTAGATCATCCAGCGCGCAGCGACGATCTTCTACAACGATGGCGTTTTCTAGTATTATACCCTCTATCGTTATTCCCGCTTTCCTTTCAGCTGTCGGCGTACATGCCCACGGCATTGCTAGTGCGATTGTGATAGATAGCACCTTGTAAGCGAAGAAAAGAAGTCTGTACCCCCGTGGTTGACTCGCATGGCTGACGCTCGGGTATAGCTACGATGGCTATAATCCAAGCTATCAATGGAAGAATCCTCCTCCCACGGTGGTAGGATGGTCCGTCCCGGACGACTTACAGTATGTACCTAAATCATCATACTGATGATAACTATGCGCCAGAGACATTAGCTGATGTTTGAGTCATGTAGAAATACCTTCATCGCTCCTAACCAGTTCAACACTCCGGATATGGTATGCCACCTCGGTGCCAAGCCGGCGGGTGCGGCTGCTCCCGTGACGGGAGGCGACGTAATCGAGGTACAGTGGACGCCGTGGCCGGCGTCACACAAGGGACCGGTCCTCGACTACCTCGCAAACTGCAACGGGCCCTGCGTACGTCTCCTATTCGCACATAAACTAGCCCTATCCTATATTGCTCCGGCTAGCTCTATCCCGCAGCGAGAAGCCCCTTAATATTGATACTAAACTAACCACTCGAAAAAGGAAACCGTAGACAAGACAAAGCTCAAGTTCTTCAAGATCGGCGAGGCCGGATGGGTAGACAAGGCCAGCGACCTATGGGCGGCTAACGTCCTAGCCAACAACAATAACAGCTGGCTCGTACGCATCCCAGAAGACATCGCGCCTGGGAACTATGTCCTGCGGCACGAAATCATCGCGCTGCACGCCGCGGGCAACCCGAACGGCGCCCAGAGCTACCCGTTCTGCTACAACCTCGCTATCGACAGCAAGGGCACCGCGAACCCCGCTGGTATCCCCGCCACCGAGTTCTACGGGGCCAACGACCCCGGCATCAAGTTCGACTTATTTTCGCATCCGACGGCTTATGCGATCCCAGGCGTAAGTCGGATCCGAAGTTTCTATTATTAGTGCTTGTGGTTTTATGTGTATCCAAGCCACGTAACTAACATCTTGTACATAGCCGGCCCTTTACAGTGGCGCGCTCCCTGTGAGCCAGACGAAGCCCGGTCCTATCACCGCCACAGCCACTGGCGTTTACGCTTTTACCGCGCCTGCGCACGCCAGGGCGCTGGTTATACCGACACCGCCACCGCTTGCTGTACCGACTACGCTGGTGCCTTCGGCGAGGGCTGCGTCGCCAGCGGTTCCGCAAGCTACGCAAGTGTCGTAAAGCTAGCCGAGTTGAGCGAGGCGTGTTTGTAGCCTTCATCTAATGCTGTTGCGATCAGACAGTTGATAGCCAGCCGGTTTTCCCCCATAGGGTTAATGATAATATTATGTAGGCTATTCGCGATCCAATGCTACGACATATTTGACCAAAAAGTAGGGAAGCATCTGCAGCCAGTGCTACGGTATGATAAAATGATATTAAGCGGTTCGTATACCGGTTAGACGTCAGGATTAAGTTAGCCCTTACTTGGCTAAGCTTTCTCGTGATGAAGAACTGATGGAAAGGTCTCCTCCGTTTTAGCATTTAAGCACTTCGCCTTACGTCTTTACTCCAGATTCGGCATTTGCCGCGTGCATGGATGAGCGTAGCAGTATCCAATTACGATATTCGAGGTAGCCTTTCCTCCCCCCGTACCGCTAATGTAAATATCCTTTGCCATTCATCTCTTCTGCTAGCCCTGTCCGCCTCATCTTAGCGGCCACGTGGTGAACCCGGCAGACAGACCGGGGATTGAGCGTCGCACGGAAGACCGGCTTAGATGCCTCTTGCGGCTTAACGAGCTATCCGTGCATGCTTACATTGTACGACTCGGATGCCGGCCAGAACAGATTGCAACGTCGTGAAATTTGACGTTGCCGGAAATGGGCTGAAACACAGCGTAGGGCCGTCTCGAGGGCCAAAACATTTGCTGATCCGTCGTTTCGGAAATGACGATTAGCCTTGGCGCCTCCACGATGTTGGTTTGCATTTAAAGCTAACCCCCGAATCGGCCGAGACTAGCGAAGACTGCCGGGAAGAGGGACTGGGCTCACTGGGCTGACTGGGGGCCTTTGCTAGGATATTGTATGGATTCTGTATGGCTCTTTTGGCCTTGAAGAATGCTTGGCAAGCCCCGGGATGGACTAGATGGAGTGGTAGACCAGGATTTAATCACGTGGCGCGCTTATATTCCCGGTTGAAGTTCTAGACTTATCCCAGGTAGGAATGTAGAATTAACATACTGCCGTCGATAGCAGTGGGAACTGCTGAAAAATCCCTGACGGAACGACTCCATAGCGGACTGCCTTTCCAAGTTCCAACACCGACATGGCCTAGGTAGTTTGATGATGAGCTAGCTAGCTTGGATCCTCCTAATTGACGTCTTATGTTATTTTATTCTTTTCTCGTATTTGCTAGGTATTGGTCTTTGATCTACCCGTCTACGTAGTTGTGTGCGGTGGTCAGAGTGGTTGGAGAGCTCCAGGCAGTCAAGTCCGGTCAGATGTTCCGTCAGATAGCGCCCCTGCTTCGTCATGGTCTGGTTCGATCTTATTCACCTCCATGAATCGACTCGCCTGCTGTTCAGTTCGCACATCCTGCTGAATATCAGCTGGATATGCAAGCCCCAATGGATATTGAGATGGATACTGGGAAATCGCCGGCGTCGGTCCAGAGCGGTACTAGGAGTCCCGCTTATAGCTTCGTAGCGCCATCCCGGAGTGTGAAACGACCACGTCCCGTCAAGAGCTGCTTGGTGTGTCGCAAAAGGAAGTTGAGATGTGACCGAGCCTCGCCGTGTTCTCAGTGCCAGAAGACGCAGCGCATATGTCGGTATGCGGCCGAAGGTGAAGTAGTAAGCTTAAGTGATGGTTCGGATGGCGAGGCGCCCGAGAGGAATACCAAGCGGAACCGCCCCGCAGCAAGTCAGGACCCCGGCCAGCGCGATACTAGCTACGAAGCTGTACTCGAGGATCACGCAGTAAGGCTTGAGCGTCTGGAGGGGCGATTGCTTTCGAGAACTTCGTCTCTTGCCGAGTCTAGTAGCATCCCGGCCCAACGCCCCGCGGCGTCGTCTCTTACGATTCGTGGCCTGACGGTGAAAGGAGGTCTACGAACGCGGTTCTTTGGCCAAAGCAGCACACGGGTTCTTGTCAACCTGGTGAGTTGCTCCTTGTTCGACGAAAATCTCTACTATCGCGCCAACCACTTTAACTAACTACGTCGTTAGTTTGACGAAGCAAAGGACTTCATGTTTAGCAGGAATAAATCTAGCGACATTAAGGAATTGTTTCTAAACATCCAGAAAATCCACAAGACTCTTCAGGACGAACATCGAAAAGTTACCGCCCCCATTACTGTGTTCGTAGACTCGATGACGCCGATCCAGAAGCGAATGGCAGATGTCTTACCAAGTAGAACGGTCTGCGACACTCTACTCGGCATCTACTTGAAAGGATCCGAGAACATCTATCGTGTTCTACATATTCCCTCTTTTATGAGACAGTATAACGAGTACTGGGAGGGTAAATCTCAACACGAAGCTTTTCTGCCGCAGCTGCTTTCGATCCTATGTGTGGGATATCGGTATCTCGGGGTTGGCAAAGGACAGTACCATGATCGAGAAGGAATACACATTCCGACGGCTAGTTGTCTTGTAAGAGCTTGGCTTGACGGTCTTCGGGGGAAACAATTAGTTGAATTCACTACTCTCCAAGCCGAGATACTCCAACTCATGGCTCAGAGGATGATTAATCCACAAAACCAGGAATCTTGGACGCATCTTGGCCTCATCGTGCGGATGGCGATGACCATGGGCTTTCATCGAGATCCGTCAGAATTCTCGCAGAATATATCGCCTTTCTGGGCTGAGCAGAGGAGAAAGTTGTGGTACACGATACTCGAGCTTGACGTGCATATGTCTATGCAGTGTAATCTTCCTTGCTGTATACGAGAAACCGATTTTACCTGCCAACCGCCTAGAAACCTCAATGATGAAGATATCCATCCCGATATAGAACAGCTCCCTCCCCCGAAGCCGATCGACCAAGATACCGATTCACGTGTCCAGGCGTTCGCTGCCAACACTCTGCCTATGCGGTTTAGGGTTGTCGATTTAATCAATCGTACCGACAGTCTTCAGGACTATCAGCAGGTCTTGGATCTCGGCAACGAACTCGAACGAGTTTTCGAGGACGTGAGATATATGGTCCCAACGACGCACTCGAACGATATGTCAGAGGTTCGGCGACGATGGATGACACGAGTCGTCTTAGATATGCATTGTCGTCGGCCCCTATTAGCGTTATACCGACCCTTCGCATTAGGAAGCACGGATGTCCCGCAGCAGATCGTGACAGGATATCTAAGATCGTCGATTATATTACTTTCGTACTTGGATGAATTGGATCCTGCTTCCCCTGATTACAACCGTATTTGGCACCTGCACCAACTCGTACTCAAACAAGAGATTCTCCAGGCAGCTTTTAGCATATGCTATTATATCAAACAAGCTACTAGCAGCTCGGCATCGCCGGCGCCGTCGGATCTGGATTCGAATACCAAAACAGAGTCCATCGAGGAAGCGTACGCCATTGCCTCGGAGAGTTCGGTCTTGCTGTCTCTCCCGCGGCTCAAAAGCGCCGTGCAAACCGTGTTAGATGCGCAAATCAAAAGAATACGAGAGATCGGGACGGACTTGAGGGATATAATCGCACTTACCGTTGTGTTCAACACCTGTCAGGGCGGAACTCCAGAACAGAAGCGAGAGGCTATCACAAACGGCTTGCAGGCAATCCTTGACGCAGGCCTACAAGCGATACACGCGAACCAGGAAAATATTGCTTCGATGCCGGTAAGAAATATTTACCAGTCTGTTCCACTCTCTTATTAACCTTGTCTGAATAGATTATGCCGCCGACGGTACCGATGCAAATGAATGGAATGCAGACAGACTCGGGCTTCATGAGCAACATGCAGCCTTTTATAACGGCGCCGGATGCCCTTAATTATGTAAGTTCGTCACAACTCCTTGACGTATATATGAGTCTAATTGTTTAGTTGTTACCGGACGACTTTGCCGCGATGTGGGATACGGAATTCTGGACTCCTATACTTCAACCTGGGCCGTCTTGAAAAGCTCGCTTTATAATTGTATGGCTGAATTAACCCGATTTTTTTTTAGAGCTGTCTGCCATCGAGATGTTACGATGAATGCGCTAGGGGTGCTAGCTGATGCAAATTCGTTGAAAACCTCATCGGAGCTCTTACGGCTGAGCTTCGAACCGCGAAGCCTATTGCTTGAAACCATTTTGATATGAGAACCACTGTACGACTAGCAGCGTGAACTAATAGTCTTGTCGAGGGCGAGGATACCGACTGGCGCAAAAGACGAAGCCAACATCTTGGCGCGTTTTCTAACCACAGCTGACGTCTGACCTCGTGTTCACGTTTTAACGAAAACATATATAAGCCCCGGTCGAAAGAAGCCGGCATATATCTAATTAAATTTATAATGACTACCTCTTTTTAGCGTTTTTTTTTAGCAGATGACCGTGATGATAGGTTGATAACTGCAGTAGATACTGCCTTTGAGCAAGGACGGGAGTTAGCGAGACGAATATACGAGAAATATAAGGAGCGAACCGAGTGTGTGACAAATGGAGCAAGGAAAAGAATATTGTCATATAATATATGAAAAGAATAGTTAATAAAAAATTGTATTACCGATTTCAAACACTGAGATGTAATCGATAGCAAGGAACGAGAACTATGTGTAACATACCTAAGCTGCTAAGGTAGGTACGGAGTACCTATCTGACTATACTAGTTCGGGTAGTGCCTCGGCTAGGGGTAGCCGTTTACCGTTTGCCTAGGCCCCGCGTAACCTTAACCATACAGCCCATATCGTGAAAGAAACACCAGGGTCTTGTACTCCCCCACATCTGGGGAAATCCCATTAAGGAAGGGAAGTACAGTCGGATCATGCGGCGTAGTGCAGCTTCCAGGTTACTGATTATATAGTATATAAGAAAGTTCAATCTCGAGTCTATTCTTCAAAACGTCCCACTTAATCTTCTAAAGGTGCAACTTAGTCTTTCTTCCCAAGGCGAAATTCAAATTTCAACTTTCAATTCAAGATGCCCGCCAAACAGAAGCAGCCCGTGTATGTGCTCGGCGTGGGCATGACCAAGTTCATCAAGCCCCGCGGTAAGGTCGACTACACGGAGCTTGGCTTCGAAGCCGGTGTCAAAGCTATGCTCGACGCGCACATCAACTACGACGACGTCGAGCAGGGCATCGCATGCTATTGCTACGGGGACTCTACATGCGGCCAGCGCGTCTTCTATCAGTTTGGCATGACACAAATTCCCATCCTCAATGTCAATAACAACTGCTCTACTGGCTCTACCGGCCTTTCGATGGCGAGGAACACCATTGCTTACGGTGGCGCCGACTGCATTCTCGTCGTCGGCTTCGAGAAGATGATGCGTGGCAGTCTCCAAAGCTTCTTCAATGATAGGGAGAATCCCACTGGTACCTCGGGAAAGATGATGGCGGAAACCCGTGGTTATACGAATGCCCCCGGCGCCGCGCAGATGTTTGGTAATGCCGGCCGGGAATGTACGTAATTTCAAGTTACCCTGTTTTGCCTCCTTTCTTTTTTCATCTACCTAAGGCGTAAGAATTCGGGGTTCAACTAAGCATAACCACTCTTACGTTATATCTAAGCTACTGAATTTAGATGTAAATTATTGCTAACATTTATATGCAGACATGGAGAAGTACGCATAGCTCTTCAGCCTCTACACCATAGCAAGTTACATGCGCCGTGGATAATTATACTAACTGCTCGCCCTAGGTTCGGCGCCAAACTCGAAGATTTCGCAGAAATCGGCAGAATCAATCACCAGCACTCTGTCAACAACCCATACTCCCAATTCCAGGATGTCTACACCCTAGAGCAAATGCTCAAGTCACCAATGATCCACGAGCCACTCACTAAATTGCAGTGCTGCCCGACGTCAGACGGTGGCGCTGCCGCAGTCCTTGTCTCGCAGGACTTCCTCAATGCTAGGCCGCACCTGAAGGACCAGGCCATACTGATCGCAGGCCAGTGCATGGCAACAGACTCACCGAATCTGTTCTCGCGCAGCGCGATCGACCTAATCGGCTTCGAGATGAGCAAGCACGCTGCCGAGGTGGCGCTAGCTGAAGCCAAGGTCTCGCCGGCCGACGTCCAGGTTGTTGAGCTACATGACTGCTTCTCGGCCAACGAGATGGTAACGCTCGACGCGCTAGGCTTATGCGAACCCGGTAAAGCACACGAGATGGTACGCCGTGGTGACATCACCTACGGCGGCAAGTACGTCGTCAACCCATCCGGCGGGCTGATCTCCAAAGGCCACCCCCTCGGCGCTACGGGGCTAGCCCAGTGCGCCGAGCTAGTCTGGCATCTTCGCGGCTGGGCAAACAACCGCGCGGTTCCGCATACGAAGTTCGCGCTCCAGCATAATCTAGGCCTAGGCGGCGCCGCCGTGGTCACGGTGTACTGCCGTCCGGATCACAGCGAGGCGCAGAAGCGAAACTCGGCGGATATCGCTAAGGCGAACGGCCTCGGGTATAATCCTGCTGTCGAGGCGAAGGGGTTTACGGCTGCGCAGTGCAAGAGCGTGCTTAGTAAGAAGGCGTCGAGCGCATGGGCGTTGCAGGATACGGAGAAGAAGGTTGAAGCGAGGTTTTAAGTTATAGGAGATACCTAGGGGTAGGTTGGTGGGAGTTACATACCAATTAGGAACACGGGTAAAATGTGTGTTTTCTTTTGGGGCTTTCGGATTTAAGGCTTGCTGGAAGGTTTAAGGATCTATCTCCCTACGCTACGGTATTATATGGTACAGAATGAATTTATGAGATGTAATATATAACTACTTCCTAGGTAAGGTATATAAAAAATAACTATATGGTATATACGGATGATCATTATATCGCAAAAAAAGACGTCGTAATTGCTAATTAGCAATTACGCCTTATATACGACACACCCCCTCAGCTGGACAGCGGCTTTCAAATCTAGCTCACATATACACACGCAGGGAATGCAGTGTCTATGTACCGCTGCGCTAAACCGAGGGCTCATAACTATCGCAGAAACGACGCGTAATTGCTTTACCTGGCAATTACGCCTTGTATATATGTGACATATTATTTATTGGTCCAGTGGCTTCGTCTTGTGTTGAGGGCTCTAATCGTCTAGGTTAGCGGTGTTTTACTTAATGGAAAAGAACCAAAGGTAAATTGTAGTCATATATTGAATATCGAAGCGTTTGGGGTTTCGCTACGCTCGGTCGTTTATTTAAGTTTATCGATGTGTTGACGCGGTGTTGGCGTCTCTGAGTAATAATTAAACTATATTCATCCGGACTACTGCCATCTACCTCTCGTGGTCTTTTTTCTCGTCCTTCTTCTCAGTCTTAAGGTCTCTCTTGTCTTTGCTTATTGATTAACGCCGCGTTTATATTATCATGCCAGGCTTCTCAGAGGGAAAAGGGGGGTGGGTTATGATCAGCTTGTAAGGAGGATTCTGGACTATCTGTTTCTCTTCTTCTTTTGCCTTGATATTTTCTAGTGTGTGTGTGTGTGTGTGTGTGTGACTCATGTGAAGATAGGGGGGAAGGAAGTTTATAGGTCATTATATGTTATCTAGCCTCCTGTTTGGGCGTGTCAGGTAGCTAGCTAATCTTATGTTTAGGAGTTTAGGTCGGGTTAGGATTTGGGGAGGTTCGTTCTAAATGATAATATAGTTTGCTTGACGTCTCCTCTAGAGAACCGCTTATAGGAACTAGGGTTTTACTCGGGACCTGGCCTCTGAGTCACGTCGGAGTGGACGTCAATCGTCTTCGCGTCCGTCCATGGTCAAACCAAGCCTATACCTTTGGTAGTAACATGTCTCCGAACGGCTGTCCGAGAGTTAAGAACTTGGACTTACGCTCGCTCGCTTCCAATAGCTTAATGGACACTTACGTGGCGACTTAGTGTGATAGCCTTTCTGCCGTAGAACTAAACGAGGACTGAGGAGAGATATAAATACCGGGCTCCTCCCCCGAAGTAGTGTTGAATGAACGAAGAATCTAACGAATCACTTAGCATTCGTTTTCATCATTTGTTTTGAGCACTCATCATCAGACTTACTTTGCAAATCAGCAAAAATACCTAGCATGGACGGGAATGGATATTTCAACGACGAGACGGTCGTCTTCACTGTCTTCGGGGTCATCACGCTCGTCGTCGCTTTCCTAGCACTTCTCCTCCGGTTCTTTCTGCAGTCTTTCACCCAACGTTACCTCGCTTACTTAGATAGCTTCTGCGTTGGACTGGCCTGGGTAAGCCCCCCCCCTCTTTCCCCCCCCTTTTTTTAAAACTCCTTCTTGAAAGGACACAACGCTGATGATTATATAACATATGTAGCTCCTCAGTCTAATCGGTATTATCTGCGCGGTAGCTGAGAACACTACCAATCACCTTGAGTACCCCCCCGAGATTGACAAGTTCGTCCAGTCTCTCTTCGCCCTCTCTGCCATCTTGGGTAAGCTGTCGATCTGTCTCTCCGTATGGCCCCTCGTCAAAGATGTAAAGTATGTGAGCGTCGTCGTGGTCTTCCAAATCGCAATGCTTTTCACAGTGTATCCCCTATGGATCATGGTCATACCCGCGACATGCGGCGCGTCGGCGTGGTACCCCATGCTCGCCCCCTATGCTCAGTGCTCGGATATTATCATCCGGGCGATCTTCGACTGGCTCCTATCTTGTAAGTGTATCCCTAGGACATGTCGAAAGTACCGCCGTCGCTAACTTCTGTCTTAATAGTCTTTGAAGTGTTCACGCCGATCATCCTTACGGGCTTCCCGATTGAGATGGCTCAGGATACCAACACCGAGGCTTCTATGCGAAAGCCGTTTGTCGGGCTTTCGATCGCTTCTGCTATGTATGTGTTGCCTCCTATCTGAGTATAGTATTCTGGTTGCTGACAACATTCCAGCATGGGCGCATTCATGTGGTCACGGGCATGGATGTCCCACTGGTTCCGTTACGACACTCACTTTGTGCCTTTGATTGGCATTACGACTGTATCTATGTAAGTCAACCGCGTTGCCGTGATCAAATCCGTATGCTAACGTAGAGCTTTCCCTAAACAGGCTCGAGGCGAACTTGGGTATTTTAGCAGCGAATATAATACCTATCGCGATAGATCGCTCAAAATTACCACCAGCTGCTCAACCCGCAAGACCTCAACCCGCAAGACCTCAACCCGCAAGACCTCAACCCGCAAGACCTCAACCCGCAAGACCTCAACCCGCAAGACCTCAACCCGCAAGACCCCAACGTAGGAATTTGCCAGCAGCACGTGATGGCTTGGAGTGGATTCCTTTGGAGGTTATGCCAAGAGCACACACGCACGAAGCGTAAGAAGGCGGCAATTTTTGCACCACCTTATAAGGAGAAAAGGTGGATAGGATGCGATAAGTTGTAGCGAGCCTAGGAGAACGACTCATTTCTTTGGACACATCTAACGACTACCTACATTAAGTTGTTAAATAAGTCCATACACGTACTTGGATAGCTCTAATATGTAACTCTCTAGGTAGTAATTTAATTTTGTGATTAGTGATTACCTAGAAATTGGTCCTTCCACACTAGACATGTCTCAAAACCAGATTCTTCCGTCTTAAGTTGAATTCAGTGAAGGAAAGGGCAAAGCACTTATTCCATGATGGTATTGTTCACACCTGGGGTGCTATGTACTTGGGTATGTTAAAAAGCTCTCATCCACGGAGCACGAGACATTGTGAAGTTCTCAATTAGAGTATCCCCTGACGTAAGAAATCCTTTTCGCCCGCCTATATCCTCCTGCCTATAGCATTCCGTCACCTCCTCCCCTCCTATCCATAGAATTACTCTAGCCATCAGGCTCTGACCGGGAAACCCGCTCTGGTACAGGTATACTCAGTATGATCTAGCCGAGTGAAATCGACCCCAGTGGTAGGTAGTAGTAGATTTCAGGTGCTCAGGTATAGTGGATTAAGAGATCAATCTTAATCTGTATTTTGAGAGCTTGCTTTTCTTCGTCCCAGAATGCGGCCTTGGTGTCGTCGTCCCACACGGATAGGCGATTCTTTGCAAGGTTATTCAGACTCTCGCGCCAGCGGATAATCCAACGCAGCATTTGCTCGGGGAACGTGATTGGGGTCACTCTCCTTAGCGGCCTTAGCTTGTGCTTTTTGTGGTAAGCTTCCAACGTTGCCGGTATAGTGGACATGAGCGACAACGTCTCCAGATTCTTGAGGTGTGGAAGGGCATTCAAGAACATGACTTGTCTATCCCTATTTGGCCGAGCATCGAGAGCTACATACCGCAGCGTCGCCGCTATTTCAGAGGACAGCGGGGCTTTTGGTGTAAGGACGTACATATCCAGGTCAGGGCGAAAATTTCGACATGGTAGCCAACATTTCCCATCTTCCCAATAACGGAATTGAAGGTACAATTTAGCTAAGTTCCGAGCTTCTTGGCACACGTGCATAATTACCGGGAATTTTACCCAGATTATAGGAGACGTATTAATCATGCCATCGTCGTCTTTCTCCAAGAGACACACCTCTTGCGTATCAGAGGGCAATGAGAAACTCCATATCATATCTCGAATCTCAGGTGGAAATGAAGAGAAGAGGGTGAAGCGGGGCGTGGGCGTTTTTCGTAGTGCCAATGATTCTAGGCCATCCACTATCCTGGCTACTTCCGTGCTAAGGTCGAGACTGATTTGGTCTGATTGCTTAGCAACCATAGTATGGAGTGCTTCATAAGTAGATTCAGGTCTATCCATGGTTTCTTCTAGCCGTGGTTTGCATATAATTAAAGTTAGAAAATAACGTCTCGTCTCTATATCGGATTGTCATTCTCAGTATTTTGTAGGAAATGGTAGGAGTATACCTAGCGAAACAAGGCTATTGTCTCTTTATGTCTAGGAGATTTGTGGAAGACAGCCTTTATCCTTGGACAGAATAGTTTTGTTGCTGTTGAAAGGCCCAGGTGAATCTTTGGGGATAATAATTGGATGTCAGAAGGAATTTGGAGATATCCGGTGTAAAGAATTAAGAAGTTCCCGCAGTAGATTTAGTGCATGTATAAATATAAAAACAAGAAAATAATAAAAATAACCTAGGCAAGTACGCGAGGTCCGTGAGTAAATGGTACCGAAGGTACGTCCCTACGCGGTAGTCACGTTGTGTACGTACCTAGGTAATTCTTGAAGAATGAGGAAGGCACAATGGGAGCCGTGATTCTGATTAAGAGAGAATCCTTATCGTATTTATTATAAAGTATCTAAGTTCGTACCTTACATACGGTGAATTTACATACACAATGTACCTCCTATGTTTATGAATCACAACGATGGGACATTGCCCGACATACCTATAATATCAGGTACCTGACGTCACCGAAAGCAAGAGCTCCAGATTGTGCTGTAAGGGCAGGTACTAAGTAGTAGGAGGTAGGCATGTTTTCGGAAAGTTTTACCAATTACAAATTTTGCTAAACTAAAAATAGCTGCAATTCCTTGAAGCTATTCCCGATGATATCCCAGATAAGGACGGCGTTATCATCAGGAATATTTATTGACTAAAGGGAAAAGTAAAGGTGCCCCTATTTTAAGCCTCAGATTATTACCTAATTATCTCATCTAGACAACCACCTGCCGCTTTCCAAGATCGTATTTATCTCCATCCTTGAGGAAATAAAAGATAGATGAACTATCGGGAAGATGCTTCAAATCACTTCCCTCTCTCGACCAGAAGCCTCCGTCGTAAATAATCACGTATGTACCTCGGTATACCTCAGCATCATTCTTAGACACGATGAGTGCAGTGTTCTCGTCGATGGCAATGCCTAAAAGCTCCGGTCGAACCTTGAGGATGTCAAACATGTCGAACTGGCGGTTGCGTACGAGCACGTGTTGGTCGATGGCAACGTCTTTAACGAATCCGAAGCCTACTTGATGATCGCCCACTAGGATCTGATTGTTGGCCGTGTCACCGCGGGCAAGAAAACTGCCCTGGATAGATGCTCCTGCCGAGCTTCCGCTGACGACGCCGCCGCGGTCGAGCACCTCGTGGAATAGACGTTCCGTAAGGGTACCAGCATACGCGTCGACCAGACGCCATTGTCGACCACCCCCGAAGAATACACCCTTAGCAGCGCGCAACGGAGCCGCGAACTCTTCCGTATCGGCGACTTTCGGATCGTATGTATGTAGAACGGTGACATTCTTGGCGCCGAGTCTCCGGAACGTGCCCGCCGCAGCGGCGTCGTCGTCGTAGGTGTCACTCCCTTCAGCAGTAGGGATTGTGACAATTGGTGCTTCCGGCCCTCCAGCTAGGTCTATGATGCGCTGGTAGATCGCGTCGTCTTGCGCGTTACCCCCTATAATTACAAGGGTTCCGTTCTCGGGACCCACATACGGTGAGCTTGAGCTCCGCTCCATGACCGGACCGGCGGAGACGAGAGCGGCAAGGGCTAAGATCGAGTATTGAATGATGCTTTTCATCTTTACTGATTGCGATTACTGAGCCAAAGCTACGGCTAACAAGAAAATCAAATTGGAATTTTCATGACTTTTATATACGTCTATTTCTTCGATCGGATCTAAAAGAAAGATCCGAATAGGTATTTCCCCACTCTCCAAGAGTTGAGCTAGCGAGACCTTCCTATTGTATCTTGATTTTGACCCCGACAGCCAACCGGATCGTCTAATCCAATGTCGTGCAATTAAGAGTAAATATCGCCATCTATGGCGAGCACTTCCAAGTGGACCGACTACACATGATTGTTGAGAACTTGCATGCCAAAATCAATTAACTATCTAAAGGGGCTTTTTCTATGAATGGCTGAATAGTAATTATTGTCATCGACGGGACTATGATTAATTACGGATACTAACTATTGTAATGGATCTTTATCCATAATATTCAACTAGATTTTAAGCTAGTGACTACCTATATATACAAGCCTTGCGTGGAAGACGACATAGTAAATCTCGAAATGGTCACCATCTAGGGCCGAGAAGCAAACCAAACGGTGAATAAACAAGCGATGATACATAAGATTCCGTAATAGAGAATAGCTGCAGCAGCAAGCCTATGCCAAGTGATGTTGAATCCCATGTTGACCTAAGGGTTGCCAAAATGGCAGATAGTGACACTGAGGATGTGAGTAAGAAGTGTAAGTATAAATCTAAAGTATGATGGAACTTTTGAAAAAGCCAATATTGGATTATGATATGGCCAAAACTCTTTGTTTTCAATGTAACAGAGTCTGGGATTCCAGCGGAAAGGCTATAACAGACAATGACAAAGAGCAGTCTCAAGCCCTGCCATGTTGAATAAACAACAGCCAAAAGAGAAATACGGACAAGGGTTTAACGTGCAGCTAACAAAAGAAAGGAGCGAGTGGGCTTGAAAGCCAGAGGGGCATCGGCGCCAAAGTTGTTAACAATGATGAATCGTTCCTAGATTTGTGTGCTAACAAGCCCCTGTCTATGTAGCCAAGGTAGGCTTCGAATATTTACCAACCAAGCTGCCATCTACGGCTGCCTCACCTACTGCAAGTTAGGAGCATTTGTTTTAAAAACTCGTCCTTGGCCCTAGTGTTCTTGAGGCGTTCCTGGTGAGATATCACACAGACTACGTCAATTACTACAAATGCCTTTTCGAAGCCGCAATGTCAAACCAACCCATTTATGCTCTTCAGTGCTCATACCCCTCGGCTTTATTACTTCCCATAGGAAACGCACCGCAATTTGTGTCTCCTACTGCGTTAACGCCATGTAAAGTGCTGCCGCCTGCATAACAATGGGCGATATGAATCCACTCAACTTGTCACCGGGCGCTGGACTATGTAACATACCTCTACCTACCTCACAGCTAGATACGAATAGTGCTAGACCGGCAGCAACTCATGCCTTTATACAACCTGTTTTTATAACTTGAGCATCTTGTGTAAAGTCGTAGACGTGCTACTTGAACATGAAGCAATACCTACCTGACAACATTTGACGAAGTCGTAGCTCCGTATACAAATAACATGTCCGTTGGTATACCCCTTACGTCGGAGCTTAGGGTTACACACAACAAAGGATGTTACCTACCTCCTGAAGGGAACTTCCAGGTAACATAAAAGCCCGCTTCCTCGGGTAACATACCTACATAGTCACCTACTCGTTTGATAATATCCAACATTCCAGGAACGCTCATCTGAAGCTTACGAAACTAATTCATCATCTCGACAACATCGCCCGTGCAACTCTTGAAATCCTATCATATCTGTTTCTATTGGGTTGGGTTGATATACGGGGAGAAACGTAAGACTGTCATATCTTTGCTGTGACTAGATTTCGTCAACTTACCTAAGGTAACAAATTGGAACAGTCCGAATTTAATACGAAAATATCGTTTCGATGCATGCATCCTGTCTACGATCTATTTATCATTAAATTTACATATGGCTGGCCCCTGAGGCTCTATCGTAACGCGAACCGACTTCACGTGGCGTGAGAATACTATATGGGTTAGGTTTGGTATTCGGTCATGCGTGCATCTGATAATACCTACTAACCTACACATGCTCGATATCTAATCTACCTACATGGTAAACCCTGCTACGTTGCATGTGCAGATCCTTTACAATCTGATTTCCCCTCATTTCAGTTTTCCGCAGTCAATCGACCTATGAGGCGAGGTATTCTGCCGGATCAGCCAGCGATTCTTGGCCCTGTTCCGGATAAGAGGCCTATCTACTCGGCAATCTGGATGGTAGCACGGGTGGTAAGGGGGGAACGATAAGGGAAAAGCAGATGCATAGGAGGTAGCTAGATAAAATGGACACGCGATCCCACCACTACGGTACTTTCGCAAATACCTCCGCAAAAAGTTCCAGCCCTATGGATGTCCCTCGCGCAGCAGGCGTCGATAAGACGACTACTACAATGGTCGCGCGAAGCGACGAGCCGTCGAAGTCGGGCGATGCCGATGTCGCGTTGGCTGAGGCCGTGCGGCGCGAGCATGGCTTGACGTTCTGGGAAGCGGTGAGACTATACCCGACTGCTGTCGGCTGGTCGGCGTTCGTCTCGATAGGTGTGATCATGTTAGCTTTCGATCCTCAGATCGTCGGGAATATGTTCGCCATGCCCCAATTCCAAAAGGACTTTGGGTTCGAGCTTGATGGTGAAGTATGTACTCTATTATTCGTCGTTAATTACCTACCTACGGCGGGAGTGAGATAAGAAGTAAAGCTAATATAGCGATTCTTCTGCTAGTATGTCATTCCGGCGGCGTGGCAAACTGGTTTGTCGTTGGGAAATCCCCTCGGGCAAGTCGTTGGCGCATTGTTCTCAGCCTATCCCTTGGAGCTGCTCGGCCGCAAGTGGACGTTTTTCGGTTGCATCCTCCTGACGGCATGTCTCGTCTTTATCCAATTCTTCGCCCGTTCCCTGCAGGCTCTACTCGTAGGAGAACTGCTGGGCGGGCTCGTGCTGGGGTGCTTCGTCGTTATCGGTCCAACTTACGCCTCTGAGGTCTGTCCTATGGCACTCCGTGGATTCCTGACCAGTTACACCAACCTCTGCTTCGTTACGGGACAACTTCTCGGAAATGGGATTACGGCTGGGACGGCCTCGTTCGAGAATCATTGGGCATATAGTATACCCTTCGCACTGCAATGGTTCTGGGTTGTGGTTATTATTCCCGGGATCTTCTTCATTCCGGAGTCGCCATGGTGGCTGGTGAGAAAAGGTAGAATAGAAGAAGCCAGGGGCGCATTACGTCGACTATCATCCTCAAAAGTAGACGTCAATGCCACATTGGCCGTCATCGCCGAAACAGATCGACTCGAGCTGGAGATGGAAGCAGGCAGTACTTACCTGGACACTATAAAAGGAATTAATCTGCGGCGGACTGAGATCTCCACCGGCGTATATACAACACAGGTCCTGAGCGGCATCTACTTGATTAACTATGGGACTTATTTCTTCGAGCAGGCAGGATTGCCGACTCAGGATGCTTTTTATATGGGCATCGGATTCTTGGGCGTGGGTTGGGTGTGCACTGTGTTATCCTGGTTCCTCATCGCTCGCTTCGGCCGAAGACGCATATTCAATATCGGGCTATCTGTTCTTATCGTTCTGATGTTCGTAATCGGTATCTTGGACAGCATCCCTGGTCGACCTTCGGGTGTGGCTTGGGCCGAAAGCTCGCTCATGTTGATTTGGAACGGTGCATATGACCTGTCAGTCGGACCTATCACCTTTGTGATTTTGGGAGAGTGTTCCGCTACCCGTGTCCGATCCAAGACGATTGCGGTGGCCACGGCGATACAAGCGGTCTTTGGGATCGCAATGACGGTTGCGATTCCGTATATGATCAACCCAGCAGAGGCGAACATGCAGGGCAAATTGGGATATTTCTTTGGTGGGTTGGGGATCATCTGTCTTATTTGGTCCTACTTTCGGATCCCCGAAACGAAAGGGAGAACGTACGAAGAGTTGGATATTCTGTTCGATAGGAAAGTTCCTGCTAGGCAGTTCAAGGGATATCAAGTGGATATTAATGCCATAGCAGCCGAGAGTTGAGTATTGTAGCATGTTAACATTTAGGTATGGCCAATGTTGGATTATTAAATAATATATAATATTATGATACTATTTAAGTCTCTCTCGGGCCCTTTCATGTTATAAGTATTGGCATATTAGTATTGAAAGTAATTCAAGCTAGGTAGTTCGATGTACACCCAAAGCGTGATAGTTGTGTTGGTTAGGGTCAACCTGGTACACGATAGGAACGTACTGAAGTTGGAGCATGTCCACTAGAATTGGACAAGTAGGTGTCGATAGTTGAAAATAGTAAATTTCAAAGTAATTACCTAAACTACATGATATTGTCATCATGTTTCTAGTTGCACTTACTTTCGCATAGCTACCTCCTGAGTCCTAATTGAAGATATTGTATTTGTTTCTAATAGAATCTACCAAGACGAAAACCAACCGCGCTATCCTCTGAGTGGCCTAGCTAATTACCTAGTAATTATACTAACTATTTTAATTATACTATTTCGGAGGCCAGCATATCGATTAACTATATTGGGTCTTTTCTTGGCTTCAGATCTCATCCCCTTAAGAGCCATCGTTATTTATTGCTATTGCACAACGTTACGACGTCCCGACAAAACTTAGCACAAGCTTAAGTGCCTTGATATATGCCCTAGAAACCGTCCACAAGACCGTTTGATTAGTTGTTCGACAGGGTTACGACTGGAAAAACTGGACCGCAACTCCACATCGTGACAGCTATTTATTGCACACAGCCCCCCTAAACCCTTGGCGGTGAGATTTATTCTCCAGTTAGAAAGGCGAAGGACTCTACCAAAAGAACTTATGTCATTCAAATTAGCTGTGCTATTATATAAGATGGCTACGGTTTGAGAAGCTTTAATTTGTCCTATGATTTTATTAACGATTCTATTTACATCTGATTTATTGGTGTTTTTTTTTTATTAGCGTTTTCGAGAATAGCGGGCATGAATTACGTACCGTACACCATTGATTGCGGTGAGCGATAATGAATACGGATTACAACCTCGACGAGCTGGACATGGCTCTTAGCGAGTCCCGCCATCAAGCTGCCGCCGTAGCCGGGCCTCCGAGTCGGCAGCAAAGTTCCCGCCGCACGGCATCAAGCACCCGGCGCGGCAGCTTAGTTCCCGGAATGGGTGCCCTTTCTTCGGCTATGTACAGCCCGGGAAAACAGTACCAGCGGCCCCGACTCGATGAACTAAACCTCTTCAACTTCGACCTCCGCGAACTCGTCCGCGATATTCTCCTACCGACGGGCCAAGAGACTCGCGTTTCGTACCACGAATATGCTGTCTTCCGGCCGGGTGAAGAAAATGACGAGACCCGCTCTCCAAGCATCATGTCCGAAGGAGAGGTTGCACTACGGATGTTTCGAGATGCGGTGAGACATGGACACGGGTTGGACTACGAGGTGAGAGACACATGATATATGGCTACGCCAATGCTGCATTTCTTATCTTTTGGAGACAGTTGAGCTAGCTACCTAACCTACCCATGCCCGGGTCCGGGACATAGAGTGCGGCCACCCAAGCAATGAGAGAACGTAGGCTGATTGAGTGGAGTTCACACGCAGGGAAATTTTACTCCTGTGCCTAAGGGAAAAAACTTGCTTCAGGGAAGAGTGCGACAAGTGTGAGTATACATAGCCTTGGCTTTTTTTTTTTTTTCTTTTTTTTTTTAATACACTTTTCGGCTCCAAGTTCGAATCACCGGATTTTACTTGGAGCATGAGCTTATCATGAAGAAAAAGGCTAACTGGAATTCACAATAGAATTGCCCACCGACGTGCTCGTCAGGAAGACGAACAACACAACACGAATAGTACAGTGGATGGGTTGCATCTCACCGTGGATGATTATGAATCTTTAGGGTTGCATTCAGGCACCCTGCCTACCCTGCAACGGGTAACCCTCGAATCATCGTTCTGGGACTCGAGAAGGGAAACGATGTGTAAGTGAATAACAGCACTACCAATCTTACCTAATGCAGCTGGATGAAGCTATATCCATTTCCTTTTATTGGTATATTCCGTAAATTGCACTAACATACGTCGAGATTTAATCCTAAGCTTCTCCTCTAGTCCACAGCCGCCATACGACTTCCTTTCAATGGCGTACAGACTAAAGACCAGAACAACAACAGCTCTCATACGACGATCTTTTGATACAAGGTGGCATGCCGAAGATGCGTTGGATGAATATGAGCGCCGGCTGGATTCTTGCAGGGCACGGTGGTCTCACCCACTCGTATTGCCAGTCGTCCTCTTACAAGTACAGCTATTTCGCACCGAGGAAGCGGTGAACGCCAACAACGCCGAAGTCTTGGAGCTCGAGGCGCACGTCGATGCGGTGACGGGCACGATAGGGCGGGCCAACGCCGAAGCCTGGTGGCGGAATCACCAGGGAGAGAAGCATCAACATCAGCATTTCAAGCCTTTAAAGCGTTTCTCGTCAAATCTTAAGGAAATGGTCGAGTCCAAGGTTGGAGGAGGTGCACGACGAAGCCACGAGTTCTCTAACGCTACGCCCTCGACTGCACCAGAGGTAGCTAGTTACTACGATCCCGACTACGTGCCGCCGCAGACAATCCACCTGATGAAAGAAGCCCACGATGTGCTCAAAGGAGCTATTCAGTTACTCGACACACTGAGGTGGATGGAGCGCGCGTTGAAACTCATCATCCAAGCTGGTGACGAGCTAGACATGCGCGTCAAGGAATTGAGGGCTCAGAACGTAGCAAGAGGGGAACTTAAGAAAGACGAGGCCGACGAGTTGGATGACGAGCTTAGCGTCCACTGGCATGAGATCAGGCAGTATCTAGACTGCACGTGGCGGCTCTGCACTTCCCTCGAGACAGACCGGCGCATGTCAGAACTGCGCTGCCGAGCACAAATCGATATTATCTACTCGAAGATGGCGCAGGAGGACAACAACCTCAACGCGCGCATGGCGGTAGCATCGACAAGGGACAGCTCTTCGATGAAGGCATTGGCCGTGATCACCGCCCTCTTCCTGCCGGGCGAATACATCGGCACGCTATTCGGCGTGTCGATGTTCAACTGGGAAAAAGGCACGGCAGGCGACCCGGCTATATCGGAGGATGCGCCCCAGGGCTGGCCGCATCCCGTAGTTATGCCCTCCTTCTGGATATACTGGGCCTTCACGATCCCCCTTACGCTGTTTATCGTCGGCGGGTGGCGCGCGTGGTGGGTCAATCAGGACCGTTATTTCCGCCGCCACCTCAGCACCGATCTTAGCGACGAGCGGTACTGGACTACCGACGGCCGTCCTCGCGATCTCGAGACTACTTTCGCGCAGGACTTCTTCAGCGTGCTTAGCCGGAGCGGCGCCGGGAGTACCACCAACAGTACGATTCTCGGAAAGAACCGGGGTCTGCGATCTAGGTCGGGAACGGGAACGGGACCTACGAGGGTGTCCAGTTTCGACGTCAATATCAATAGGTCTCAGATCCGTACTCCTATCCCTTCTAGCTCCGTGTCGGGCTTAGGTCTGGCTAAGCACCTGCCGACGCCGAGTCTGGCCTACACCCACGTGGGCAAGGACAGAGAGACTACAACTGATTCGGAGCGAGAAGGTGAGGCTGGGGATGGGGCTATGCGGTTTAGACAGATTTCGTTTGCTAGAGGGCCGCGGATACGGAAAGAGGATGAATCTGCTGTTTAAACGATGTCGTTCTGTTCAAGATACCAAGTTGATTATACCGTTGAGATTGGTTATAGATATGTATCTCACTACCTCCTCATATTACGCGGTCGCTATAGAGAAATATAGAGTAGTAGGCACTCAAGATAATATTAAATTGATAATACACGTTCACTCCCTATACTATGTTGCAAAAAGAGGGCATCTGCACTTATTTGTACCTAGATATACTCAGTCCTATGCAAAATTTCCCAATTATGTTGTATGTCGTAACCGATGATCGATACCTCGCCACGGCCTCATCTAGCTCATATTGTCGCTTTTTCCTGGGCCGTCGCAGGGAATATATCTACTGATTGTTGTTGCAACTACCTATTGCGCTAAATGCGAACCGGTATGCGGATGCTCCCGTTTGAATTACACCGGCGTTTTGGATAGGTAATATTCTAAAAAGATAGCGCCGGGTAGCGCTCTACGTTCGTTTTTTAGATAGGTACCTACCTAGGCAATACATCCAATAGTTTTAAAGATATACTTTCGGGCCGTTCTTGTTATTCCAATAGCTCAAAACACGGACCCGGAAACTCCCTCCTGAAGCCTTTCTAGACGTTCCTCGGTTATTTCGAAGCACTCGGGTAACCCGGTGTCGTCCCATGAGCCTCCAAGTATGAGCTTTGCGATGCCTGGCGCACAAGTGAATATCCTCGCCATCCCTAAATAGGAGTGCATAGGTATCAGTTATGAAAGCATTTATCAAAATCAAGGTGATCGTTATTCTTACCGTGGCCATTAAACCCGGCACAGACCCACTGCCCCGGTAGACCCTCTATCCTACCCACGAACGGGACCGAGTCCGTCGTCATCCCAATTATTCCGGTCCACGTATGCTGCAGTCCCTCCCCGTGGCTCAGCTCCGCTTTCTCGCACTCCGGGAAACAAGTCTCGAAATTACGAACTGCGTCGTCTCGCACCTCCTCGTTGAAGATGCTATCATCGGGGACCAGACGGCTTGCTGCTGCCGACGGGCTAATGTTGGGGTTCGCGATCGGGGAACCGAGAATGATGATCCCGTCTGGTCGCCGCTGGGCTACGGAGTAGAAGTGCTTTAGCGAATGGCGCAGGGACATGGTGCTTGGTAGGATGTCAGATGAGCTGAGCGATGGTGGAGGCACGAAGGCGTGTGCTTGGGCGCGGTTGGGGGTAATAAACTTGGAGAGCTGGGGGAGGAGGTGAGGCGCAAAGGCATTGGTACAGTGGATCACCGTAGAGGTTCTGGTTGTACCTCGAGGTGTTAGTATATCCCAAGAAACCTGGTCAGCAGTTGAAGAGGCCGACTTAGTTACTGAAGTAACCGGACAATGAGTGAACAACCGGACGCCCTTCCCTATCGACTGCGTAAGAAGCCACTGGACCAGTTTCGCCGGATGACTCGAGCCAGCCGGCCATTCGTAAGCAGCAAATGCTTTCTGCACGCGGGTTACTTTCCGCGCTTCGTCCCCTTCGTAGAACTTGATATGAGAGACGTCGCCTCCGGCTTCTCGATACTCCTTAAGACTGCGGGCGTTGAAATCGGCAAACTCCCGCGTCATGCACACGTCAAATGTGGTCGTCGGGTTGAAGTCGCACCGGACCCCGTGTTTCTCTACGAAGTCCTTGATCCGGTGGAAGACGAGCTTCTCGTTGGCGATGATCTTGAGCGCTTGTTCTGGGCCGTGCAGTTGTTTGTAGACTTGGAATCCACGGAAGGCATCTTATACGCGATCGGTTAGCAACGTGAACAATATTATATACCTAAGGTTAGGTACACACGACAACATTCAACTAACCTGGGCGCACATGTCCTGCATTCCTCGAACTCGCTCCGCTGGCGGCTTCTCTCGCTTCGAAAATCACTATATCCCCTCCCGACACGCCCCCCTGAATTAACTCGTAGGCAGTTAGGGCACCGGAGATGCCCGAGCCGATAATGGCATATTTGGATCCTTCCGGAACTGGCTCGTTCTGATTAACGTGCAAGTAGGGGAACGAACGTGTAGTCTGCTGCCAAAATGACACGCAGGGGTTAGCCACCGGCAGGGTTATATTTTGGGACTGCATCACTTTCAAGATTATATGTTCAAGATAGTCGGCGTGCGTAGCATTTCCTCTTATAAGCTATAATCACTATTAAGTTGCTCTCGATTCAAAGGTACAAGGCGTATTATTTATAATGACTACCTAACCTAACATATACAATACCGAGCTCTTCCATGATACCTCCTGCGGGGCAGCAGCCGAAGGAGTGGCCCGACTAGACGATAAGCATTTCTATACTGGTGAGGGGCCGAAGCCGCAAGATAGCCGATTGCCTACCTAGTTGATAGACCCGCATTGTAGCTTCATGGGGTAATATGATTGCGATTCGTTGCTATTTCTATTTCTTAAGGTAGGTAGATATTAACGGTTTAGTAGGGCGGCAATTGACATTGAGATAAAGACGTTTATGTTTAGCAACGTAGGAATAATTAGGTACCTAAGAACTAGGTAAAGCGTAGAATCAACTCGCTAGTTACATAAAGTTATAGAGAACTGCGAGAATGGTGCTCATACACTTACATACATCAATCTTACTATGTCACGATTGATTCTTTATAATCTTGAAAGAAAACAATACGGTTCCTGTTAAACAAACCGCTATACCACTAAAAGGTTATTTGGTAATAGATTTTATTCTATTATGTTTTATATATCGGACAGATAGTCATATCTGACAGTTCCCTATTGATTAAGTACCTCTTATATGACTTCCTCCGATTATTAAGCAGACCTCAGTACATGTAACCAAAGCTCATACGGACCTAATTCTCTTAAATATAAAATTTAATCAATCGTTTCAATATCATAGAGTTATATTCTTATAGACCGGGAGTCATCGGAATGAACTTGGTGTCAAAACAGTTTCATTGTAAATTTAAATTTTATATCTGCATACCATTCCGGTATCATCTGAGACATGAGAGCTACGGACTACATTCACTTAGCAAAAACTCAATAACAACACGATCCCAAACGAAGGCATTATTTTCAAATAACCTAAAATGGGTAACACGAAGCGATAGACTTCACGCTACTGCTGCTAAGGATCCAACCATGGCTTTTGCAGCTCTAAAACCATGAGGTCATTTAGACCTTCATTAGATTCTACGCTACGGAACACCGTTGGGGCTGCCGGACGCCTTGTGTCGGACAAATACCCCAAATAATTATATACTTCTGTATAGGTGGTTCAGTCACATTCCTCGTATGACAGATCTCCGCTCGATTTTGTTACAACCAATACTTAATTCTATGTTCATACATAACATAGTTAGATTATACATTAAGGACAGAACGCTACATGAACACCGCCATTTGACTCATCGCAGGGTGAAACATCTTTAATTGATGTTATTCTATTCTATTCTAGCTCATGCTTCTTGTCTATCTAACGCCCGCTATCCAATATGCTCGAAATGCAACACATACAATGCAGTACATACATCTGCCCCAATATTATGTACTCGTTCCGATCTTCCTTACGTACGTAACTCAACTTATACACCTCTCATGAAACCCCTCTTCCTCACCGGCGGTAGCGCACCCTTCTCCTTTGGAACGACTTTCTTTTGACCCTCAGCCCGGGCATCGTACACAGTGTATGACTCGGAGGCCCTCTCGGCGTTCCGCTGGCCATTTTCTTGCTTCCATCGTCCGATGTAGCAGCATATGGGGAATAGGGTAATGTTGACAGCGACCCACGCGAATAGCACCCCGAAGTTCAGCCCAATCTCTGAATGCAGGTCGAACAGGATCGAGCGACTCGCTTGCACAATGTGATGCAAGGGCCAGGCGTAACCCCAGCGGAAGAATCCCGGCGCCAACTCGATCGCATAGAAAGCTGTTGACACGTTGGTGATGACCCACTGCGCGCAAGTTAGCAAGTTTTGTCTTTCTTTTTCCCGCCTCCTCAAACTTCGGGTAGGAATCCGGGAGTTATATAATCAGGTTGTGGGATTGACTGGTCGGAATCGACGTCCCACGAGCGCAACAACAAACTCGAGGACGAGATATTCCGTGGAACGTAGAAGAGAAAAATGTCGGAGGTACTTACGAAGATGAGCCAGCCGGCTGTCCAAGGCTGTCCGATGATTATACCCATGTTCTCACAAGCGAGACCTAGCGCACACATGCCAATGAAGTTTACCATCCAATATACGACGAATGAGCCTCGGCCGTACGCCGTGGGATTAATCGCCGGTTCGGTAGGCGACGCCGGCGGATTTGAGAAGGGGATTTGAAAAGCGAGGGACACGAAGGAGTATATGAGCGACACCAAGAAGTACGTCGTTATCGCCGCGAAAAGCCGCCAGACTATGAGCTGCCAGAAGCGGAGTGGCGGGTGGCCCTTGGGAACGATAAGTTGCTACGTAGACGTGTTAGCCTAGGCGTGTATGTACACCTAACGGGAGGAGCTGTAACGAGAACCGGTCCGATTCGTCCCGCGACAATTCGGTGGGTGAGTAACATACCATGTGGATGGGCAGGAAGAAGGCAAAGGAGAAGAATGCAACGATGATGAGGTAAATCAGACCGATGCTGACCGTCGGTGTAGCGGTAGCCGGGCCGAAAGGTCGCAGGTCGATGGACAAGGGCGTGACACCTGGACTCAGAGCCGCGGGTGCTTGAGCAATCACATCCCTATCGAGCGACGAGTTCGACATGACATTCTGAGTCCACATCGGGCCGAACCGTCCTGAAAACTGAGTAGCGAGGACATTCATCAGTGGAACGATATAGTTGATGGTGGTAGTCTCCTGTCTCGCGGACTGAGTGATGAACTGGATGGCACCCGTGGGATCGTAGGACGAGTTTCCCGTTGCGACAGCCTGCTGTAACAAGGCGGTGGCATTCGGGTTGACGATAATAGCCGCCCAGCAGTGCCAGTCGTACACGGCCTGCCGCACAGCAATCGGATCGTAGCCGAACTCGTCGGGTGACACGATGGTGTACCCCAACTTCCGCTTCTCCGGCGAATCAATGACCTGCTGCGCGATCTCCGTCACTGTCGGTCCCACGAGCGGCGTCACGTCGTCGTACGGCGCGACCTGCCCGTCGAAGTCCACCACGTAAATTACTAGGTTGTGGAGGTTCCCGTCGATGTGCGTGAGCACTCCCCAGTACATGGACAGCACCGCTAAGATGAAGGTCATGAGCATCAATACTAGACAACATGGTAAGCCTAATGATCAGTCTCCCGCCGAAGCTGGGCTAAACTAACGTGTCCGAAGCCAGTTAGTGGCCACCTCTCGCCGGACCTTATCCATCCTCGGATCCCAGAACCCGGCGCTCCGGTGCGGCTCTTCGTGCCGGCCATCTTGGCCATCTTCAACATACTCTTCGTATTCTCGGGGAGGGGGCTGAATCGTCCCGTCCGAGTCTTCCGTATCGGTTGCGTATCTTAACCAACTCGTCTCGATCATCTCTCGTCTGGACGGGTCATCCCTGGCACCAACCACGGGGTTCGAAAACGAAACGTCTGAGGGCCTGTTTGGCATCGACATCTCTTACTACGTTTTTGCGCTTTGCTACGAGAAATTATGCCCTGAGCAAGGGGGGGATATGTCTAACAATAAAGCGAAACAGGGCTGGCGGAGAACCCTCGGAGGACTGCCCTACGTATATAAAGCTACAACCCGATGACGAACTGATCGTCGGAAATAATGTGAGGCGGGGGTGAGCCGCACGTCAAAGCTATCAAATGCCGTCATGTTGTGCCCTAAGTCAAAAGGGGCTTGCTAGTTGGTTTTTTTTTTTCAGATCGCTTTCGCGATGGAGTTAGCATGAGTTAGTATACATCGGCATAACGGTATAGCGAACTAATAACTCCGCTCGCGCGATCCTCATTGTGCTGATGTCACTCTTTCGGTACCCGAGAGGTCGGAAGTAGCGGACCGACCACCATGTCTTTAACGGCTGGGCCAGGGGGGAGGAGGGGGTGGGAGAGGGGGTCAGGGCTGAAGAAATCGATCCATTGATCCAATCCATAATCCATAAATCCATAAGCAGATAAAGGTCCTAGATCTATGATCGTTGGAGCGAACGGATCAATCGTCGTCTGCTATTCTAGCGTCTAAACTAATCAGGAACGGGCTATGCCGGGCATCCTTCTTTATTGGTACCACATCTCACGCACGTTGGCAAGATGATTTGATTTGATTTGGTTTAGTTTTTTTAAAAAACGAGCAGCACCGCTTGAGAAATCTTTCTAAAATCCGAGATGGTGATGTGGGACGATTATGTTTCGAAACATTTGATTCATTCATAGCCCCTATTAGAAAGGAAGAAAAGGAAGAGAGAGAAAAATAACTAACCAACACGTATGCTGGCTCACGGCTCAGCTGGCCTTGGCGTGGAATGAGCCTACTATAGTAACACAAGGAAGTGTAAGTGAGGTATATGCCTGGTATCGTTCGCTCTGTGTAGATTTATTACCGACAAAGATTCGGCAAGTCAAAGAGAGAGAGAGAAAAAAATAAGAATTCCTGACTCGTAATCTAGAACAACGCGGTGTCTCGCATCGTATATATCGGGCTATGGAATACGCCGCCGCCGCCGCCGTCATATCTACCAGCCTGCGTGCGCAATTCCCGTTATCATACCGGGAATACCTAAGGCATTTATACACACCTAACCTACACACCTACATACATACAAACGGGTGTGATTGATGATAATGATGCAGCAGCTCTCACCGCAAAATGCACGGCGTTGAAAGAGACAAAAAAAAAAAAAAAAAAAGAAGAAGAGCAGTCCCCTAAAACCCGAGCCTTACCAAACGCACAGGAACTCCCATGTGCTACGTGACCAGCGAATGCTATGTATGCTATGCCACACCTCGACATGTGAGGCGGTGTAACTAACCCCAACGGCAAAACAGGCCAGATCTTGTCTTGGCTTGGAGGAGCTGGAGGATTCTAGTATGTATTACTTACATAACTACTCATACTTGCCGTTCGTTCTTTGTAAGCAGCCCTCGGATATAATAAACATTTTACTCAGCATTCACGCGAGCCAATCGGTAGCCCGTTTGCCGTGCACACCTCTTATGGTACCTATCCCCACCACTGCCGCCGCCGCCGCTACTGCTTTGTTTCGTTTCGCGGTATTTTTCGGTGGCCTCTTTTTTTTATTAAGAGAAAAAAAAAAAAAGGGATGAGATATATGATGATATGGGGGGTGACACGATATATGTAGGCATGTATATACCCCCTATGCGCGATTATCTCACATATAAATATGTATGCTATGTATGCTAGCCTACGGGGTAAATAAATTTCATGATACCAGCTTTTAAACGCGCGGGACCGAAACTCGCATGTGCACCTAAACTACCTGACCTACCCATGTACGGCGATGAAACTTGTGATACGATGACAATGAATGACAATGTTAAAATAGAATCTGGTAAGAAAGAAATATGATATTTCCGAGATACGAAAAAGAAGAAAAAGAATTCCCCCAAGCGGGATTGGAAATCAACATACCTGACCCACGGGGTATCGCGATGTGATGCATGTAATTACCGACTTATAAAACCGATGCGGTCCCGAGAATCCAAACATCCTTGCGACTATTATACGTAGGTACGCATCAAAACGATTGGATCACATATGATACTAAATGTAGATGCCGATGATGTTAATCGTTAATTTTTTCTTTCTTTTTTTGTTCTTTGTCTTTCATAATGAAAAACACTACATATCTGTCCACCTATTATGCCCAACACCCATTCTTGTTTCTCGTAAGCGACGCTCTTCTAAAGCGCTTCATCAATAACCGACTTCGCGCCAAGGTATCTTAGTACAGTAAAGTAAACCTCAATTGAATGTTGTGATAATGGTGGAATAATCCACCCGAACCGTTCCTTTTCACCCATAATGTAAACCTTCTCGAACGCCATACGGTCCAAACTTAATATCCTGTGAATAACTTTAATGAAATGTAACATGGTACTGGTAATAACTTGTCATCCGATGCTGAGCATATCTAACCTGGCCAGGACAGGTTCAAGGCTAGCCGCGAGACGCTCCACCCGTCGTGCAGCCATAACGGCAACAGTGTCTTCCTCTGAGAAGTCAACAAGCTCATACCTGGCGAATGTCTTCTCAGGTTCGATACCTCCGAAGATGTCTACGGCAGTGAGACTATCCGTATTTAATTCGACAGGTTTCGATGGTGCAACGGTCGGTTCATCATCATAGATGTCTCCATCAAGGTCTGCCACCGAGTACTCGGTTACTTCCGACTCGGTAGGAGTCTCCACCGGCTCCGGAACCTCGATGACTGACTCTAGGACGGGAGCTCCATTCTACTCGGCATCTGCTGAAAAAGATTCTGAACAGCTCGACCCTTTACCCGCCAAAGCTTCCGTGTCAATAACGGGCATCTCCGGTGTCTCTAAAATAGCATACACCCTAGGTTGGTAATGCCCTGAGTTTACGAAGGGTTTTGGTCGAGATTTCGACGAAAGTTGCTGACGTAATCAGCCATAGGGTTCCTGGCCTGGCATTGTTGCGCTGGCTGCAACAACGCCAACAAAGGGACAACGGAGCGATTCGGCGAAGTCGAACCGCGGAGCTTGACCTGCTTACGAAGCAGGCAAAGCGTAGAAAAAGGAGAGGATACGAGGTCGAGGATTCGAACCGTGGACCTGATTTTGGGATGTGGTGTGGCTAGGGGTTGTTGTTGTATGGCTTGCCTGCCGACCCCCGGCGCGGCGAGGCAGGGCGGCCTTGCGGGATTCAACCAATTAAATTAATTGTTGCCTGGCCTGGCCTGGTTTAGTCGTAAACTCAGGGCTATTGTGCAATCCACCGGGGTTGCCTCTTGAAATCAGAGTGTATGTTTAGCATAGAAACATCCATTGTTTGCTCGGGCATCATAACCATCCCTATTTGTTGATGCTGATTCTGTTGGCAAGCGACGAAGGGATTGACATCTTTAGAGACTTGAGCCTCATGCTGTTGCTGCTCGTGTTGTGGCTGTTGCTGCTGCTGCTGCTGCTGTTGCTGCGATTCTTGTGAACAGGGGTTGTTTGCAGTTAAATTGTCTAGGAAATTAGAAAATGCTGGCGTTCTAAGTAACATCTGGCTGAAGTCGGTAAGACGTTTGTTCTCCTCGATTAAAGCACGGTTCTGAGCACGTAGGTCACCGTTCTCAGTCACCTTGTTGGCAATCTCGGTCTCGAGTTGGGTGATATACTCTGTTACACTATTAGCAAGTTAATACGCTTCAGGGAAGTATAAATATTACCTTTCCTTCTTGACCGAAACGCCCGGGCGGAAACTTTGTTGCGTAGTTGGCGCCTTTCCTTACTACTAAGTTTCTTTCCTTCCTCACTAGCGAGTAGTCTTTCATCTTCATCCATGTCATCTTCATCTTTCTTGGACCTCGGCAACTGAAGAAGAGTGGAATTATCGCCCGAATCACCAGGACTGGCACCAGCTTTCGACCTCATAGAATTAAGAAGCTGAGTAATTTTTTGCTCTACAATTGGATCCGAAGGCAGAGGAGCCTTTGACCTCTGTTGCTGAGTTTGTTGAGCTTGTTGATGAGCTTGTTGATTTTGTCTCTGCTGGATGATATGCTGTTGTTGCCTCTGCTGTGCCTGCGCCTTTGCTAATGCTGCCTGCTGATGCATGCCAGGATACATCCTACCAACGTTGCTTGTCTGGCTCGGAACAGTTGGCGAAGTTATTGCTTGAGACTCTCCTCCAATTGTGTTGGGGTCAATCGTTGTCTCTGGGAAGAAATACGAAGGATCAGACGCGGGATCGAAATCGAGGTCCATATCACCGCCGCACATATTCCGCGACGGCACAGTGTTAAAGTCGAAGGTGTCTTCGTTCGAACCGATTTCTGGTATAAAATCTATAGCATAACCGGAAACTTGGCTACTATTGTTGAGAGCCATCGTATTGGTGAGGGCTCCTGGGACAAAAGGCGTCTGCTGCTTATACCGGTCGTACTGATGACTAGGACCCGATAATGCCTGCGTGGTTGGCAATATACTTGGTGTTGTTACCGTCCCTCCTCGACTTAACGTGAATTCTTTAGTGTTAAGTGGAGAAGATGCTAAGGCTGAAGTTGATCCATATGATGGTGCTCCTTCGAACTGGCTGAAGTCGAAGAGGTCGAGAGGGTCGTGCATGCCCGTAGGGCTTGACGAAGGTTGACTGGGTTGACTTGAAACTGGCATGACGGCGCTGGAAGGTGAATCGGCTTAGTCCAGTATAGTCCAGTATAAATGGGATATCCTAAGGATAGATACGACGGATGCTTATTTACTCTCTATATACCAGATTGTACTGATGAGAAAGAATGTGCTTTTTTTTTAATGGTTGAATGGGTAACTGAGCATTGCTGCAAATAAGAAATGGAGATCAGAAGGGGAATTTGGATAGTACGGGTGCCTGGGACATTGTTGCTGTAAATGGAAGAAAAGATTGGTGGTAAAAATGGTGGTCTGTTTTTTGGGCAGTTTCGTTTGGGGGGGGCATCCTTGCCAGTTCCTTATGTGTGGGTGGCTTGGCAAGTACCTGACAAGTATTTGGCCCCGTAGTGCCCCGTAGGGAAGGTTGACTGGTTGACAGGGACTGTCCGATTAAAAGAGGAGAAAGGACGCGTAAGCCAGAGGGAAAGGTCCGTCTCCATATCTATCCCATATCAGCCAATGGACCCCCAAGTTGACAAGACCGAGAAGCCATGCAACTGCCCCGAACAAATCATATGCCCGAATCTACACCAAGGTCTGTTGCACGGTGGTGTGCCGACATGGGAGGAAACACCTAGACTATGTAAAGAGGTATCTAAAGGGTAGGTACCTAATGTGTGTGTAGTGTAAGTCCAATCAAAATCTAATCGAAACCATAGTTAACTTACAACTAACTAACTAACTTACCCCAGGTAGGTACCTAACCAGTTTAAGTATGATATATGATATTAAACTCGGAGGTAACTAACTTGGTAAACAAATACTTGCATATCAACCGCCGTGATAAGTTGCCAGTAAGAATATATCATGTCCTGCAGGAGAGCCTTCTGCAGCCCTCTACAGCTTAGGGAGATGACGACGACACCAATTCCACTCGAAGGCTTAGATCCAATACCCTCTGCCTACATAGTATGGGCGCATAAATTTGCAGGCGGCTCTTGGCTCACAGTTGATGATGACGATGTCGAACACGACAAACAGACAGACAAAAAGGGTCAAGATGTTATAAATCCTTCGCCATAAGTTGACTGCCAAATACTCGACCCAGGACAGTCACCATGGTGTATGTAGCATAAACGCATCAGATCCATATGGTTTGCTTGAACGAAGTCTCCCTCTTGTGCCATGTCTCGAGTACTTGAGGTTTCAGGTCATTACCCCCAGAGACTCCATATTCGGAGATCGAATGGGGAAGTATAAGGTACTAAGTAGGTAACTACGTTCAGTTAAACCCGGGACCTTGACGGCTGCACTTGTTCGACCGATAAACGACAAAAAGGTAGTTAGAAAGGTACACGGAAGAGTCCGGGAGAATAGGGGACGCCTTTGCTAAATCCATACCCCGTCGGCTCTACGGGACCACGGCAAAAGCTGTTCAAACTTGCCCCAACTTCCTGCTATCAGCGTCTACCAATGCAAACTAGTTTGTTCTTTGCTAGTTACATAGTACATAGTTAATTGTTTGGTAACGAATACGTGTATTGAAAGTCCCCTTAAATTCATGTATGTATATACCTATGTACATGTGTGTAAAAGGAGGAAATTGGGCTTGACTAAAATCCTAGCACAAGCACAGCCATCATCGTTGTCCTATTGATTATGGCGGTCCACTTGGCAAAACGGCTCAAGCTGGTTTAGTAATTTTCAATTTGATCGTCGTTTAAGGAGCATTCTGGGTTTAGCAATCTCATAGTGCCCGCAGTACGCTTTTGCTAAATGGTGCACGCATACATATTATTTTAATAGTATATCGGAGTATGTTAACGGGCCCAATGGTCAACTCCACTGCCCCAGCTTGAGCAGACGGTTTCAACCGCGGAAGGTCGGCGGTATAGTAGCGCCGACTATTCCGTATTTGAAACTAGGTTTCCTATGCTACCCATCACCCCACCCATGCTCTCAGGCTATGCCAAATACGACCTAGCGCATGAGGCTTAGATCCCATCAGGCTTTGAATCTCAGCTGGACAGGGAACTCTTTTTCGCATTGTTATGAAAGATTTAACCTAACCCAATATATTCACACAGGCGCACAGGCGCAGCAAAAGTCATAGTGCCTACTTCGTTGTCTACGCTGTATATGAGAAGGCCCTCCGTGGACGCAGCACAAAATGAAGTACCGGCAGCTGAGAAGCCTACGCCCTGATCTTGAATTATGGACCAATAAAGTTATGGCCGAATAACTCAGTTTAACAAGCTTTCGCGAACAGCCAAGAAGTCATATTGCCGCATGACACAAAATGACATTTATATGAGTTGAAATGCTTCCGACGTTATGAGGCATCTTGTGGCCGAGTACGCACACGTACTACAATAATGGCAAACGGTATAATATAAAAATAGCTACAATTCCAGCTGCCATGATGAGGCTAGGTATTTCAATTTGATCCGATTGCGCATCTCCCCACTGGAGTTTCAGGTCGGTTTTGATCTGATCTCGACGTTTCTAGCTTCTACCCAATATTCTCTACCATGTATAAAGTTGAATGGGGCCGCGGCCATGTCTTCTCAAGTTAGCTACAACTCCGAGAATACCTAGGAGGGTCTTGATCTAACTACATCTAATTTTGGTGAAACCCCTTTTGGTAAGGGTCATATATATACATACGCTACATAATAACAACCTCATCAATCATCGTGAGTGAGTGGCGAGTGTGTCAATGCTGGATCCAGATGGATAAAAAAAGATATTCGTTTATGCTGAAAACCAGCTGAGTAGTTAAAGCATCTGAGAACATTTCTTCTCATAGTGGGCAGATGGTGACGAGACATGTTACCGCAGTCATCTCTCTTGGACAAATACGGAATTCAACTCGCGACCTATGTATGTCCCTATGCAAAGTAAATCGGCAGTCTTACATTGTATAGCAGGACAATTAACTTAACAAATGGCCAGCATCTATTGTTGAATTCTACAAGCTTAACTTAAATTCAAGTTCAACCTAATCCTTGCGCAAAGGGGTCTTTTTCACAGGCCATGTGGCGCTATGTAGCTATGACTGTGGCGTTCGCTTCTCATCTAGGTACCTCTCTCCTGTATTTTATTAGCACCGCCACAATCTTTCCAACCAATCAGATCCTTAGAATCGCCCCGCTGTTGGCGACATTTTCCTTTGCCATTCTATCGGATGACAAGACGAGGAAACGAAATACGAAATGAGGCTATCACGATGACTGTTGTTGCTATTGTTCTTGATGGTAAGTTACGTGTGTGTGGGCTACCTAAAATGATGTGGTGTTTTGTGCGTAGACTAATCACGTGGCGACGTGATTAGTCTTACGTAATGATATACCAACACATTCTATCGCATAACGTTTGAAACATATGCAAATAGTATAGAAAGACCACGCAAAACGAGCTCTATTTAACAATACTAATTATTAAAAATTTTATGTCCTCAAGTGCGAAGGAGACACGGTGGGCCAACCCTCCAAAATTCGAGCAACTTGATTGATTTAAAAACAGCTATCATGAATTCTGATTGAACATACCTTAGTACAGTAAAACCTCGCCATAGCGAACCTGCTCTATAACGAATCCTCGCCTTAGCGAATTAACTTTGCGAATTTTTGTAGTTTATATGTAAAATAACGAACTTTTTCGTATAACGAGATTCGTTAGATTCGGTGCTAAGTCACCACGTAATTCGTTATAAAAAGGTAAACCTTAACCCTTTTCAGGTTAACGTTAAGCCAGGTTTGGAAGTGGTTCGTTGTATTTCGCTAAAATTGGACTAAGCTTTAAGACTTTAAGGTTGACTTTACCGTTTCAGGTAATAATGTGGCCTGTGCACTTACCTACTCCAAAACGAATCCTTGCCATAGCAAATCCGATCCCGTGTTTTTTTTAATTCGTTATGGCGAGGTTTTACTGTATAAGGTACCCAACATGTCTCCCTCGCACTTGAGGACATATAATACTGAAATAATTCAATTGATTTTACGAAAAATTCATTAGACTGCGCTCAGGTGTGGCTAGCCGATCAGAGGCCAGACTTTAGCTGTGGCGTTAGTTTTGCGCATGATCCCCCCCTTTTTCTCCCCCCTTTTCCACGTACACACTTGCACGGACAGGCAACGCAAGTTGGCCTACTGCCTTTTTACTGCGCCTGGGTGATTGTGTGCAAAGCCAGACTTGAGACTGCCCCAATTTCTAAGGGAGGGTGCAAAGAGGGGCAAGCGACAGATAGACCTATAGCTGTGCTATTTCAATAACACCGGTCATACCTAGTAATACTTGTGGCGCTTGACTCTCGAGCATCACGGCCGTACTTGTCCAGGCTAATAAATCTATTGAATTGCATAGCTTAGGTTTAGATTCTTGAGTACCTAACATATGGCGCAACAACATTTAAGCTATCTTCTCATTGTAAGTTATGCCTCCGGTGGTCTCTGTTCGCGAGGCTGCTCGCTCTGCTCGAATGGAAGCAAGATGAAGGCCTAAAACAACTTCGTTGTTCCGCGAGGAACTCTAACCTCTCTGGCGAGCCCACGGCTCGTATATACATACATGTTCTTTGTCCTAGATATCTCATCTAGAATCCTGACAAGGCCATCGTAAAGCTAGGTATCACGAATGATAAAATGGAAAAAGTTCGGAGTTATCAGAGATTGTCATAACAAGGTTGGTATTTCAGCAACGAAGTGAGGCTCTGTGCTAAGGTTCGACCGTGTGCGTCTCATTTCTATGAGAATGGATCGGGCCTGGAGCTTAGGTAGTTTAGAAGTTGGATTAGCCTTTAGCGACAGGTCTTAAGAGGTAGCGATGATTATTCTAGCTCGGAACCTTAACACACTTATGACTTTATCCTGAGTCCCAGGCTCGTGTTGGCTGATAGGGCTGATGAGGCTGATAGGAGCTGGAGTAACATAAAAAGGTAGCAGCATTAATAAGAAGGCAGTTATTGTGTAAATGATAAATATCAAATTACCCGTTAAGCTAAGCTGCCGATAACTTGAAATAGTATAAAGTGACTTTATCCAATCAGCGTACACTAGGCATGTCAATTAATAAAATTAGTAGGCTACCACGAAGGTAGAAAACGAATATAGGCAAGATTCGCGAGGCGTCCTATCTGAAACTATGACTATGTACCAAGGTTAGGGAACAGACTATTTAGTATCAAAGGTAAGAAATGGACTGTCTAGTATTATAGGTTAGGAAGGTCCTAATGCGTAACATTGACAATCATAGCAACCTTAAGGAATTTCATTAAATCACACAAGTCCAACCGGGAGGCTGGAGCGTAATTTTAGTCTTTGCATGGCGTTATATCTACCTAAAGCATACCTAGGTAGGTATATATAGCATCGCCATGTTCTCTCAACCAACTAATACCTGATTCCTCTAATTCTAGGTGAACACTCATCCAGTAATATCTCTCTAGGAATTCTGCACATCAGACTCTTTCTTCTATATTCTATTACTTAGTATGGAATCCACCTCTTCATCACCCAAGATGGCCGGCCTCCTAGACTACTGGATCGTCACTAAGATTGATGGAGTCTACCGCCCCCTCGCCGGCGTCCGCCGAGGCGAACTCGACGTGCCTACTGAAGAAGTATCAGCTACATTCATATGGATAAAAACAATCTTGTCCGACCCGGCGAATCGTATCAGTATTGAAGCCGAGCGGGATATGGCCAAAGACTGCTACGTTGCTGGCGATATGTGGTGGGTGTCAATCTTCCTGTTCGAAGGACCGGCTAACTTATCGAACAGGACCCTCGGTATTGAAGACGAATTCCCTTTCATATCAAGATGTTTGTTGCTAGGCATTTGTCACCAGCGGGCTTATGATCTCTATATGCCGCAAAAGACTCAGCCGTTAGCGCTTGGCTCAGTTTACAACCCAGCTTGCCGCTCAAGCAACATAGTTGTCTGTGACATTACTGATTTAAACGACTTGCGCGGCGGTATAATGTTGCCTGGCGTCATGCCAACGCAGCCATACGTCCTCTTTCCCGCCTCCAATTTCGTAAAAAGATTCGGCTGCATGAAAGCTATTGGAGATATACGCACGTTGGAGCGATTGACGCCAATAGACCCATCGGTTATAAATTGTAGGTTTCTACTAAAGCCTATTATATTGAAGATTGTCAACTAACATGAGCCGGACTTAAAGTCATCCAGATACCTAAAAACACGGTGCATATTCCACGAGCTTTTACGCCTGATGAGCCTCCTTTGGATCGACTTGTCATAGATTTAATCGAAAAAACAGTAGAAGTAAATATCTACGAGGAAAAAATGTTGGATATCCTTCGAGGCCTATCTAGTTTGAGGGGTCTATTACAACGACATCTTTGTTCGTCAGGGCCGTTTGGTCAAACGCCCTCGGCTGGACAATTTATAGGCCTCGCCTTTGCCGGTGAGACCCATGTTGACCTGGTTCGGTTCAGAAGCATACCCGTGGAGGCTATCGAGTTTGCATTCGGGACGAGAGATATGAGTAATACGAAATCACTCAGTCTTCGTGTCGATTATATTCTAGGTTCAGCGATAGGGATTGTTGGTGCGGTATCCAAGTTAACTTCCTTGCGACACCTATACTGTTTCCGGGGGCCAGGGCCAGGGCCGAGGGACTGTGTGTTGAGCAGGGAACTTTATATGTTATTCGCCAAACGTTTGGACCTTTTACAGCGCATGGAAGTCACTTTTAATGCATCATTCTCTTTATCATTGAAAGATATGCCCTGGACCGGATCCCCTTTGGCAAGTCGCCTAACCTCCGCATGTCACCCGCCCTCTCAAGCGGTCCCTGTTCAACACATGTTTATCCGTCGCAGCCAACCAGCCGAGCCAGGAGTAATCGACCCTATCCTATGGACCGCCTCATACTACCTAGCACACGGGCTACTTCGGCCAGAGGCGTTTGCTGCTAAGTTTTTACGCTATCTATGGCAACCACCCGAGCGCCTGGCCCCCTTTTCTGCAGAACCGCCGTCCCTAAAAGACATGTCTGATATTGAGATCCGCCCCCTAGTAGAATGGACTAACTTGCAGGGCATTTCAAAAGGGGCTTGGGTCTTGCTTTTGTCAATGGAGGGGATCGAAAAAGTACAAACGGTGAAATATGCCCTTGTACACATGAAAGGCAAATCTTACTGAAAGTTTACCTCTTATAGAGGCGACGTGACGCCGGCGGAAATCGATGTCCTAGGGCTCAGAGAATTCCTAGCAGTTTCGGCACCGGCGGTGCGCTCGGATTTGATAGATCGAGCGCTGGAGGAAACAAGGGTACAGATGGCGAATTGGGTAAATGAGAGAGATCAAACCGCAGGGCTGGAGCGTTTGCATGTCATGAACATCGATGAAGCACTTACTATGCTGAATGGATGCTTGGAGGTCACCCTTGGCTTTATGGATTTTCTTTCGAGTGGAAGTAGTTCAACTCAAGACTCTTCGAGTTGCCGGCCCGTGGAGGATATAATATACAACACTGAAGAAATGAGCTCAAATTTCGATAGGTACCGCGAGATGAGGAAGCTGCCATCTACATCACAACATCGCTTCTCCCCTTACTAGGTACCTACCTGTGAACCGAGCCTTCCCTCCAGATATTTCATTAGATAGGTAGATTTTAGAAATTGATACCCATTTCTACCTAAACTCACCTCTACGTAATTACGGCATTTATGTTCAACCTCAAAAAACAACTGGCTATAATACACGTATTAACGCCAATCGACTGGTATCGATTCCAATATAATATATCCGATGATGTCGGCATTTTACATATTGGTCTGGTTTTATCTATCTATCCAATGATAGTAATATACGCCCACCCCTATTGCACAGTCGATGAATGAATGAGATATCTACGATGAGCGGGGAACCATTGCAACTAAATACCAGGTAGCCAATATCCTCAAGCAAATACCACGTTATGTTACAATATTGCCAAACCCAATTTACCAATAAACGTTTGAAGTGTCACGAATAAGAGGTGTTCAATACTGTCGTGCTGCCTCCTCTCCCACCAATTTAATCTTGATTGCCAATCTATCACAATTTTCTTTTACTCCCAAGCGGGCTGGCCAGCGCATTCGACATTCAAGATGTCTCAAGAGCCGCTTGATTTCGATAGCATGTGGCGTGCTGAGATACAAAACTTCCAGAAACTTACAGAGAAACATCTCCCGACAAGTACGCCCATATCCCCAGAAGACCTCCAAAAGAAACTCGATAATCTATTCAAGAACGGGGACCAAGACGCGCATGGAAGTTCGCAAGCAAGGAGAATAGGGTTGGATATCATATCATATGTGAAGTTGCTAGGGGGAGTTGCTGCTCAAGGAGCTTCGATTGTAGGGATACGTTCTCCCTTCTGTATCACTGTTACTGGTGCTGACGGTTGCTGTAGGTATTCCCGCCTGCAGATCTCTGTTTCAAAGCTATCACCCTGTTGCTAGATATCCCGCAAAAGATCAGTGACATGCACGGGGAATTCAGAGATGTGTTTCTAGAGATAGGTCCGACCCTCTCTCAATTTAAGATATATTCGAGGATCGAGAACTTGAAGGCTCTCGATAAAGACCTGCTTAAGTCTACCCACGAAGTGATGATTTGCTTTGTGGATATCTGTGCTCAATGCATAAATGTTCTGCAAGGGGGCATAAGGAAGAAGTTGAAATTCACGGCGAACCGAGTCCTTTTGAACAGCAGCGACGTCGCTGACGGTCTTCGACGTTTTAAAGACACCGTCCAACGACAACAGAGCACACAGAACACCGTTGCACTTGAGCTGATCATGAAAAATGAGAAGGGTATTGTTGACTTACTGACCGACTCCTATAATAACGGAAGACTCATAAGGAACATCGACGACAAGGTAGGAGGGCTGGTAAATTCAGAGGAGAAAAGGACATTAGAGAACACGACACAGAAGTACATATCCAAGATCAAGGCCTACTTCGGCATCTCCGATGACGAACTGAACGCTTCTCAGGCCACTTACAGAGATATATCGAGAAGGATACGGGTTGATAGTGGTAAATGGTTCAGGGCTGTGAAAAGCTATGAGAATTGGGTGAAAGGCTCTAGCAATAATCCAAGCCCTCTCCTCTTCTTAACCGGACCTCCAGGTTCAGGAAAGACATTTTCTATTGTCGCCATCATCCAACATCTGCAGTCCGAATATAGCTCAACGGAATCGACCAACAAGTGTCTAATAGCATATCACTTCTTCCCTACTGGACAAGGCAAAAACGATGACGAGAAGCAACTCGTGCCAACTGCACTGAAGTCGCTGGCTATTCAACTAGTTGAGCAAGATAGTGCGCTTGCAAAGATTGTATCAGGTTCCTGCTCCGATGCCGAAAAGGACGGGAAGCTTAAAAGCGCAAGATATAGGGAACTGTGGAAAATCTTGAAAGTTGGGTCTCCGATGAGGAATACCACCCATTTCATAGTTCTCGACGGTCTCGACCATCTCCCTCTAGAAGAGGCGAAACCATTTCTGGAGATGATGAGTGCATTTAATGATGCATTAGATAATGAATCAGGGCTGGTGAAGATCCTTGTCTGTGGCCGAGCCGAGCTCTTCGAGTCCGTATCTATCAAACGAGATGGACTTCGGCTATCTACGATCAATATTATGAACTATATCGGGGTAGAGATGAAAAGTTATCTAGATGTCGACCTTCAGAACCTATTTTCGGGAAACGGGTTCTCAGTATTGAAGAGTTAGAAGCTGCGCTGGTGAGTCCACAGGCCATTCGCGTGGTGACGGAGAGCTGCAAAGTTCTTTCACATTCTAGCCCTTCCATGTTTATACTAACAGATTCACTCACCCCAGTTCCTTCAATTTGAGAGAGATATGATCGAGCCACTCAATAGGTATATTGACGAGAAATTCTCAAAAGTACTCAGAGTCGGACCGAAAAACCTAGTCGAGCTGCGAGATATTGATGTTGAATCTTGCATCGTGAAACAGCGAGAAACATCTCGAGAGACGGATGAACCACCGAGAATTAGTGCTACCATAACTATTGCTAATGTGAATCACGAGACAGTTCAACGATTCCTATGGGATCTGAATACATACTCGATTCTAGAGGGGTTCTCTTTTAAACAGCACTCGGAGACCTCGAATCCCCCCAAGAGCCGCATACACGTCAATGAGGTTGACTTTAACCTTGATATTGTGAAGCTGACTTTCAAATTCCTTCGCCAGCCAATAGACTCGAGGACTAAAGCTATTGGTAGCTATTTGCTACGCTGCCTCCCAGATCATCTCAGAGTCTTATGGGGAGCTACCGGCAAAGACGCTATTGGGTTGAACGATAAGAAAGATATTGGCAGGGGAATCTACGATCTTTTTGACGACGTATCCATAATTGAAAGACATTGGGATAGCTATGCGAAAGTGAAGTGGTACGTGAATCCCGAGGGAATGTCCATATTCTGGAAATGGCTACAAGATCAAGAAGCCACAAAGGGCTTATCAAGGAACGACATGAAACCATTGCACGACGCGATGTCAGCTGGTAACCCAACCAGCAAGCTACTTGTTCCTGTTGTGAAACGTATAGCCCATATTTGGCTGCGGACACGAGCTGGGATGGTTAAATATGCGTTTAGATGGATGCACTGGGTATATTCAGCAGGGCTAGCCGAGTGCTAAGTTCCCACCATTTCGAAAAGCTGAGCAAGATGCCAAAAAACAAAAGCTCTGCTGATATTCTCAAGCGCCTGGCTACTTTAGTTAAGGATCAATACTTGGTTGACCCAGGTCTATCTGCCGCTAAATGCTACTTGGTAGCTTATTATGCTACGTAGAAAGAGACAGAAGAGGCTAGGAAGATCTTCCTATCTGATATGGGCACAGCTTTCAGGGCTCTCTCTGATAACACGTCTGGAAATGATTGGGAAGGATTCAGAATTCTAGCCCATATTACGCTCCATACTGGCGACGAGCAGAGCACATTAACAGCATATTCGCAGATGGCCCCCCCATACTCAACACCGAGATCATAAAAGAACTTTTGAAGACCGAAGAATCTATCGAAGAACCCGTGATCACGGAGATTTTACGCGTCTTTAATTCTGAATGCCATCAAGAGCAAGATCCGGAAGCAATGATTAGTATGCTAGTAAATAAGACAAACGGACTGGCGGTGAAGAGCGATGAAGAATCCCTCAATAGTCAGTATCTTGCCGCTGGTTCATTGCTTAAGGGGTGCAAGAGTGTGATAGACCAGGGCTGCGGGTTCACTTGCGATAAGTGTAAAAGTAAAGAGTGGGATTTGGAAAACGAAATGCACCTGTGCAAGTATTGCTTTGACACGGGGTTCTGTAGCCGCTGCCTCGATGGATTGAGGTCTGAGGGGGGGAACGGTGGCACACATGCGGTCCGCACCATGACTGGCTTTGCTTCCCAAAGTGGGATGTAGAAGGATACGTGCGGGCTTGTAAAAGGATCGTCCGAGTCCCTTCTCCCTTTGCTGGCGAGGAGACTTGCACTGTCGCAGAATGGTTGGCTAGGTTGAGGGATGATTGGGGGTTGCCGAAGGAGGACTGGCCGGACTGGATCTTCCGCCAGCCGCTTTCTTACGCTTCTTCTGAATGATATTGTTAAGGGATGCTGCCGGAGTTATTAGGCAGCCCTGCTAGGTCAACGAATTAATAGTGAAGATGCGGGTGAATAGCGAGAACATGGCTATTTTGAGGCATGGGGAATTACCTACATATGAACCTAGCTAAGACTAGACTACGGATATGATCAGGGCTTTCTTGTTCTAAGCATCGCAAGGTACCAGTATCTAATATTAGTCGCTGTGATTCATGGCTATCAATGCTCCGTACGAATTATGACGATATACTAATATCATATTACCCCAAGGCAACAGGATAGGGGTAAGGGATAAGGGGTAAAGGGGTAAATTATTTACCAACCAAATAAATCATGGAGCTGAGCCAAAACAAGTTCTTATTTGCCCTCCTACCTGGAACCCAAGTCTAACGCCACTTAAACCTCGATCTAATCCCATCCTTACGCGTAAAAGGCACCTCCACCTCTCCAAATTTCCTCAACGAACCAACCTCAACCTCAACCTCAACCCCTCCGCCCTGCACGCCCCCCCCGTCGCTCCCATCCCCCACAACAGGCTCCTCCTCCTTCGAAGTGAAATACCAAACCAAAAGCACCAGCACGGTGCTAGGCCCGGCGAAAACCCAATACACCCAAAAATTGGGCTTTACGACCGTGCTGTCCTGCCACTGGAGCAAGGGCATCGCGAACAGCGTCGCGAAGAAGGTCGGCGGGAGGAACACCATGGTCATGATGGCTATGGTTTTCATGGAGTAGCTGTCGTGCTTGGCCGCCTGCGCTATGTTTTTGCTGCTTTCTGCGTCGTGGCGGGTGAGGAGGTTGAAGATCTGGGATGGAGTGAACTGGTTAGGAAGGCGACTGACTTGGTAGTGGGGATAATATGTATTAGGGTAGGGGGGTGGGATGGGATGGGATGGGTTGGATTAGGCTAGGTAGGTACGTACGACGGAATGTTGTGTTCTGGCTCGTTCTTGGAGGTAGTTCGCCTGGAGTTTGCTGGATTCGACTTGGCCTCTCAACAATCCTACAGCGTTTGCAATCTGGTCTGCACTACTAACCGGGGCCACCGCTGTGTTGGTAAACGTGAACCTGTGGTCGTGCGAAGGCTGCTCGCGTGAAGGCAAATTGCAAAATATCGTCTCTGCCAGCGAAACGTGCCGAACGACGTTCGCCAGCGCGGCAAGGCTTAATCCCATCTCTTTCGACTTCTCTACCAGTTCGTCCGTTCCTGGGGGGAAGATCGCCTTTCTTTGGTCTAGCCACGTCCCATGCTCGGTCCGTATCTCAGTAGAGCGGATTAACCCGAGATTCTCGCTGACCGACTTTTCGATCCACTGGACGAGCTGTATAGTAGAGAGGAAAGAGCAGAAATTGCAGTCGTCGATCAGACTCCTGTGATAGTACATCGACTGTAGGAAGTTGCTGAATATCGAGTCGCGGTCATCAACCCCGTCGGCTTCTCGCGGGATGATAATCACCCTCGTGGATTTCTCGCAAGGCTTGTGCACCCAAAGAAGCGTATAAGAGACGGTGTTGAGGTAGTAATTACACCAACTCCTACCCTCGTCGCGAAGCTGGAAAAATCCGTATACGGAACAGAGGAGCATATGCAGCCAATACGCGTCGAACCCGAAGTCTTGAAATACCTCCATGAAGAGCTGTTGGTTAATCAACAAGGTCCCGTCGATCTCGCGGTCGAATTTCACAAGCTTCAGAGTTGCTGTGGGCGACTGCTTATTAGAATCCTCAATCGGTTGGTTTACTCGATCGAGAAAGCGTTTAGACTGGATCCAGGGGACCTTGACGTCGGAAAACGTCGTCTCGGTCTTGAATCTAGCAATCGTTATTAGCGGTATGTCAACTCCGTAAAGAGCAGCATTCTCTTCTTTGAATTTCTGCTCTTGTAGAAATCTTTGCCGCGCCTGTGCTCGTAGGCCGTCCATCAAGTAAGTGTTTTGTTGATTTGGGCGTACGACTTCGATAGGTTAGGTAGCTTCGAGGAAGAATCGGAATTCCTAAAAGACGCAGAAGAGGTCGAGGCTGCATAGAAAAGAGCCTAACAAGTCTGTCTGTCTGCCTTGTAGGTAACTTACATCATAGGCCAAGGGTGTCTCAGCTCCCTCTCGCAGAGCCCTATTATGGCTAGATATTTACCGATCACAGCCTCCTTTCTATACTGCGAACCGTGGCCCCCATCCAATCAACTTCATGGTTTTAGGGGCTATGCAGTATACTCTGGTTCGTGGCTTACATATGATATTTGGGGATCCTACATAGGTACGACAGCCTTTTAAGAAAGCAGCAGCAACTAATTTCCACGCCTGAGGAAATACCGCTTGGCCTTCACTATTTATTTGTCAGTTTCGAGGTGCTAGGTTAGGTAGCTCGCAATGGCCGATTCAACGAGCCTTCGCGGCGTTGGCTTCTCCTCAGCGGTTTTAAAGGACCATGGAAAGAGGAAACAATTTATATCGAAACTGTCCTATTCCCAACGAAGCTCTTTTGAAGTTCTGCTCGAATGGTTGGACTCGCCTCAACCGGGTCGAGACGTCGACCGAGAGACAACAAAAAGAGCTAAGAGCCTGAACATCACCACTTATCGTAGTATCATGGCTAGGCTGAGAGACTCCGAGATACGCAGACGCTTCGGCCGCAAACCGTGCAAGCCGTCCGAGCTCGCTAGCCTTCGCCGAATGGCAATGTGTTATGCGGCGTGCGAAAGGATATCGTCGTCGTATTGGCGATTAGCACCACCACCGTCGAAGGACATATTCTTAACTCCAAATACGCCGCTCCACGGTGCTTCTCTCGTAGCCGACATAACCTTCGACCACGAAACGCCCTACTACCTCTGGGATTGCCAACGCAGGGAAACCCGTACCGTCCAAGAGATCGTCGACGCCGAGGGATCTTTCCCGGATTACGTCGCTATAAGCCACTCCTGGGTTCGCTGGCAAGATACCTCAGCTCCTAGGCTCGAGCTACCCGGCGTCCCGTGGGAAATCCCCCGCAATAAAAAGTTCGACGTGGAAAAGCTGCCGGACATGCTAGCTGCTCTGCCCTGGCGCTACGCCTGGATCGACCTATTCACTATTCCCCAAGGATACATGCTTACCACCGAGATGCGCCGACGCCAAGACTGGGAGATCAAAAGCGCGCCTCTGATCTTTCGCAAGGCCCTAAAGGCCGTGGCCTGGCTCGACGATTTACCGTCTTGGTCTTCTCTACCCAGGGCATTAGAGTACCTTAGTCTGCAATACCTATCATCAGCCTCATCCACGTCCGGAGTAGACAAGAACCTGCTATTACCATCGATTAGAACAGCCGCCGCAGACGCCGACAAACCCCTGGAACTTCTCCGGCACGATCCGAACCGGCAGGCTCCCGCGGACGACATCTGGGAGCCGAACGCATGGTTCACGTCCATGTGGTCTCTCCAGGAGGCCATCATGCGCCCGGACGTACTGCTGTGCAACGGGACCTGGGAATTCCTCGAAATCGGCAACGGTGTTCCAATAGCACTAAACGACATAGCCGCCTTTCTACGAGTCTGCTCTGGAAGTGCCGCGACCACCCAACCCCAACCTCTCTGCGTCCGAGAACTATACCAACTCTTCGAGAGAGCAGGGCTTATGAACCTCCTCGAGTTAACGAGGGAAACGTCGGTGATGTATGTCGAAAAGCTCGCTGGATTCTCGCCGGTGAGCGACCGAGCATATCCGCAAATCGTATCGTCTGGGGGGACTGGGAATCCCCACGATAAGCCGTCAACTACGGTGTCGGCGCATGGCAGGGAGACCAGGATAATTTCTGATAGTGCGTGATAGCGAAGAGCATTATGAAGCCGGCTACTACGAGAACAACAATACGAGAACAACAATGTGAGGCTACTGGCGCCCGTAAGTTTTGCTTTCGAGGGGGCCATGACGTTGGGTAAAGTTCAGGGTGTTGCCAAACGGCGGGGATGGGTTGGCGGATGGAAACGTCTGCTACAGGATACCGGTACGGAACTGGCCTCTTTGCCTTGGAACCACTTATAGGACTATCCAGTAGAATAATTGAAAAACGGTAAAAGCGTTAACTGGCTGGGATCGGCTCAATGTGTAGACTAGATGTAACGATTGTTCCGATCATCTCCTAATCCAAGGTACATGTTAACGTATTGAAAAGCACCGACTACAAAATACCTAGAAAATTGGTTAAACCGAGAATAACAAAACTGTCTTGATAGCTTCGATCTAATTAGCTATCTAAAGAAGCCAACCAACTCCAACACTAACCCCTGGTATGACCACCGGAACGCCGTCGTCCATGATTGCAAGTACTGCGCTTTTACTGATATAGTACAGACGAAGAGAGGTATGAATAACATCTACGAGGACTTCTCCTTCTTCGACTTCTTCTTGCTCTTCTTCTCTGGGCTATCGTCCGAGTGCTTTCGCTTCTTCTTGGAGTCAGCCTCAGCATCGACTTTGGAAGGCGTCGCGTCGGCCGCCTTGGCTTCGGCCTTCTTTAACTTCTTCAGCTCTTTCTTGCTGACAACTTGGGGTGTTCCATCGGCATTCGTCTTCACATCGCCACGCTCGTACTTGCGCTTGAACTTGGAGACCGAGATGCCGGCTTCTTCTGCTAGTCGGGCATAGTCGGCCTCAGACAGCTTGGCGGGTTTTGTAGGAGTAGCCTCAGCTCCATTCGTAGCTTTCTTGCTCTTCTCTTTCTTTGCCGAGTGTTTTTCTTTCTTCGATGTCTTCTGTTTTGACTTGGCTGCTTGTTTGTTAGTTAATGCTAATATAAGTCGACGCCGCTTATAATGCAAAGGAATAATCTAAAAAACACTTACCGCTTTCGGTGCCGTTCATGTCTACATCGGAATCTTCCTCTTCGGATTCATCCTCGCTCTCCGCGTCTCCCATTGGGGTGTCCTCAACTTCTTGGATTAAGGGCTTGCTAGGTGTCTTCTTGGCCGAGGTAGCAACGGCATCGGCATCGGCATTATAGCCTCGTGTCGATTTAACCTCAAATTTAGATGGCGTGGCGCCATTGGGGGCAATCTTGGTACCCTTGGATACCAACGGCTTGCCTTCTAGCTTCCGTAGTTTATCTTCTAGTAACGCGCGGAGTCGAATACCCATGTCGGCTCTCTCCTCGTCATCCACCGGGATATCCTCGCCATCAGCACCCTCGGTGCTCAGCTCGGAAAGAGCATCTACACGCAAGCACAAAGCAGCCTTGGCGGACAGCGTACGCGCGATCTTGCCCTTGTTTTTTCCACTAGCCTGTCCCACAAGAGATGAGTGGTAGATGAGACCGTATTTAGGAGTATCATGCTTGGTCTTCAGAGCACGGAAAAGAGCCTTCTCCGCACCCAGAATCTGGATGGTACTACCAGGGCTCTTGGCTAGTTTCAGAAGCGAACCGGTATGCGCGATAAGACGAGCACCAACTAGCTCACCAAGCAGTTCTGTCAAGTTGGGAGCAATTGCCTTCATACGCGATGTCAGGTATAAGGAGAGTTGTTGTCGGTACTCAGTGAAGCTGATCACCTGCTCGGCAAGGAGCTTGATGTTCTCCAAGTCAAATTCGAGAATTTCAGTACCCATACTGACTTCTGCAGCTGCCTTGACGCGAGTTTCGATATCCTCGGGCAGGATTTCGGAAAAGTCGGTGTTGGGGGCGTTTTCTCGCGTTCCCATAACCAGGATAATGCGAGCATAAGCAAGGTTGTCCTGGACAATACGGTCCAACTCGGGGAAATGCCATCCATACCACTCCTTGACTCGCATAGCATAGTTGTTCAACTCCTTGTCCAAATCATCGAGAAGCTTGATGGCCTGGACAATCATAACGTCCACCTTATCGGGGGAGAACTTGAGCTTGTGGCGAGAAATGGAGTGCGACAGAGCAAGTGCCATGTTTCCGAGGTAGTCGCTCTCTAGCTCAGGGAAGAGTTCAGGAAGATAGGTCTTGATGGCGCGGAAAAGATCATTGGTAGATGAATCGGATACTGGAGTGATGTTCAACTGGGGCAAAATGTTAATTGCGGCACCCAGTTTTGGATCAGCAACAGCAAGCGACGCCTTTCGTTCCTCCTTAATATCGTCGAGTAGGTTTTGTAACATCGGTGTTACTTTGCCTTCGGTGAGGGCAGTGTATTCACCTAAGGCTTGAACCGAGTCCTCGAACTTGACCATCTTCTTGAGCGATAGCCTATGTGAAGCTGGTGAGCACGCGCTCTTGGCCAATTGATAGCAACTTTAAGATGATAAACTTACATCGAGTTGATGGCTTCAGCGCTGGAAAGCTGCTTTTGAACATCGTCTCGTGACAGTAACTTCTTGTCCTTGGCCTTGAACAGACCGTAGCTATCATCGCGTCAGTATATTCGTGCGCACCAAGAGTGAAGATGCGGAAACATACCCCGCAGGCGTCTCCGCGAGAACGAAGAGAGGCATGATTGCAGGATGATTATAACGATATAGTTGTGGTCCTGCAGAGCTCTCTTCGCGACGACAATGGTTGGTTTTTATGATTGGGAGAAATCTTGGAGCTATTGCTTGTGCAAAAATTTGTTCGAACTTCGTCGAGAAAAAAAAAATGGGAAAGCTACAGCATAAAAGTGGGAACGGAATGTGGGAGCCAGTCAAAACGCAGTTTGAGCTTTGCCCCTGCACTTTTCATTCGTTATTTACAAAGTCGGGCATAGTACATACCCTTTATTTCAGTAAACAGAAACCTTATCGTTATCGTAGGAAACATATTACCTTATGCCGTATTAAGCATCCTTAAGCCATCCTAGGTTGCAGCGCATGTAACAACGTAAAGAACCAAGCTCCAGAACATCAACTTTCTTAAAAGATATCCTTCCATCGATCAACAACAGTACCTAGTATTCGCCAACATGGAGGGCCTCTTTTTCAACGTTAACAATGGGTAAGTTTAGATAATTCTGACGAAAAGAAAGCTTCCTGATCTATGTATTGGTAAGAACTAATGCGATTGGTATAGTTACATCGAAGGCATTGTACGGGGGTACAGGAATGGCCTTCTGAATGGTGCTAACTATAATAACCTGACGCAATGCGAGACCATCGACGGTATGCGCCCTATATCTACATATAATTTAAATAAATAGCAATGCATCTAATAGTTCCGGCTAGATCTCAAGTTGCAACTCGGTCCTGCTTACGGCGATTTCCTCGCATCTCTCCCTCCCAATCCGTCCACTTCCAGTCTCGCCGCCAAAACAACTGACAAGCTCGTCTCCGAATTCCGCTACGTCCGCGCAAACGCTGTCGGATCTCTCGCGCAGTTCTGCGACTACCTAACATATGGCTACATGATTGATAACGTAGCTCTTCTCATCACCGGTACCCTCCACGAACGAGATACCCGCGAGCTGTTGGACCGATGTCATCCTCTCGGCTGGTTCGAGACGATGCCCGTTCTCTGCGTGGCTACTAACATCGAAGAACTATACAACAGCGTGCTGATAGAGACGCCCCTAGCTCCCTACTTCAAGAATAGCTTGAGCCACCAAGATCTGGACGAGTTGAACATCGAAATCGTACGGAACACGCTGTACAAAAACTACCTCGAGGACTTCTACAACTTCGTCAACACTCACCCAGATATGACCGGCACCCCCACATCCGAAGTTATGAGCGAGATCCTGGAGTTCGAAGCCGACAGACGAGCCATCAACATCACCCTTAACTCCTTCGGCACCGAGCTGAGCAAGGCGGACCGTAAGAAGTTATACCCGAACTTTGGCAAACTCTATCCCGAGGGTACGCTGATGCTGTCGAGGGCGGATGATTTTGAGGGTGTAAGATTGGCAGTCGACGGCGTTCCTGATTACAAGAATTTCTTGGAGGCTGCAGGGTTGGGTGGTGGACCATCAGGACCAGGTAACATGGCTGGCGGGTCTGGCGGCAACGAGAAAAGCTTGGAAGACATGTTTTACCAGAAGGAGATGGAGATTTCGAAGAGGGCCTTCACGAGACAATTCACATATGCCATCGTGTATGCATGGGTAAAACTTAGAGAGCAGGTAAGTTGGCAGAAGATAACCCCTAAAATTCGTTATCCCGTCTTGGTCTCTAACCTTTACGATATAGGAAATCCGCAACATCACGTGGATCGCCGAGTGCATAGCACAGAACCAGAAGGACAGGATCAACAACTACATCAGCGTATTCTAATTTCTCGCATGCGCTTTTACGATTACCCTTCGCTCTCTTCGAAACTGTAGAACTAATGGACGGGATACCAAGGAAATAGCGTTCAAAGCTGCGATTGTCACGGGATCTTTCTTTTCTTTTTTTTTTCTGGGTTTTTTTTTTCTCAATGGCGCTAGGCTGATGGACAGACAGTTAGAGCTCTCGCGCATCTCGAATGGCTGGCTGCTGGTGTTTGTTGTATTGTACATAAACACATGTTATTACAGAGTATGCATCTAGGCCACCTATATGGTACACTCCAAATAGCACGCATGCCCAGGAGTTTTACGTTGTGATTTGCTCCTTCCAGGTCGCCGGGCTCAGACCAAGGGTCTTGATCATATGATTCCACCTATCACTTCCCCTTTCCTTTCTGTCCATATACCGCAGTAACTTCTGTCGTTTATGGAGCATCAACCTTAGATCTCGCTTACCTACCTTATCCCTGTAGCCTCGGCCCGTCTCTAACTCGTTGGCCAAAGCCCGGATCTTAGCTGTCAGGATGGCGATCTGCACCTCGCTGCTTCCGGTGTCCGGACCGCCTCGTACTGGTCGGGGTTCCCTCTCCTGGCCTCGCGAAAGGGCCTTAGGCCTTAGAAAAGTATCGGTTTCGTGTCTCCCAAAAGTCTCCACGCACCGCCGGACATTAGCATGTAACCTATCCTTCGCAGAGCCGTTATCCATGTGCGTAATACGGTGCAAGGCCTCGACCGCCCTTGCGTGGTTTTGCTCGTGGCGTTCGACCTGCTTCTGGTACTCTTCCGATTCGACAGGAGCGAGATCAGTCGGGATCGGCCGCGTTAGAGTATATGCGATATTGATCGCGGAATCCAGCTCCTCCTTGTGGATGAGATTGTTTAATATATGGGGCGAGGTGGGGAGCTCGTGCGGTTCCTCCAGCGGGTTCCCGTCGTCGTCGACCGGCGGCTTAGACAGCAGGGCTTGGCCGGCAGAGTCGAAGGACTCGACGAAGGGGGTTGTGAGACCGCGGATAGGATCGCCATGCTGTGCGTCCCTGATAGCTTCGATCTCCTCTCGCCTCTTTAGATGGGCAGCTTTGCGCTGCTGCATCTGAGCCCATCGGTAAGGATCCTGTTTCGCCAGACGCCTTTTCTCCTTTTGCGACAGAGAGGCGGTTTGTGTGACGGGGAGGAGGGACGAAGTGGGCGGTTTTACGGCTGGTCGTAGACATACTGCAAAGCAATTGTTAGTCGAGACTAAGTCACGTAAGTAAGGAGGTTCTTATTCTCACGGGAGAAAGTGCCTAGGCGCTGCACGCCTGGTATTCGGGGCGGCATGGCGTCGCTATATTGGAGTGTTGAACTGCTGAGAATGAAATCAACTTTTAGCGGTTGATCCACTTTATTTCTCAGACCTGCAAGACGGAATTGGGTTTTGGACCTTCCGACGTTGAAGATGTCACGGAATGGATAAACGCTTTTACGTTAAAAGGAATGCTGGGTATGTTCGTGCTATCGAATTGGAGGTGGTCCGAGCTGTTCAAGTTTGGTTAGTATGTACTTCGATACTTGTCCTATCGATAGTGAAATACGTAACGCATGAGCTAACCAATCAGCTTACCCCAATCGAGGCTAGCGTCTCCAAACCCTAAGCTCTCGCACCAAATCACAATTCGATGCAGCTGAACTGAAATCTAACCGCGAACTTTTTCTGCTGGGAAATTCTACACCTTGACAACGACGATCGCGCAACGCAAAGCAACTCTTCTTCCTCACCCTCATTACCCCCTTCTTTTTCGCAATCCTCCACAGATTTTGTGAGTTGCTCAATTCAAGTCAAGATGGCGTCCGCGAATTTCCCCGCCTCGATGCATGCGACGTCCCAGGACATCGAGATGCTCCTCGCTGCTCAGTCCCATCTCGGTTCCAAGAACTTGCAGGTTCACATGGAACCTTACCTATGGAAGACTCGCGCCGACGGTGTCAATGTCATCAACATTGGCAAGACCTGGTATGACAATAGGATCTCTTTCGCTTTGCGCAATTTGCGAAATATGGCCTGTTTATTGACCTGAATTTTCTTTTTTGCAGGGAGAAGATCGTCCTGGCCGCCCGTATCATCGCTGCCGTTGACAACCCCGCCGACATTTGTGTCATCTCTGCCCGTCCCTACGGACAGCGTGCCGTCCTCAAGTTCGCCGCCCACACTGGTGCCGTTGCCATCGCCGGTCGATTCACCCCCGGTTCTTTCACCAACTACATCACCCGATCTTTCAAGGAGCCCCGCCTGATCATTGTCACTGACCCCCGCACCGACGCCCAGGCCATCAAGGAGGCTTCCTACGTCAACATCCCCGTCATCGCCCTTTGCGACACTGACTCCCCCACCGAGTACGTCGATGTTGCCATTCCCACCAACAACAAGGGTCGTCACGCCATTGGTTGCGTTTGGTGGATGCTTGCCCGTGAGGTCCTCCGCATTCGTGGTACTATCGCCAGCCGTGACATCCCCTGGGATGTGATGGTCGATCTTTACTTCTGTATGTTATACCAACCCGGACACTATAGTACGAGTATATAAGCTAACATACATATCTACAGACCGTGACCCTGAGGCTGAGGCCGAGGACAAGGTTGAGGAGGAGAAGCTACCTGGTACTGAGGAGGTTGGCCCCGCTGCCATCGAGACTGGTACCTTCGGCGCCGCGACTGCCGACTGGGAAACCGCCCCTGCTGGTTTCGCCGCTACCCAACCCGGTGGCTGGGACGGCCAGACCGATGAGTGGGCTAACGCCACCGGTGCTCCCCCGGCCGGCGAGTGGGGTGCTGCCGCTGCCACCACCACCGAGGCCAAGGACAGCCAATGGTAGGACCAAAACGCTGCCGACGCCACACCACAGGTTCAGGGACAGGGACAGGGACAGGAAGGGCAGGCGCAGTATCAGGGAGGTTTCGGTTATCGATCTCAAACCATGGACGATGTGGACTGGTAAATCGCCTCCACACCATACATACACCACCATCACCGCCACCATCGCAATATTTTGATTTTCTGCCGCAGACGGGACAGGAGGAACGCGGGTCAACTTGACCGTACTAATGAGGGAAAGATATCCGGGTTTGGGGGTTGGTCTACGTAGTCTCTTCTCGGCAGAAGTAGCTTATGCCTCTTTCCGTAGGAGACCGTCGTCGTCCGCCTGGGCTCGGGGGAATGCCCTGTGCAGTCAAAGGGGTGGACTTAATCGTTATCCCGCCCGTTTTCTCCTAGCTTAGCCGTAAGAAATAAAGAATTGCAAATGAACAAATTTGATGGGTCTTACGTCTTTTGTGTGTGAGTGATTAGTAGAACATGGGATCATAGTGATAGTGGACCCCTTCGCTGTTCTAACTTCGAAAATTAAATTATAGGAGCTGTTGTATTGAGTAGTAGGTTCGCTCATTACAAGGTACTACCTAACCAAAGGCTGATTGTCACAAAGTGATATATTAGACACGAAAGTAAGTATAATACATCGGCACTACCCCAATATAATACAACTAGACGGACATCATCACATCTCCAGTACATGCCGAATACACAAATACACAATATAAACAGGTAAGGGTATCTCTCAAACATCTCCTCTCATAGTATTTATAAGGGACCGTATATCTACGGGTTGTGGTATATTTACTTCTTTGCTCTCCTCCCCTCCCCTTCTCTCCTCTCCTCTCCTCTCCTCTCTGCGAATAATTCCAACAACGGACGACAATAACAACGACAACATGCAGTCCTAGTCAAAGGGGTATCTGAACAATTGGGCCGGAATCGAAGAGCGCGAACGACATTAGTCTCTTCCCCCTCTCTATCCCTCTCCCGTCTCGACTCCGATTGATGCTTCTCCGCCATGCATATGCACCCTCTGCCACCTATTCTTCCTATCCCCCTGGCTTCTTTTTCTTTCTGATGAACTTTTTGCCGTTCTTCTTTTTTGACTACCTCTCCTTAGTAGGATGGTTTATTCATTAACATGAGTAAATATAAAAAAGTTAAAAAAAAAAAGAAGGATGGATCGCCTAACTCCACTGCTCTTGATGAAAATGGATGTCCCCATCCTGTCCTGTTACTCCTCGCCGCTACCAACTGCAGCCCTTTCCGTGGCCCCTGCCGTATGATTCGCGCCGAAGTTGTCTTTAAATTTGAATAATGTGGTGTAAAGGGAGAAAAATGTTTCATCCAAGAAGAGAAAAAAAAAGGAAATTTTGCCTAGAACTGAGCAGACGACGAAATGCAAAATTGCATTCCTCCTGTGCCATAACCTATCCTTCCTCCCTAATATGCAGTGACCAAAGACCTCTAAGGCGTATCGTAGTACCGTAGAGTATTATATAATAAAGGTGGCGGAACCTGCGTACTAATACAATAATAATCTCGTGCGGGCCAAGTATCGTCTATGGTGATTGATACTAAATGAAAAGAGAATACAAACGATGGTGATATACAAATATAAGTTGAACGGTCTCGGCGGGTGGGCTCTGATGCCAGTAGTTTTTGTGTAGACAGCACTGCTTTGTCTATTCGAGGCTCGCTGAATGCTTTCTGATGTCCTCGTCACTCAGAGCGCTCATCCAGAGACATCGCTCGGTAATACCCTCGATGGGCTGAAACTGGTAATGAGTGCTAGCTTCAAGTAGACGAAGTAACGTTTTCACCACCGAAGCAGCGATACGACAGCGCTCAAAATTGACCAGAGGCGCTGTAGTCGGCGAGCTGGCAATCTCGGATGGCCGTTGTGAGTTATAAAGCAAGTCGTGGATATAGATGCCAACGAAAGGAATGCATCCCATATCGGCAGAATCGCCAGGACCCTCCATCTCTGCTCGTATATTGTAGAAGTTTCTTGTTGGCGAAACCAGCGTCTCCAGGTCTCTCATAGTCTTTAGATCAGTAGGTGGAACCATAGCCCAAGTCCTGGCGAGCCTTGCCACTTCATTCGATGTCAATGCGATAGTAATCTGGCTCATTGTAGCAAAGTTGCGATACTTCCTACAATGAGCAGCGATATGAAGAAACTTGATGATACAACGGGCTCTCTCTTCCACATTTTGGGTCAGTACGATTTCCGAGACTACCCACTTGACCATGATATTAAACCGCGCAACGACAACTTCAACACCATGGGCATCTGTGTTCCGAAGAAAGTCAACCCATGACCGCGAGTCATTGTTAGAGTTTTTCCAGCGCATGTCAATTAACTCTCTCCAATCGACTTCGTTCAATGCGTCCTTCTCGATTAAGGTAAACTGCTGGGCGAGAATTTCAGAGTCGAAGGCGAGGATAAAGGGCAGATGTGCTGTGTTCTTTTGCTTCCCCTCGTTAGATAACCTAGGCGCGTTACGAAGCGCCTCTTCGGTGCCGGTTGGATCCTTGGGCGATTCGGAACCGTGGCGGTACATTGCAGTGGTAGGTGTGGTATCAGGGGTAGGCGGTAATGGTTTCTGAGCCCACAGCTGATGCTCGTGAAGTTGTGGGACTTGCTCTACATCCGACGACCCCCGAGAGCCATGTGTGAGTGTCATGGGAGGAGATGGGGGCTTGTCTCTCGACGTAAAAGTAACTCCACCCTCCGTATCAGGAGACGGTCCGGTATTTATAGGACTAGGTCTCTTGGGTGAATGTGGTTCTCCAAAAATGTAATCTTCCGTATCAGGCATCTCACCCGACATTTCAGATGACAGATCCGAGTCATTGTCGCTATCCGCGTCCAGGAACGAGGGATCTTCGGGGGCAGTTGCTCCCGGCTTGATTTTATTAATGCTTTCCGTTTTCTGTACAAACTCATAGGATGGATGCTGCGAGGAGACAGCTATTGATCCCTCTTCTTCTCCTTGCGGAGTGTCAGGGCCTATTAATATTGAGTGATTTGTCCACTCACGAGTAGCCGTTTTGCTACGCCCGTCATCTGTTAATCCACGATCAAGTAGCGGGATCGAGTTATAAGTCTCTCTCGAATCTTCCGACAGAAACGAAATTACCTCGGAGGCTCGAGAAAGTGTTGATTGCCCATTGGATGGGATATCAAAATTCTCCTCCAAAGGCGACACGACGGCGTTTTCTTCCTCACCAATATGTTGTTGACGATGCTTTCGCTTCTCTTCTTGGACGTATTCTACCTCGGGAGTGCTAAGGGATCTTTCTTTGAGTTCCTTAAGGTTACCAGGAGGCAACCTCGATGGTTCCATCGAGAGCTTGGCGATTTTTCTCTCGTATTTTCCCTCGAGTTTTAGAAGTGCTGATTCAACTCCTCCATCATCATCCACATCATCAGGGATTTGCGCGAGCTTTTGGGCTTCCGCCTCGAATGAGGGTCGCATAATCGGTTTCGATGAGTGTGTAGTAATTAGAGATACTGGTTGCTTTGTGGACTGTTCTGCCATAGCTCCTAAGGAGAAGACCTCTCCTCGCTTTTGTGAAAAGTCGCTACTAACAACATCAACATATCCGCTCGAGTCCCCGATAGGGCTACGTAGGTAAGAACTCCTAATGGATTCCGAATAAGTTGTCAATGAGCCTACTGACCGCGACCTATGAAGGGGAGCATCCAGATCGTGGACGTTAGTTACGCCTCTGAGGTCACCACCTGGCCGTCTCCGGAGAACTCTTAGTGGCGGGGGCATAACTTCAGATGCTACTGAGCCTTCCGAGTACGATGTAGCGTCGAAACTCCTGATCGTAGACTGCGCTGCGATGCCACTCTGAAAAGACGCCCATCGTCGATGAGCAATGGATCCTCTTGATCGATAGCTTCGGCTTGATTGTTGGCGCCGATGCCGATTTACGTAGCTCAATGGGGGTCCGCCGGATGACCGTGCAACGAACTTGACTGACGCACGAGTATTGGTATTGGTATTGGCATCCTCAGAAAAACGTCCCTGGCCTAGTGTGTCCATATCTGGGACGAATGGGGGCAGGGGACTGGTGGAAGCTGAAGACTGAAAAGCATGCTGCCCTAGGAGGTAGGAAGACCTTCTCGGAGTACCACCATGCACCGCATGCCCAGGCGGCGTAGTTGGTGGTGTCAGATCAGCACCACCGGCTCTCATCATGCTCTCTGCAAAGGCTTCAACAGAAGGGTTCAAGGTTGTCAAGCCGCCAGTCATAGGTGGATAATCCTCAGGTAACGTTCCATCTACAATAACTATAGATTTGCTTCCTGCTGTAATTGCACCGTCGCTCGTACGCTTGAGCTCAAATGAAGAGTCTAGATGAGCCGGCGAATATTCGATAGGATCACTAGCGTTGCCGACATGGCCATCATCGGTTACTTCTTCGACAATGGCATCCTCCCGCACAGCTTTCTTGAAGTCTTCAGCAATTGTAGCGCCAAGGACATCAATACGCATAGGCGCACGAGGGCCATTCGGACGTGGCGATCGTGCCTGTGGTACAACTGCTGTTCCCGGAATCCTATTGGTTGTAGCACCCCGAGGTCCGATAGGTGCGATATCGATGAGATTTCCGTGAGTTGGTAAAACTCCCTGGCCCCTCATACTCAACGCTCTCCGCACACCGCCAATTAATTTCCTCATTCCTTGGGCTGACATCGCCGAACCAGAGCCTTTTGCCTTTGACCCTTCAGTCGGGTGAGGTTGGAAGACGGTAGTTTGGCGTGCTGTTCCCCATGGACTCGGGGGATCCACATCGACGAAAGCTTGCGTGGGAGGCAAGACATTTCCTCGGACAAGGCTACCAGCATATGGTAGAGTAAGCAGGAATTCCGCGTTCTTGTAAACAACCTTTTCGGTAACTGAGCCGTGCTCTCGGAGTGAATCTGTAAGGCTGTTGTTGCGCCTATGAGACGTATGGGGCCTAACACGCTTTCCTGTCAGAGCACGTGGAGTAGGGGCAACAGGATCCGCATTGGTATAAATTGAGCTAGGATCGACAGGGTGGGCAGCGAGGGTAGAACTTGAATTCGGGTCGGCCATCCGAAATGCCTTAGTTGGGAATGAACAGGAGACTACGTCGAGGCTTGCAATACTAATCGGTGACGTCTGTCTCCTTTGTAATTCAGCAGGCCGTTCCTCTTCTGGTGTATCCGGACGTACTCCACCGAGTAGGATTGAGTCGATATGGCCTGCCTTAGATACATCTGCGTAGAAGCTGTTTTCGGAGTGTGGATCATTCTCCGGAAGAGAGAGATCGTATATCTGAGGCGGATCCTCGGAGTCAGTTTCCCAGAAGCTAGGGTCCAAGCTAGGATCTCGATGACCAGCGATTCCACCCGGCGCGATAGGGATATCAGGGCCCAATGACGAATCAAATTCTGGACCATCCCAGAATTGCGTGCATACGCGTCTCCAGCATTTCTTTAGCTCCGCAAGGATCTTCAACTGGACTTTCCGTCCCTTCTCATCCCGAGAAAGTTCTTCGACGAAGTCGTTTATGAGGTTGCAGAACATTACGCGAAGATGATAATCCACAACAAAGTCATCGACAAAGTAGTTCAAGATCCAGTGCCTCATAGCAACAAAAGTTCTCACTCTAACTATCATTCCCGTCTCGTCGTCTCGGGACACGGCCCATCGAAGTCTAGAAACCAACATCCGGAGCAGATCCTTCGTCTCGATAAACGCACGGAAAGTGAGGAAGAAGTCTGATATTAGTTCATAGTCAAGGAAACTAGGAGATGTGATTTCAGCGACCAGACGTGGAGGCGTGGCAGCCGTTACGGCGCCTGTAGTAGACGAATAGCGAACAATCGAACGATCATCGCAAGCTGGTTTAAAAGTAAGTGAGTCAAACATGGAGGGTTCGATGACAAAGTGTGTGGAAAGATACGTCGACCGCACCGGAGGGTGAGGATATCGCGGTGCGGTGATGGTGGCAGGACTAAGTAAACCTGGCGATGGTAGTTGAAGGTGTGGCGTAGAACTCGCCCTTTGCCTTATGCTCTCTATGGAATCAGGATGGAGCGAATTTAGATCACGCACTGATGGTCGAAAGAATGACGCATTGCTCGAACGGAAGTCCTCAGTCGGTGCGTAAGACGAGCCTCGAATTAGAGGCGTTCCTCTCAACGTAAATCTCGGCGTACCTAACTTCCACGAGGGAATAGAAACTTGTAGAAGCGAACCCTGATCTCGACCTAAATCTTCGGCGGTTTTCGATCTCGACCCATCCTGTGGTTTCGATATGATTACCTTGAAAACCCCCGCTTCGCCCTCCTGTGCTATGCTCGGGGCATGAATTGTCGAATCAGACATAGCACGCCGGCTTCGATTCTTCGGTGCCTTCAAGTCGAAATAAGTCTTCTTCCTTACAACTCCAGGCGATGGAGAACCAGACAAAGGTGTAGGAGTCCATTGGCTACTAAGCAGCTCGCTATTTTCCTCGGGTACTTTTTTCGTCTGAAGTAAAGGATCTAAATTTGTGGTACTTGGCGACGTGGCCGGGAATACGAAGTTGGGTTGCGGGTATCTTTGGTTTGCTGGTCGTATGGTAGGCCTATTCCAATTTCCGTAATCAGTACAGCATGATCGCGCTTACACATTTGAGCTACTCCTACCTTAAAAATATTTTGCCGCCATTACCTACGTTGGCCACAGTAAAATGTCTTCCCTCCCGACCAGCTGAACCTCCATCGGGGGTTATATTCCACTTGTCGCCATCGGTATCCCGTTTCGCTTTATTCCCATCATGGCCTCCAGACCTCCTCTCGCCTGCCGGTACCAGAGGTTTCGAACTAGTTATACCAGGTATGCGCACTTTAGATCCTCCAATCTTGCCACTTCGACCACCCAGCGGTGACTTTCTAAATTTTGAATCTCTAGTTGTGGCCTTGGGTAATTTCTGGGTCTTCGAAGAGTCGGCCTGCGAGGATTTGAAGAGGCTAAGATTCGATCGCGTCTGCAACGGCAGGCGCAAACCCTGACGGTCCACCTCCATTTCTTTCTACTGCGCAGCAGATCTATGCCTGCTAAATCCAACAACGACAGGTGGATGCATTGAAGGCTGACAAATGTGATTGTTTCGAGTTGACTGGAAGCTGGGTGCCGTAAGCTGTTAGGAGGTGCTTCGCACACATGCTCCAACCATCATTTAGGCGTATTTCTCTTGTGTAGAGCTTCGTAAAGTGTTTGACGAGCACGCCAGTCGCCAATGGCCCAATACCCAAATGTCGCGACGCCCCAATACCGTCCCCCTTTGTGAGCCGTGAATGCGACGGTAGTCAATTGGGTGTGGCCCGGTTGGACAACGGCGTGACAGTTGAGTGGTGAATGAAGGAGAGTTTACCGGGGCCCGGATGGCAGAAGTATCTTTGGGACACAGGGACACAGATTGGGACATTTGGGGCTTTCCTATCTTGCAAGGTTTGGCAACCGATTGCTTGATGCGCGCCGGTCGCTCCAACTTTGATTGGTTTAAGCAATTATGACTGCACCTAAAATGCAACTAAATGCCTGCAGATAATACCTGCAAAAATGAAGGCAAGTGCAGGGCAAGTGCAGGCAAGTGCACTGGCTTCAGGGCTCTAAAGCAGGGAAGTAAGTACAGGGGGATTGCCTTAAAAGATGGTCCCATTCGTCCAATTATCACGCACGGGTCAACTGTAATTTACCTCTGTGGCTAGTCTGTTAACCCCTGTAATAAGAAACTTACAGGTGCGTAGCATGGACACTTCCAGTCTAATAAGAAGAAGAAAAAAAATAGACCGAGAAGGAAAAGACTCGAGAGACGGAGTTCTTTCCGCCAGACTCGGCGAAACTTATTAGCGTCATCTATTAATCAAATCTCATCACATACCAGATGATGTGTCTGTTTACCATCTTTCGTATTCACATCTGTCAACTATCAACTATCTACTTGAGAAAAAAGATAAAAAGAAAATAACTTCATCCTAGCTCAGTAATGTCACATTTTCCTCTGCATTATACAATTATATCCGAGTGGCATATCCTGTACTCGGCACCGATTCTGTAAGAAATATCCATTGTCAAGAGTGCTGCAAGTCGGGGTCATGCAGGATAATGATGATCCAGCACGTTGCCTTTCGCTTGTATTGGTCCATCCGTCTGATCTCTTTTTTAAACTCCTTCTACACTACGCTTATGATGTAGTCCCACAGTCGGGCAAAACCGAGTCCAGTAAAGATAGGCTGATATTAGTCTAGACCATCCATCCTATGTACATATTCTTATTTCTGTCTCGCTCTCTTATGACGTTTGGGTTGGCAGTACAAACTCAAACTTAATGATGTAGAAAAAGGAGACGATACCGCGGGGAACTGCACTACATGGGTAGTGTAGACATTGCCTAGAAGTCCAAGTATCTAACCCTTTATGGGGAGATTGACATCATTTCCATCGCTCTAGTGTGAATATTGCTTGGACATTTCATGCAAGTCAACAGAGCAGACTCGCCATGACCTCTTCAATGTAGATGCGACAGAGTCAATGCCTTCGATCCAACCCACGCCGACGATCTCGAAAGATGCATCGCGTGTCTGGATATTCTATTACCACGAACATCTCATAGCTTAATGCGACGAGACCATCAACATACCATATATATAACTGCATTGGTTTGAAGTTATACTACCTATGCTCACTGGATATCCAAGACAAGGAATGCGGATCACCTATGCAACCTATGTGTGTATAATTGGGCCACCGATCCAAGTATTCGGCATGATGCCGTACATCTTGATTAATTGCGCCAGGAACGGGTCAGGAACAGGTTAGGCTCGTAATGTCATAACGGACCTATGGGCTTGAAAGCTTCAGGATCACCAGGGGCAAAGGCTTCACCCCAGATCCGTGATTCGTGATAAACTACCGAGATGCCTAACCATTGGCTATCAAACAGCATACTACTATTCCAACGCAATGTGGTTCGATCTCTACCATCGCATTGCTCGATCCCATCTATAGAACATACCTAGGTAACCCTATTACATACACTGATACTGTACAGTAAGAGATACAAAAGGCATGGAGGGAACTCAGCTGGTTATCAGCCACATACATCATCGTAGCTGGCTTTGCGCCTCGTCCCAGTGAGCACTAAAGAGCTAAAATGAATCTGATTCGACCCCGTTTTAGACACACGCAGTAGACTAGGTAGAGGGAATGATAGAGACGCAGGATTAAAGGAATAATCCTCATCGGTAGAGCAACTAGAGATATGCAACCAATTCTCCTTGCCACCGACGTGCGTCCGCAGGAATAGTGTCGCTCTCGCGAAATTTTACGCAGTGGTGTCCGTCCTTTTAGGCTTGCCTTGGCTTACTTGGTTCAGCTCGAATCCACGAGGACCCAGAGATGGCAAAGCGTATATACCATCTACCGTGGGGAAATCCTTCCACGTGCTGGACAACTCCCGACCTTACTTATCAAGTAATAGGCGTAGAAGATCAACCCGCTGGTCTCGAACCTGTCAGCCTGTCATATCGACAAGGCCCGTCGCGGCGCTTGGACCCTAAATTCGACCTAACTCAAGCGTGAGGGTACAATACTATGTAGGTCAACATGATGTCCTATCGCCGAAACTGTCCTGAGATGGCACACAGAAGAGGGGAAAACGGAAAGTCAAAGGCCCCTCCCTTTCCACAAGATCACGAGTCTCCTATAGTGCAGCTGTCTTAAGCCTCAAATATGCTAGAAACCTAGGAATACAGGAATCTACTGCAATAATTACCAAGAAATAAGAAGCATTCGCAACAGTCGGTCTGCGCTTCACGAAATAGTTGCCGTTTCTGTCAGTCTGCGTCGATTCTTCAAGCCCTTAATCTTGTACGTTACGACAGTGACGAGCTGGGTCGCGAGAACTGTCCCACTTGGGATACTACAAAATTGCACTCTTATGCTATGTATCAAAGCCCGACTCTTAACCCCCCCTGCCAAATCCCACCTTCACAATCACCCCCCACGAGGTTACTCTCTACCTAAGATCCATCACCTTTGGGTAGAGATGTGCGGTGAATCTTCATTCCCCGGAGCTAACATCTAAGGACTGAGTTAGGTAGCCTATGAGATATCCGATGTCGCATGTTTACTAACAAGCAAACGACATTTTGACGCTGATGTCCCTATGAATTTGCTCTACTATGTATGTAGACTCTTCAACCTAAGCCGCGGGGCCTACCCGAGACAGCTAAAGGTTAGAACCCGGTGCGACCAAAACGAGGCGAGCTTGGCAGGGTCCTCCCTGCTGCTCAAGCGTCGAGATGTTGAATAGAATCATAACCTCGGAGCAATTCCTCTTGGATGCGGTCTGGACTTCTTAGTCAAACATAATAATGTTTGCTTGACCAAGCTCATATGTGAGCTAGAGCAAGCCTCAACTGCAGACAGGCGTACATCACCTACCAGCCTACGCATCATTATTCATATCTCCAAAAGATCCATCCACCTACCCGGGTCATGATCTAGTCCTTCCAGCAGATAGCCGAGTCCTTCGGGGAACACAGCAGCACGCCATACCATAGCATTGCTATGTATATGCGTTGAATGCTCAAACAGAGTACATAGACATGACGTCGCACACTAACATTGGCACCACGATGGCATGGAAAATCAGCCGACACCGTCGCGCAACCAGAGATCTATGACCCGAGAATTCAAACAAGCTTGACAGGTCGTAGGACGTGTGGGGATCGGAATAAATCAATACCTACCTAGTGTAAATCCCAACGGCGGAGCACCATTGGATTGCCCCACGGCGTTGACTGATTTTCGTCGGTGAAACTGGCTTTCCCAAGCTCTCCTACTACATATGTAGCCCTACAAGCAAGATATTTCGGGAGTTGTGACGATCACACAAACGGAACTGGAACTAGGTATGTACCATCATCTACCTATAGGTAAGTTGTCTCTCCGAACCACTTCGGAATTAATGGGTATAACACTTTGAGTCTATGTATGATTGGCAAACGAAGTGCCTCAAACATGCATACTATAGCGCGGACCGTTGCACGGAATCCTTCCTGGCGAGCCGTGATAAGTGGAGGTGAGCCAAATTCGACATGTAGTTTACCTTTTCTACCAATCAATTGTGCCTCTCCGCCTATGTAGACGATATCAGATCAGCTAGCAAACTCTCTCCCCTTCATGACCATGGCCATGATCATTCGTTCCTACAACATAAACGGAAGAAATGTCTCAAACATCCTACCTCATTGCATGTACGTGCCGGGTTTGAAACAGACCCCCACGATCTAGATCTACCAGAGCTTTCTTCATAGTCAAACGGCGCTACCGAGAGAATGGTTAAACACACGAAAAATGCCCCGGAGTACGAGGTCTTAAGACTCAGAAGCCCACGCAGCTGCCCGACAATCACAAGCCTTCTCGCGGATTCTCCCGTATGTAGTTAGAAGGAATAAGAAAGTTCACAGACTCGTTCATACATTAGGTACCTTAGGTAGGTATAAGACATCTATGTGAGAAAAGGACCCTTGCAACTCGGCCCAGACTCCACACGCTCAAGTTGAGATATGCGCTGCTCAGCCAATCGTATGCTTCCCGTTCAACGACATCAACTAAACTCATGATTGAATTTGCTAAGACTGCATGTTTCAGACATACCTAGCACGAAATGCCGTAGGGATCGGGTACTAATTATACCTACGGCATATGCCGGCATCCAAAGACCAGAGTGGGGGTTGAATCAAGCAACATCTACATACGGGATCTTGCCGCCTCAGGGGAGCGAAGACCAATATCTATCTGCCAGCCGTGCAAACGTAGAATACAGATTTCTAACTCGCCAGCACGATTGACAAGCGTCTAGATAGTCTCCACTAATATATAGCATGTTCGGCAACCTACCGATTGGCCGTTCCTCTCTCGCAGTGTAGCGGATATGCACAGGTTATAGGACGCGGAAAACGCTGCGGCTGCTTAGTCCTAGATATTTAGCATCGGCCGGTCTGCAGTATGCCGCTGCCGCCATGGAGTTAGGCACACGCTCTCTATCACTATAGTTTTGGGTAGGGCGAGACCATAAGACATAATTCCTTTCATCGAGGTCACTGGAGAAGTGTACTTATGTAAGAGTATGAGTCTATTAGAAAAGCTCTATGCTATGAGGTAACTATTTCTATTACGAGCCAACACAAGGCAATATCATGCCAGCCCGATAACCATCATGAATAATCACCTCTTACATGCAGATATTGAGGTTAGGCTTCTATTTCCCGATTACCAGACACGGAAACCAGCATTATGTTAAGGTAGACGCCCGTAAGGCTCAATATGCATAATGTCTAACAACTCATACCGTCTATCCCAAAGTCTCCTTTCCATCCGGCTGTCACGTAGTTTGCTGGCACAAGTCGCTGCCGCAGCTGCAAGAATACCCAATGCCGTTCCCCTTTCTCCCCATGGAACCCTAGGTATAAGCCGTTCAAAGAACCTCATCAGCGATTGAAGTGTTTGTATAGACATCAAGGTTCTTAGAATAGGCAGGTATGTGGTAGCTACCTACCAGGTAGCAAGCTTCTCCTTGAAGCCTTCTCAGCATCTCTATAGGGCGGAATAATATAAAGTCATTCCCTTCCTCATCTTTTATTTGCTATGTCATCTAACAATCTATACTATTATTGAAGTTTACTATCCTATCCTATCTTAATATATGAGAGCAGACTTAGTTGATCAGAATCTGAGAGCAATTGAGTTGATTGGTTCAGCCTACCTATGCTACTTTATCTATCTTACTTATACCAGACGGGCCTTTGATATCAAGTCTCTACCTTAAATACACCTTATATATCCTTTTTTACACATACTTCTACCAGTCATACAAGAGGGTTTCGCCAGCAATATATACATACCTACCTGCATAACCTATATATATCGAAACTACCTACACATTATGATAACTATTCTTTTTATATTATTTCTGAGAGCAATTGAGTTACTTGATTAAGTCTACTATGCTACTCTATCTACTTTACTTATATCAGACGGGCCTTTAGTTCCGGTCCTTTGCTGACTACATCTATCTGTTACGAGATTATTCTCTTCATTGTTCACAATTTCCTATGCTACTACACTATCACTGGCAAACTTTCCAGTGGGCATGCCTTTCCCTACCTCGAAGGTGCTGGTTTCTTACACTCGCTATTCTTATCCATACCATTAGTCTACACCGCCGACCCGGCCGTTCTCGTCATGAACGGCAATGGAAAATGACGCTCGAGGTTTTTGGGGATTTGGGTGGTCATAGCTATTTGCATTCCTTTCTACCCTCCGAACCGGCATGGCTTCATCCCCATCTCACCTTTTCCATGTTTCGATCCTAATTGATCGAGCATACCGAAGTACCATATGCCGATCACCCACGCATCTTTAATGTTAACTACCTCAAATACAACATCGCCGCTCTCTCCACACGCACTAGAATATCTACGCCTATACTATCCTCGGCGATTATAAGTAACTACACACGACGATGCTGCGATCCCTGCTTCTGCTCGGCATACACTCTGCTCGGTATACAAGGCGGCATCTCAGAGAACTATCCCTCCATCTGGACTAGTCTTCGAAATTAACCCCAACTAATCTCATCATCACTATGGTTACAAACACTCAAGATATTTCTGAATATCTGAATAATACGTGTATGTGCATGGTTACATGTACATCTTGCACAAATTCCTCGGACGCAACCGCTAGGATCTTGTTCGATATTATTAGTTAGATCCCGCAACACTCTTTTATCCAGTCTATCTCTAATATCTATCTGTCGCCTAATATATCCCACACCGACGAGATAGGGGTGTTGTCTCTACAGTGGTAGCGTATTGTGTCTATCCTGTGGTTCTTTAGATCACAAGATTATGCGACTGATCGGATACGCATTACAATGGTAATGTAGTATCACGAGTCCTTATGTTGTGACCGTTAAAGACGCACAAATAGCTATTTCTGCAGGCAGACCGCCATTAAAAGCAGAAATAAACCTTATATTGTGGCCGTTAAAGAAGCACAGTACTGGGGCCTTACTGGTGATGGTCCATCTACCTAACCTAACTATACCGGTCGGGATACATACCTATTTGTATCGATCGGGTTTAACTAATACATCCCCTCTTACATGCCCTCATCTGCCTTTCGACTCTCCCTTCTACGCTGACGGGGCGGAACGACGCTTCTACACCTATATACACGACAAAAGAGCGTCAACGCTATAACTAAACTAATCGCGGAAAGGCCAGCCGAGGGCTCAAGAGTGCGACCGGTCCGAAACAGTTCGGGAGCAGCGGCTCGCAGTTAGGTATCACTTCGCTGATACTGCTCTCCCTATAGCCTACCGCCTATACTCGCAACCTACATAAACTACGACCGCGGACCTAACAGTAACTCCCACATGCGAGTCCTACACTACACTACTCTAAACTACTCTAAACTAATCTAAACTATCGCGGTCCCGGGGCCAAGGGACCATCCAGTCGGACAAGGGCACTAGCCAGGGGTCCAGGACAGTCATGGATCCGAATAGTATCCAAGCCTGGCACCCCAAACCTCCTTACGACGTGTGGCCTATCCTGCTATCCTTTGCTAGACAGTGACTCCTGTCTCCGTGGTGCTGGCTCCTGTGCCTACCGGTCTAAAACTTTCCGTGGGGACTATAACAAATAAGTGGCGCAACAGGTGTGTTCGGCCCGCAACGACAAGTATTTCACCCTTTCATCGTTTCGGACTCGTCTGGATACATCTATCGATAACTACCTAATCTAGGCGGACTAAAGTTCTCCATCATCTTTGTTCCCAAGCACAATAAATGCCTACCTGCCTGGGTACATATACGGCTACCTAACCTAATCTCAAGCCCAAGATATTAATCTTCGCATGCCTGTCTACACTATAAACCCCCCTTAAATTTAATAATTGTGGGATAGCAGGCCGCCTGGAAATAGTGAGGAGATACGGTTTACTGGATCCAGGACTTCATTTTCTCAATGGAGGTTCGTTCAGTATCGTAATCCTTCATATTTTCTTTATATATATTAAAGTCCAGTGTAAAGCTGCTTTGCTGGGCTTGGGTCAAGTCTGATGCCGTTTGTATGTCGTTTTGTCTATCCTGGGCATTTCTTGGTTTGGAATAGTTTGACAGGATAGGTTTGATGGGTTTAAGTAACCACTGATTCTGACGGTTTTCGATAGGAATGTCGCCTCCGGGGCAAATCTTATGCCAAATATTGGCACTTACTGTCTTTGCCTTAAAGGCTGTCTCCCAGTATTCCCAGTTATCGGGGCTTAGGAGCTTTACCGTACTGGTATCCGTTGTGGTACTCATGGTGTATTACCCTGGGGTAGTGTCTTGAATTTATCGAATTGGCTTGATAATGTATGGTGGATCAACTTAAAATAATTACTCAATGGCCTTAAGCGAATGAGACTCTTAATTGTTAAACAAACCGCTATACCACTAAAAGGTTATTTGGTAATAGATTTTATTCTATTATGTTTTATATATCGGACAGATAGTAATATCTGACAATATGCTAGCTCAGATATCAGACGGATAGCACTATGGATTTAGAAAGGGTAGTCACTCGGGCATTAATCACTCACTACCTACGCTCAGCCTTCCAACTTAGATCTTTTTACTCATAGCCTTCCGCATAATGATTGTTAAAACTGAACAAGTTGCTAATAATAATATAGAAGCAATACCTCTACAATATTCATCATATAGATACATGGGTAAACATAATAGCAGTTAGTACAGCACAGATCCGGTAAACAAAGATCGATCCACCGTAACATGCAATAATATTCAGGATCGTCGCATCGTTAACCCCTTAAAAACCCTCGCTGGGCGTTTCTCGCTTGCTCGGTGCTGTAAGCATCGATCTTGACGGCCACAAGCACACACTCGACCGCGCTCTTTCCGTTTCTCGAGCCTTGTATCCGGAGCCTCCACTGTCCCGTGCGGACTACCCACTCATCTCCTGTGTGGCTTGAGAAGTCTATCCGCCTCCTTTTCCTTGCGGGACCGAAATATCCACCTATACTAGAAAGCGGCGAGTCTTGCCCGCCGCCGTGGCCCATTGACGATGAAGTTGACATGGCAGTAGCCATTTCGTCGTTTTCTGTAAAGTTATATGTTTTACCGTCGAGGATAATATGCGAATCGGGTTCGATTACTACTCGAACGAGATCCTCACTCAACGGGGTATTTCCCGGTGTTGCTGGCTGGCTGCTAGCCCCGCCTGATGCCATCAATAGTCCCAATGGCTGGGTTGTTGGTGGAAGGTTAAGTTTTGTAGCGATTACCTCGAAGAGCCTTGCCACACGAACTTTGATTTGACCGAAGAACTCTGCTCGCATGACGTTCAGATGCAACTTTGTATTCTCGCCTCCAATCTCAAGGATGAGTTCATGCTGTTTATCATCTTCATACGGTCGCATGTAATTAACCCACCCTGACACGGATTCACCGGTACCACTTGGTGTGGTAACATCGCTAGCAATCGAGATGCCTGATTTCAGAATATCTTCAAGTCTAAGAGTAATTTCGTGCCGTCGCCGAGCCAGATTATAGCTTATCTGATGCGGGATCAACTTCTGTTCCAGGCCCTTGAAGTTGAAATAACGACAATCGCGCAGTAATGAGGTGCGATGTTCCTCGTCGCGTATGTGTACGGGGTATCCGCGCAACAAGTGTAGCAGCTCATAAAAGATATCAGCAGACCGATTCGGTACACAAGGTGGCATAATAGAAGGCGGGCGGATCAGATGTTCCTTATCTAACCCGGGAAATACCTCCTCGCGCGTCGAAAAGAAGACACCAAAGCCCAAAGAAAAGAAATTAGGCGAATTTCCGGGACCGCTAAATATGTCGCGCGGAATCTGAAATTCGCGATGGCCTATAGAAATGAAGATAGACTCTTCATAAAGCCGCGACATTAACTTGGGTAGGGTGTAGAATTGAGCGTCGGCGAAGAGACGCACGAAGTGCGTCCCGTCACGCGGGGTGACATGATAGCCCTGTAAATGAAGAGAAATATCTCTAAAAGTAACGGGATCCCGATCTATATAAAGGGTCCGTATTGCCGTTGATATATCTTCTCCGGCTTCTTCAGCTCTCGCAATTTGACACTGAAAATACCGTGAGAAATAAGACGGAGCTGGATGATCGAGTCAGCAAAGTCTTCTTAAGAGTGATGCGTCCACCGTATGAGCTAGAAACGAGATTCGCTCTTCCGACAGGAATGGCTGCAGGTGTTAAGAGAGTATGGCTGACATCATGCGCCTATATAAGAATTGAGGGTAAGGGCTGTTTTCTCACGCACCATCAGAAGAAAGAGAGGCTCCAGAAAGTTTGAATAGTTCGGTTCCTATCTGGATAGGGAAAACGCGTTCATGAGGGAGAATTCTTGGGATTTTTGAGATTAGTTCGGGATCTGATGGCGGAAGAAGAAAGATATCGCGACCCTTATTGGTCTCACTGGAATGGTTAGACGTGTTCATTATGGATGATGCGATCTATGTTGAACACGAGACATGGCCGCTACTAATGCCGCTGCTGTTGTTGTTGGTGTTATTGATGCTATTGGTGCCGTTGCTACTAGATTCATCTTAGTAGGAATAGACAAACATAGACGGTCGGCGACATGGTAATTAGAAATATGATATGTCAATACATCTCAATTAGATTACGGGTTTAATATGAATGGCGCGCGAATGGACCGGGGTTGATAAAACTTTATGATGGTCAGTCAGGTAAGCAAGCAACCGGCAAAGCTGATGTATGATGTGAGGGTATTTAAAATGCTATAGTTAACAATTGGCGAAGTTGCAGTTAAGAGAGATTTGCAATCATTTTGAAATCAGCTTAGGGGTTGCTTAGGGGGTGCTTACCTACATGTCGCCCCTACTTAAGGCAGCTAAGGTTACAGTTACATTAGGTAAGATATTGTACCTAAGGAGATAGAAACCCGTGCCTGCATATGAGGCGGTGCGGCACAGCGAGGGGTTCCATTTTCAGCTGTAGAAGGTTCAAGGATCAAAGTTCCATTTTCTCTCTCCAATATCCAGTGGCTGAGCGTGGCTGTCCTCTTCGGAATAAGCTGCCGTCCGGTAGGCGCTAGACCTCCATATCTTTCTTTTTTATATTTTATCTTTATATTTCATGTCTTATATTCTTCCCCACGTTCGCAAGACTTAGTACTCGTCAGAATCTAACTTAATATTAAGATTTGTATATTTCATCTTTACTAGCACCAGATAGTAGTTGAATCGATAGAGAGTCATTTGCTGAGCCCCTAGTTCTTATGGTTTATACCTAGACCATGATATATGTGCCCGTAGCGCGGTATGACTTTCTTTACTTACACCTTGCCGGGCTACTAGTACGAACAAACAAGTTAATCAATTCAATACGTAACTTAACATATATTTATTTATTGCGTCTGATGTACGAGCTTGCGTCGTCAATGCTACCAAATTCCCATATTCAAGACATCGTGACCCTAGTCCCTTAGACTTTCCTCTCTCGAATGCGTCCACCGCCCGACTACCTATAATAAAGTGGGTATAATCTAGGTACGCACGAAAAGACATATATGCCGCATGCCCGGTCGATCATCAAGGACACCCACCCATTGCCGTGACTATACCTGCCAATATAAAAAGAAATGCTGTTCTGAGAAGTGGTGGGGCAAAAGGGGAAAGTGACGGTAGTCACTACATTGTAAGACAGACTGAAAAAGAGCTTAACATATAGGCGGAAGAGGACAAGAAGAACAGACCCCCCGCCACATATGTCCAAAGGCAATGTCAGCGCATTTGGCTCTGCCAGCAACAACTTGAAAAGGAAGAAAAGGTTAATCTTGGGAGTCATAAGTTTATATAAGGCGGCATGTGTCACGCACTAAGACCCTACTTCCGAGGCGTAGCTGTTCTACTTGTCAGTATCGACATGCGAGAAACTAGAACTTAATTACTCACCATTCACCATCTGCCTCTGTTTATTCAGCCAGCTCCGAGGAGCGTCTTGTCGCCGCTGCAGTACGACGTGAGTACTCTGTAACCTGCTAGTGAGGTCGTACCATGCAGTAGATATCATTGCGTTTTCGCGTTGTAAGTTTTTGATGATCTGGTCGGTTCGTGCCTGTCATTTTTTTGTTAGGCGTTGACAGAATTCTCTCATCACAATAAAAAAAAAAGGAGAAGTCTCATAAGCCACGGTCTCCAGATACAGGATAAATGATAATACATGATATTTAAACAAGAAACGTATTTCTTAGCTGTAACAAAACTATAAAGTAGATAAAGACTTGTCTGGTCCATGTCGTCGACTGCTCCACTGATATATGTATTAACGTGGAAACTTTTACATACCTTCTGGACACCGGCTTCCGATCCAGCACGGACAGCTTTCAGTGTCCGCTCTAACTCACGGTTCTTGACATCGGACTGCTCATACTGCTGTAAATCAAACAGGTTTAGTCAGTCTGTATGTTCAAAAGTATTTTCGTATCATAGCAATTGAGAAGAACTAGCGTCTCGTTGGCTGATCTGTTTAGTCCAGCCACTTGGCCTCGGACTATCCCGCGTGCTACGGTAAACGTGTGCTAACATAGGAGCTGACGCCGGATTTGCACTGCCTTGTAAACCACCCTTCTTGAAGCTGGACGTAGTGTATCTATTTTTGGAGATGTCATCACCTCGCGGAATGCCTATGGAGGCCGTTAATGGGCGACCAGCCTTACTAGAGGATCCGACATGTCTCGCTTGAGAATCACTTTTGGGAATTTCTTTTTTCTGCCCGAACCAGGAGCCCACAACATCCCAAACGGACTGATGTTTGACTGTGACCCTAGTAACGCCTTCGGCTTTGTCTCCATTTTCGTCTGAGTCATCGACGATGGTAGAACCAGCGAGAGATAGAGGAGGAACAGATGAACTCACCTGTTGTAGCTGCTTGTATCGTGCCCGCAGCTTCTCCATTTTCTCGGATTGCTTAGCACTATCCGTGTTGACGGAGAGCCCGTCTGCGGCCCTCTGCATCTCGCGGTTAGCTACTTCGGCCTCGCGTCGCAGCTGGTCTTTCTCGATGAATGCCGTCAAGAGTTGCGACCGCTGGTTTTCGAACTCTTCTCTTAGCGACTTGTGTTTATTCCTTTCTGCTTCGAGCTCGGCGCGGAGGGAAATAGCAAGCATGCCATCCGTTCTCTTAAGCTCTGCGAGTGCCTCCTGGCTAGACTTCTCGACAGCGTCAACTTGTTTCGCATAGTCAGCATCGTCCATACTCATGAATTCCCTGAAGATGATCTTACAATCACCTTGCAACTCTAAGAGAGCTCGTTCTTTGTCGGCAAGTTTCTGGTTCGTAGATTCTAGTTGTCGCTCGAGTTGCTTGGAACGGTTTTGCTCGGCGAGGACCTGCGTCCGGAGGTTGGAATACGCTTCCTCTCTGAAGTAATTGGACATCAGCCACGTTGTGTTCGATGAGACATTATAACAAGCTTGAAGAGCCTGAACTAACCCATCTTTACCCATGTTCTGGATAAGTGCATCCAGTTGGTGTTGACCGACGGTATACTTCTCGAAAATATCGTTATACTTATCCTGCAGGGTTTGTCGAGAAGTACGAAGATCTTCCATCTCCTGGATGAGTTGACCTTTTTCTGTTTCCGTACCTATGGTACTCCTAAGAACAGCATTCTCCGCTTGGAGGCGCTGAATTTCAATGTTCCTCATCGACGCGGCATTGCCAGATTCATTCAGCTCGTCTTCAAGGGAAGTTGGATGGTGCCCCAAGGGCGTACTCGGAGCGGCCGTGGGGTCGAGCATCATTACCTTCTCCTGCAGATCTTTAACGATAGCCTCATCCGTCTGGCTTCGGGCCTGCAAACCCTCGATGCGGCCTCTCAGCTCGTTAATCTCCGATGTGTACATGATCTTCTGGTCTCCGAAGCTAGCGACTTCTTCTTCATACTTCTGGAATTGTTCGGCATATTTTTCCGCTTCTTTCTTGTAGACCTCTATCCTCATCGTAGAGATTTCAAGTTGCTCTAGGAGCTTAGCTGTGTCAACCCGTTCGCTATGTAGCGCTTTGAGCTCCAACTCTACCGACTTCATCGACTCTAGCTTCTTCCTCAAATTGTCGGCCATGTTAGCCTTCTTAGAAAGATCCTCATTTTTAGAGCGGAGTTCTTGGTTCTCGTCGGCTAGTGCCTCTGCTTTCTGTGCGACATGCTCCAGGCGAATTTTCTCCTTCAAAAGTCGATCCCTCTCTTCGACCAAAAAGTTCCTCTCATTCTCCAAGTTCGCGATGATTGACTCGTTCTCTTTTAGTTGGCGCTGGATATGGTGCTTGTTAAAGTTGCTAACTTCCGAGTCAATCTGCCTATGCAGATGCTCATTTTCTTCTTGAAGTTTCGAATGCTTTTCTAGAAGCTCGTCATAGTTATCCTGAAGGCGGTCCAATCGTACCTTTAAGAGACTCGCTTGTCTGGTTGCCTCCTGCACATCTTCTTGTAGTTTCTGGTGTTGATTCACCAAGGCGGCTTCTTGCGCAAGATCATCGAGGTTCGCATCGATATCATCATCGGCGGCCTCCTCGAGCTGGTCAAGCTTGGTTTTGCTCTCGCTGATAATCCGGAAAATTCCCTGTTGCACCCTCTCGTCTAGCTGCGTAACTAACGTGATGTACCGACTGTTGTCGTCTTCACGTAAGCAAGCAGCACATACGAAGAGGACCAAAATCTGGAAACAGTTAGTGTCGGCAAGGAACCTGCGTGGTGGAGGATAACTGCTGCTAGAGGAGGACCGTGGTCGAGAAGACTGTGATGTAGAGTTATTCACCTCGAACATGTCTATTTTGGTAGGTTCCCAAGCTAGTGCCTGAAAATCGACCAAGTCGATAAGGGGCTCGATCTTAGGGGCATGTCGTCGCGCGATATCTTTGAGACCCAAGTGGATGATATGGAGGTATCGCTTTCGGCCCTGGGTCATATCGCTATCGGTCGATGTGGCGGCGAGGCTTTGTTGAAATCTCGAGGGGTTATATTCATCGTCTAGAATTTCGAGCAGCGCGGAGAAAACAACACCGTCGAAAAGATCATCGGGTTTCTTGACCTTGATGTCTCGATTCTGGCCAGGCAGTAGCTTTGCGAGCATCGAATTGGCCTACATAAAGGCCCTACGTTAGCGGTTGGCCGTACCATAAGATATGAAGGTAGACTGGGGGGTATAAAAGATATAGAAGACTACATACCCATTCTAGCAAAGCCACCTGCGTGGCTTGCGAGGTGACGGAAGGAATCATGTCGTCAGTAGGTTGCTACCTCGGGATATAGGGTCTAATTGTTGTTGTATATTAAGATTAGTGGTGGCCGCGAATCACAATCGATTCTAAAGGACCGGAACGACAGCTAGCTGCGTAAAGGCAATGTTTGAATGACAGTCCAAGAAATATATACCGGACGCAGCTATAGTCGCACCTCGAAATTTATGTCATATAGTAAAGCACTTTCACTTAGTACTTGGCTGAGCGTTTAACGTTGGTATGTCGAAAACTCGGGATATTGGGATTGTATGGTAGTGTATGGGAGCGAATCGTACTCGGTGGAATATGAAGAAAGTAGGACTTAATATGGGAGACAGCGCTATAAAGGACAGGTATAATTCATTGTGTTGAAGAATTACAATGGTTCAACAAGTAAACAAGAGCATCGTTTCTAGACACTCTCTATTGTCATTATTAGCCAACAAGGCTGTAAAGGAATTGACTTCGATTTGAAAGGCGGGTTGAGTTGTTCAAGTTATTCGTAGTTACACATTTGGAACTCGACGAAGAAACGGGACACAATGAGATACATAAGGTACATTAATCAGCTACCCACATTGTATTAAATTATTGTACCTACCTATGTACACTACACGGTATTATTATGTACACTATTGAATAATTGATCGTCGGACCAGGCGGCACGGGTCCCTGTGGACCATTAAATCGCACTCGAAAGAGGAGACCACCACCCTATGGCGCCTGTACTTACAGGGATTATGCATGGGCTAATACACCTAAAACTGCACATGCGCATGCTTAATGGTACACATATATGCATGTCAGGTACGACATAAAGACTGTAGAGTTTATGAGAGTTTATACATCATAAATACATTATGTACGTACATGCATTAAGTACTTTATGTAGGTAGCTAAATCATTTAGCTACCTACATTCATATGTTGTAATAATAATTTAGTGAACGCTTCCCAATTCCAAGCATCGCTCTTTTTTTAAATAATAACTAGAAGAAAGGCAACAACAGTCAAACATGTCTAAGAATTCCCCTTATAATTCCCTTATAGTTAAATAGCTCCTAGCAACAATTCTCTCTTGTTAATTCATAGCAATAAGGGATAAGTTAATAAGTTGGAAAGTACCTAACGATCATACCGCAAGAAACACTCTCGACATCGGGACCTGCAAACAGAACCATGTAATTCATCTTACATACATACCACCTACTATGGTATGTATTTGGGGAATCATCACCAGCAAAGAAACACCTCGCGAGTTTTTTGGGAATGATCATCCCACATATTGTCTCTTCGGACAAGTTGTTACAGGTCACTTCGGCTGGTATCGACGCCCGGACGTCTAAGATGGACAATACAGCGTCACATCTGCACATTTCACCACCACCGTTTGTTTCAAGATACAACCCGCCCCCACAGCGACCGCGATGTAACACCACAGCACGATCAGCCTGAAGTATCAAAGCTTAAGACAGATAGATTCCTTTAGCGATTACGTACCGCCTGTAGTACAATCATTGGCAATCAGTGACTACTGCAAAAAGCTTACGCGCTGTGACGCTCATCCTTCACACGTGGGATGTGGGATTGGCCTGCAGTGACATCAGATTTCAATTATAAGAATCTCAAGGGGAGACTTTCACATACAGATCTACCAAAAAGACGATTGGCCAATCTACGATGTTTCAAGGTGGTGACTATGCCACATACATCCAAATTAGAGGAGTTGAATAGTGCAGAGTCATATGGATATAACATCTCTCGTGACGAGAAATGCATACGGTAGGTGATAGGCGGCCCAAACAGCATTCGACAAGACAAGACGACTAGTTATTTGAAGTTCGACTAGAATCCAGCGGAGTCGGCCGAATGGATAGGTAGCGTTGGGCCTCTATGTAGACAACACACCCAACTTCAAGTGATAAATGGCCCTACCGCTTCTTCCTTCAATAGGGCTTTCATTCGTGCCGTTTTGATAAACGCTGTATGGGGGCCCACTCATGTACGGCATTCAATGGGGAATAAAAACCACACAAGAATACCACTCGGATAATTATTTTGGCATCAGGTGAGTATACCCGCGTATATTCTAGACACCAGAACAGCCCACGATCTCGGTGTCTCCCTGCAAAATCCAATAGCTACTCCGCGTAACGAAGGTGTACGATCTTGTCTTTGACTTCTCATCTGCCCACTTAAGATCGAAATACCTAGCGGCAGACAGCAACACTCGACAGGGGTAGGGAGTCAAATGCGGTGAGACTCCATCGTGAACTCCACAATACTCTGCGGCTAACGTGGCAGCTGCGTAGAATCGAGTTGCTGGGACACTGACTGACTGAGGACTTGCATTTAGCCAACGAAGCCAGTTTTTTAAATACCATATATGGCCACTTGGACTTTCTCGGAAGCCTACCACACTCCGGACGTTGCCCTGCTATCCTCCTGACTTGATGCATATTCAAGGGGAGAGCGCTAAGACTACTCCAAGAAACCTTGCATCCTCGGCGTTTTCGGTCGTGGTGAGTAGCGTATAGACAACGCCAACCCGCATATTTCAAATACATAAATCATACAAGCAGAACCACTCATTCATTACAACGACTGAATCTGTTCGGTTGGGTTTCGAAGGAATCAAACATCTTAAAACAACATGGTGCAGCGAGTGTGATATTTCCTATGAACACTATAGCCGCCCTAAGGAACCAATCTCCTCCGAAGAAATACAAAAAACGCCAAAAGGATATTGTCTAATTGGACCCACTCCGTACGTTCACTTTTCGTATCACCTGTCCTTCAATAACGCCCGTTCCGTCTGTCTACCTGCGGGCTCCGTAGTGCGGAGGAGGGGTATCTTGCAGGCTGCCCGGCGCCTTAATCATGGCCGTCGTTACGTATGCGGTCAAGCATTACGATGCTTAATTCTCGCCCTTGGAGATCTGGACTACCTGGTCCTCTTCGATGACAGCGTTGTACTCAGCACTCCAGGCTGAGACCGTCTCGAGGATCTGCTGCGGTGCCTTAGCTGCGAAGCCCCTATGTTAAAGATCACCTAGTCAGCCTATACATTCACTATTAAAAGAATACCTATGTTTCGCCCCATGACGTAACGCAGTCAAAATAAAAGATATAGGTAAAGATATAGGTAAGGAGAACAACATGGATCGAAATGAGGGCGTACTTGATAAGTTGGTACTCGTGGGTGATCACGCCACCCGCCTTTCGGATATCATCCTTTGCGCGATTGACGATGTCGTCGGTGGTTCCGCTCGGGAAGCTGACGATAACGGACTTTTGGATGTCGACAGCCGAGACGCCGGCGGCAACAGCAAGTGCTGCAGCGATGGTAGAGAAGAAACGCATGTTTGTTGGATGAAAGAGTAGGTTAGGTACTTTTGGATTTGGCGGTAATGTGGCTTGCAGATAATAGAATAAATAAGTATAGCCAATAATAGGTGATGCGATGATGGGACAAACAGAGAGCTGTCAACCAAGGCCGGCCAAAAAAGAGGAGAAAGCCTAGACTATTTGTAAAAAGCTTAGTTTTCGGTTAGAGGAGGACAATACAGGTTCGAGTTGGATTAGATCGAAGATTTGAAGATTAAAGTTCAATGATGGTGGAACTTGGCCGTTTGACCTGCGTGTCGATCTTATGAATGGACCTTCCGCCTGAACGAGCTGGGGGAAGAGCTGGGAGCAGCTTGGGGTCCCGGTACAGCCCGCGCTGGCCTAGAGTGGGGCACCTAAACTCTCGCCTTCAATTTGGGGGACTTCCCGGATAGGCAGGTGATGGGGCTGGTTCACCATGATGGACCAATCAAAACGAAGCCAAAGACCTCATTATTAATGCCGTGCCACAAGACAAGAACGTTGCAGCCACCTTCAAAAAGGCAATTCGGAAATTCGCATCAGACATGAGTTAAACATGTGACTTTGTTAATTCAAGCAATGCTATCGCACAGATTGGCAACACAACATTGAATTTCCACAAGCATCAGGCAAGGTGAATCGACTTTTGAGACTGAAGTTTCTCTAACTACCCAAGTTATACAAACCCATCTCCATTATTCTGGAAGACAATGATTGATCATCTAGTTATACGATTAGGTAGGTATATTGCTTTACAAGATTTTACTCATAGTCCAAAGTGAAATTCTCGGACACGGTCACGTCTAGTTAAACTTACTTGATATCCCCCTCTATATCACTAGCTGTCTAACTTGATGTGATTCAACAATAAAAGTGACGCTATTGTGCTCCAAAGTGGTTTCGATTAGATTACCTACCGTTTTACCTAGTCTCAAGGGTTGCAGGTGTCATTGGCGACGCCGCAGCTTGAGATGTTTCTGTACTTTGATATCGATGGCACCGCTACTAGGTATAAGGCAAAGTAAAACAAAAAGAATCGCCACTTGTCGAGACAGTCTAGGTGCTCTCTTCTTTCTACTCAGCCGTCTCTGGCCTCGCCAATATCAGAGTCAAGTTCGGTGCGAGTCTTAAACGGCAGCCTACGCCTAGAACAAGACGATTGTTACTCAACGTACCAAGAGCACTTGAGGTATTCTGTAACTAAGACATAAGCTCCCGTGTTTTTTTTTTTTTTTTTAATCGAGCAACATCGTTCTTTTCGTAGGTGATCCGTCTCAGTGACATAAAGGAGTTAAAAGCAAACCAAAGATGATCGGATCATATAGTTAAACATGTTTTCGGGGGACGCCGCTCGGCGATTGGGATTATCAGCGTAGCTATGGCAATACTAAATATCAACGTAAAGTGACATGTTTAAGGCCGGAAAATTTAGACGCCTCAAATAAGTTTAAGTATGGGGAATGTAGAATCCATGTCTTAACTAATAAGATGACTATAGGTAGGCCATGCCGTCTAACGCTACGTAGCGCAGAATCATTTAACCCCTTTTCAAATGAGAACTACTGTATGTGCTGAAAACACGATAACTTCAAAGCTATTGAATTGGGACAGAATACTTTTTATACTCATCCTAGATCCATTAATTTCTACTGTTGTTAGATAATCTTAAACCCTGTCAGATCGTCTTTGGTAGTTGCTGGCTAACGAACTAATACTTGTGCGTCTTTTCACTTGTAAACCAATTTGGAGTCATATACTATGAGATATAATGAGGGACATATCATAAATGGTTGACCGATAACAGTATGAACAAAAGTTATTTAAATAGAGTAGATACTGGGCATAAAGGAAGCTCATCTGGAGTTTAGACATTTGCTATGTAAGCTATAAGCAACATGGCCCTTGGATACTCGCGGGACTAGCTGTTCACCAACATGTAGAAGGTTCTCAAATAGGTACATATGTAGTTTATAACCCGTGTATTTATAATTAAGAGCTAAGCTCGTTGCTAAAATTACAAAGCGAGGAGATAATACACTATTATATAATCCCATTCTGGCCTCCCATTCTAGCCAGAGTGGTATACATACCATTTTAGCCGCTAAAATAACAAGGGGTACTAATATGCTGAAGACAAGCAATTATGACAGCGTGACAATCAAAATATATATCGTGAGGACAACAGAGCTATACTACGGGCCCAAAAGCATTGTCATTATATTAATATCATGAATAGGCCTTAGGACTTCAACACTGATACATGGCGACGGGAACAGGAATAATAAGGGGCATCCCATCGGACTCCCCAAAGTAGGTATGCCGGATACAAATCTATACGGACAGGGTATCAAACCGGAACATACGTTTAGTTATCTATAAATCATACCCATGGATTGTCTCTTTTATAGTTAGACGTGATTACGTGCTCGCTCCTCAGCTCTCAAGAAAGATAGATAGGATATCAAAAGCGAAGGATTAGCCAATAGAGACGATTTAGTGTATATGACACAATTGGATCACACCATATGCAACTCGAATGTCACCATGCAAGGCCTTAGCCTTAATCCTCATCAAGTTAATCCAACGTACAACAATCCTCATATTTAAAGCAACGCATTGTACCTATCCCAAGACACGCGCAGAAACAATGCGTACACCAACCAACGCCACCCGTCCCGTCCGCCATGGATGCTACAAAGGAGGCTCAATCTACCACCCACCGTCGACCCGCCCCCAAGACGGTGGCTGAGAAATACGCGGACGTCACCCTGCGCTTGATCGAGGACCACGGGGACGAATTCGGGCCCCTGACGCCCGAAAAGGAAAAGGCGTTGCAGCGGAAACTATACCGCAATATCATGATTCTGATATCCGCTATCAACATCATCTTATTCGTAAGTCGCTTGCTTGACCCTATATTATATTATTAGGAACTGGTGGGCTCATGTTCTCGCTTTGGCTTTAGATCGACAAGTCTACGCTGGGATATGCTGCTATTCTGGGGCTTTTCGAGGAGACTGGAATCACAAAAGATGAATATAATAACTTGAACACCTTTTTCTACGTCGGTATGTAGTGTATATTCCGTAGAGACGCTATACCGACATTATGACCTAATTCTCGCAGGGTATCTTGCAGCCCAGTGGCCTGGGCACTATCTTTTACAGAAGCTTCCGTTTGGCAGATTCGTCGCCTCGATCATATTTCTCTGGGCCGTTATTATTTTCCTTCACTGCGTAGCGACCAAGTACGCCGGACTGGTTGTTCTCCGCCTCGCCCTCGGCGCCGTTGAAGCAGTTGTCGTCCCCGCCATGGAAATCACCATCGGGATGTTCTTCAACCGTGAGGAGCAAGCTTTTCTGCAACCAATCTTTTGGGTCACTTGTCAGGGTGCTCCCATCGTGGCCGGATTTATATCCTACGGCCTGCTGTGGAGCAAGAGCTCTGTGCTGCCTTGGAAGTTATTTATGATAACCACGGGCGGCTTGACACTCTTACTCGCCATCTGGACCTGGTTCTGTTATCCCAACAATCCTGCCGAGGCCCGGTTCCTCACCTTGGAGGAGAAAATCCAAGTTATACAGCGGGTACACGGGTCTAGTCAGAGTTCCATCGAACAGAAGCAATTCAAGAAGGCTCAACTTATCGAGACTCTGAAGGATCCCGTCTCATGGCTATTTGCGCTCCAAGCATTTACGTTGATGTACTCAAACAATCTTACATACGGCCAGCAGAATCTCCTGACCACCTCTCTCGGCGTCTCCAGCCTCGGCTCGACGTTAGTTGCGGTAGCAGGTGGCGGCTTTGGGGTGGTTCTTTGTATCGTCGCTGCTATAGCACTGAAGTGGCATCCGCGAAATTTTGCGGTGCACAGCTTGATCTGGTGTATTCCCGCCGTGGCAGGCGGAATCGGGATGGTGGCTATCCCGTGGGATAGGAAACTAGCATTGCTAACGTGTCTGCTGCTGGCGGGGCATACGTACGGTATCACGTACATCATCGCGCTCGGCTGGACAACATCGTCTGCAGCAGGCTACACCAAGAAGCTGACACGGAACGTCATGTTTATGATCGGCTACAGCGTCGGCAACCTCGTGTCGCCGCAGATATGGGTCCCCGTCGCAGCGCCCCGGTACTACGGCGCTTGGATCTCTATGATTGTCGTCAGCTGGGTCGGCACGCCGGCCATCCTATTCGTCATCCACTTCATTCTGGCGCGCAGGAACGCAGAGCGGGAAAGATGGATCGCGGAGTTTAGCGAAGAGGAAAGGGAAGCTGGCCGCGTCGAACAATATGATTCGGACGGGCAGGTCGTTACGAGAAAGGTGGACATTGCTATGCTGGATCTGACGGATATGGAAAACAAATTCTTCATATACCCGTTATAGTCTCGATTTTAAGGGGCGTCAGACCTGTATTATCCGCATAGCATGTTCTTATTCACGAGAGCACGATTTTCGTCGAAATACGTACTTGAATAGGATCTGGTCCACGTCACTTGCAAATGCGCGTTCTGAGATTCGTACTTTTTGCCGCCGCCAGTATGATATCAACCGTGGTTTTATGGCACGAAATTCTAGACGTCCGTCCGAACGTTCGCCTCGACCGTCCCCTCTGGTCATTTTACGTATAACCGCGCTAGTTTTAAGTACAATACCAGAGAGCTTCTCATCCTGTACTAATGTAATATTGTCTTGTCAGGAGGTGCGGTACGAGCACCAAATTTGGATATTTCAAAAAGCGCGACGCTAGCGTTTATTTACCTCTGACTACAAGCCAGAGGGAATTGTTCCCGTATATATCTCTATGAAGCTTCGGAGTTACTGGATAGATCTTATGATAAGAATGGAAATAGGTACCTGGATAAGTCATGACCGAGAAGATCTGAGCAGCAACATTTGCAGTCCTGTTGTAGGTAGAATTATTACCTCGCGCCTATAGATGCGATCGATAATTGTGTAATTAACCTTGTTAATAGATTTATCTTCTAGGAGAGGTCTATTTATTTGTCAAAACAAAACAGAACAGGAATGCTACGCGCAGGCACAGCACCACTCATAAGATGCAGAACAAAGGCTATTTCCCAGCAGCAGTGGCTTTTAGCAAACTTTCCGTATATTCGTTGCACACGGATTTAAACAAACTGAAGATATCTAGAAAAGATGCAAGCTGTCTTTGCGGCGTAAAAGTTCCTTGATGGAGCTATTATAGGAGAGGAGCGCAATGGACAAAGACGAGCAGAGATGTACGGGATAGCCCTAAAAAACAGAACAATATAAGTCCCAAGGCGCAGATAGTTAATTAAATCGTAGAAAGAAGTTTACAATAAACATCTAGGTTAATAATTTCACGGCTTATGAATGTGAGATAATTGGGTGGGTGCGACAAGCAACGTTATAAGTGGTAATACGGTTGCTGACATTCATTCATCCAAGAGATATCAAACTTCTCAAAGTGTCTTTCAAAAAGCTCCATGGCGCAGCGGAAGCGCGCCGGGCTCATAACCCGGAGGTCCTCCGATCGAAACGGAGTGGAGCTAGACATTTCTTTTTTTTAGCATTTACTTTTCTTTTGCTTCTCTCTCTTTTTTTTCTCTCCTTGTGAAAATTTTCACTTCTTGTGCTAAGTTCGTGATGGTACATTGACCCTTGTCTAGGATGGATTTTAGTTTGGGTAACTTTGTCGGAGTAGCTGGCTAGCTTACAAGATACAAGACTGCTAGTTTAAATGAACAACGACAACATTTCTTGTCATTTATAACGGACTCTATATTTGGTTTAGCTATCGTCTAAATATTATAGATTCAGTAATAGGATTAAATTGCCCTAAAAATCATAGTAAAATATATGCCTGTGCTCTGCAAGCGCACCCCTTTCTACTAGGTTAGGCGCTTCAGCATCATTACGAACAATACGGATATCCCTCAACAAAAAATTGCAAGTTAGATACCTATGTTTTAAAAATGGAATAGTAGGTAATGAATGATGATGAACTGCCGAAAAATGTATTGAGAGACTTTACATCGGGATCCTCATTGGCTACACCAAATTAGCCGTTTAAGGGGGTAGATTGCCACAGAGGAGCCATGTCTTTAGGTACCTGGATATTATATATTAGGTACAACGACCCGAAGAAGACTTCTTATCAGATGTTCCTCCATGTAGGTCTGTAAGTACCTAGGTAAATATATTAGGGGTCTGCCTCGATCTGGACAAGCAATCCGAAGCTCGTTCTATGTTGTACCTAGCTGTCAAGGCAAACGATACTCTTGTTTTGACGTTGATCGTAAAGGAAGGTATAAAGATATGGGCAGTTTTCGAAACATCTTCGCCAAAGTGGCAATAGGTCTAGCTCTAACAAATGCCACTTTTGCTGCTTCAAACGTGACGGCAGTACCTCTCACGGAGGGCTGCGCAGCATATCCCGGATACGACGACGCGACCGGCATCGCGGGACCTCTACACGTCGTAGCCGACTCGACAGGCAAGGAGCTCGACGGCTACCGATTCATTCCCAAGTTCGCGATCGCCGTCGGCGGTGGTAGCTGGGGTTTCGTATGAATGCGTTTTCTTAATGTCTGGTTTTGTGCTAAGGATAATGGAGGGCAATGGCTAATGCCAGAATATCAATATAGATGGTGATACCAACCGCCGAGAACGGAACGGCTGACGCCGACGAGACGCCTTTCCGCTGTGGCGATGGTACGCTCCAGGCTCACTTGAATGTGGGTATCGAGGGTGACCGGTGGCAGACTCTCATCGCGGCTGGGACACCTGCCGAGTCCGTCTTTGGGTTTGGCCTCCCGGATCTGCCTGATCCTAATTACCGCCTTGAGATTTGGTATATCTACCTAGGATCTCCAGTCGTCAAAGCCTCGCGTGAATGCTAATGTGTGTTTAGTGCGTTACGAGAATCTATTTCACAGACCCCTTTCCTGCTAATTTAGATATAACGAACTCTGCATGTCTATATCGAATACAAATCTTAACGTAGGTATAACGACGCTGATATGTTCTAGATTCACACGTCATAGACGGAGAAGTGCAGCCAGGCGTGTTTCTAGGAGCTGTCAATGTGACGACCTGGGGTTTCAACTACCAGAACAACACCGAAGCGGGCGAATACTATTTCTTGAGATTATTGGGTCCCAACAGCAATAACTTGGCGACGGGGAAGCCGCTGAATCCGGGTGAATTTACTGGATATATCAAGATTACCGCAGCCTGAACTGGTATTCAGGGGTAAATAGGTTACGCTGCGGGTTTGATGGAATCTGCGTAGGTAGCCGATTGAATGGGCTCTCCTTAGTCTGAAAATGTCGGGTCGAGTAAGGAGAAGCAAGAGTGCATTGAAGGTATGGACGGAATGAAGAAATTATAGTGGTCTATTCGATTTAGTCTATAGTGAAGCCGTACCGCCAAAACATCAATCCCAGAGCCAAGAGATCGCGCGCTTCCAGCCTCCCGACTTCTCCTGAGGTTCATCGGGATACTGATCTGCCTGTAAAATGGCATCATCGAGTGGTATGCTCTTTAGCGACGCAACCCTAGTTTTCTTAACATACTTATATATCAGATACGCACAAAGCACGAGCGGCATGTCCCTGAGTAACTGTTAGCATAGGTAGATCTACCAGCGTTATAAATACCATAGATGTGTCAAGGGATAATACGTACAAGTAGGCCGAGATAAAGCCGCTGGCGTCCCAGTTTCCTGCGGTGAAGACCTCAAAACCACCTGTTAACAATATAATGATACACATGATGAGAGCAAAAATCGACGTGTAATCTATACGGGCGGTCAGCATATTACTCATTCAATATCTTTGAATACACCAAACTCACAAGACCACCAGTTATGCCATGGTAGCCGCGAAACTGGGATACCCTGCTTCGCCACGGCTAACTTGAGCCGAATGTGATTAATTAAGATCGTGATCCATGACACAAGGATGCTGGCCGCCGTCAGGTCGACGAGGTACCAGAACACAGTCAGCGCGCTCGAGTCTAGGCTCAGGAAGCTGAGAAACATGAACGCGGTGTAGAACAGCACGCAGGCGTAAGGGGTGCCCCAGGATGTGGTCCGTAGGAACACGCGAGGAGCCTGTCCTTTCAGAGCTAAGGCGTACAACACACGCGTGCCGGATAGTAGGGTTTGGTTTGAGGACGACCAGGCTGATGTAATAACGATGGCATTGACGACACTGGGAATGGCGCTAATGCCGGCGGCTGAAGCTGCAATAACGAACGGGCTCTGAGCGGCGGTCCCTGAGGAATCGTTTAGTCGGTCGTCATCGCTGGCTACTAGCAAACCAACTACGAAGATGGCTAACATATAAAACAGCAGCACACGGATGAACACACGCTACACCCAAAAATAATTAGCTGCTGTGTTGGCTCTACTCTTAATAATCTAAATACCTTGCAAGCACGCGGGATGGCTTTTGCCGGGTTCCTTAGTTCAGCCGCAGGCATGGCGATAGACTCGACGCCTGCGAAGGAGAAAACAGCGCTAGCTAGGACGCTCCAAAAGCCCAGAAAGCGGCCGAGGTTTCCGGAGGCGATATGTTCAACAAACGGGCCCGGGTCGCGCCAGTACTTGAAGCCGGTGGCTGGGATTCCGGGGATACCACCGGCAGCAACGATGATATCGAAAATGATGAGGAAGACGATGAGCAGGACCTTGAGCAGGGCAAACACGAACTCAACCTCACCGAAGACGCGCACGAAGGAGATTCCCACGATGAAGGTCAGCACGATAAAGCTCATGATGTAGGCCGCCGGGTGCACATCCTCGGTCCAGAAGGTGAACAGCACACATATGGCCGTAAGTTCGCTCGGGATCGACAGCGCCGCGCCGTATACCAGGTTCCAACCCACGGCAAATCCGAGCGCCGGATCTACAAGGAATTCGGCGTGTCGAACGAAGGAACCCGTCACAGGCAGGAGGGCGGCCACCTCGCCTAGTGCAAACGTCACGGCGCACACGATAAGTCCGACGATAGCGTAACCCAGCAGAGCTCCGAGCGGGCCGGCCGTCTGTATAGCACCTCCGAGCCCCAAGAAGAGTCCGGTACCAATAGCGCCGGCAATAGCTATCATGGAAAGATGTCGCTGGCCAAGACCACGCGACAGCGAGCGGGCCTCGGTAGCGGTGACCAAGTCAGCATCGTGGTCGTCGCGATACGCATCAAGGACATCCTCGTGCACGATCCCGTTTTCAAAGCCCATATCTGAAGAATCTGAAGACGACGACCTCTGGACTCGACGCGACTCAGCGAGAAGCGGCTCGGTGCTCATGGCGAACGAAAAGGAGGAAGACGGTTACGATAGTTAAAAACCGGACGAACGAAACAAACGATGAAGGATTCCCCAAGGCGACACCGATGGAAACTTCAGATGGCACAGGATTTACAAGAAGGGGTTAGCGCCGAGGGGATGTATGTACGGTACGGCTTTTCCGATAGAAAAAAAAAGGATCAGCCGAGACAAAACCACATGTGCGTGCGTTATTGCGCCATACCGGGCTGTCATGTAACCATTTCGATAAAAGCTGATGCCAGATAGGTACTGCAGCTTACATTTCTATGTTAGGTATTGTACATGGGAAGTTAGGTGGTTTGATATGGGGAACGAACAGTGCTAACAAAATAAGCTTAGGATTCCGGCTAGCGGCATAGTACCTATCTCTTTTGGGAGATACACGCGTGGGGGGGATTAGCAAGGGGTGGAACGAATTAGATGGGCGGGATTGTAGTTGATGTAATCCACTGTTAAGGTTGTATTACCGCATGTACGTACGGGATACATGGTATAGCATTGAGCAGGAAGCTAAAAATAAATTGCAATTGCTGCAAGGACGGGTTAATTGCCTGCTCTGATATCAATTACATGGAAGAGTTGTAGAAAATGCCTAACTAGCTACTATGATGATTAATTGAAAGTTGGTATTAAATACGTTGCGAGCTGACATACGGATATTGAAAGACATCAAACCAAGCTTGGTGTCGAACGAACGAATAAAACTGTTTGTCGTAAACAAGTTGATTCATTTATGAACTATAATGAAACCTGCAGGATTTCAAGGTACAACCCTCTCAAATTCGTTTTAGATGTTTGAGTTTTCCTTGGAAAATATTGTCTTTGTGTCGCTTGGATGGTACAAGCTGATAATTAATACTTGAGTGTCGACCAAGACCACATCGGAATCGCTGTCGTCAAAAGGAAACACATAGGATAGATAATTATGTCCCCAAGTATTGGCGGGATATATGTATACACACAATTCTTAAAGTGCTATATTTCAAGTCCCTTTGAAATCCCAATTCAACGTAAGTGGAATGTATAACATGAGTCACGCCGACGACACCTAAGGATATAAGAAAGCGTTCCTCAAAAACCTAAGAACTGGGCCTATTGTCCTTTAATTATCATTGTCTTGGCTACCTAGATAAATATGCCCGACTTCGACATTCTCGATATATCAGAATGAATCATACTGGCTCATCTCTTGGCAAACACGAAAGAAACCCACCATTCCCCCTAAACTCTATATACACTAGTAGCGAAGTGGGACTACCCCCTAGAAAGTGCAGCTAGCTATACTCATTATGAATCACTCTCACTCATAATGAACAATTCTCAACTCATCCTGAACCACTCTTACCGATCCATGAGCCACCCTCGCTCATCATGAATAACTTCAACTCATCTCCACTCACCATGAGCCCATTCTTACTTATAATGAAGCACTTTCTTCTCGTCGTGAATAACTAAAAACTCATATGCCATCAATAGTGATGTGTCCATCGTAAATTATTCGTAGGAGGATAAATAGACGCGATGGCGATGCTATCTTGTATATAGAATTTTAGTTAGAATATGAATACAATTCAACCTTTAATGAAGCCTGTGCTCTACAAATAAGACTATGTGGTATGCTAGAATCTATATCCCCGCCTACCTGTCCATGCTCTATTCCAAGATGACAATCACGTTCCCTCAACTGACACACTATTCTGCAGTCCTTCTACGGGACAAAAAAAAACATCACATGGGGAAAAGAACGAGTCGACATCGTCTGAGAAGAAGAACAATTTCCAATTTGTTATTAACGCTATCTAAAAACCTCAAGACACACACATATATATTTGTCCGACTATTCGCTAACTTGCATCTCCCCTCCTAGAGTTCAGCTGCAGCATGCTTCGCAGAGTAGCCGTCTCAGCCTCCTGACGAGCGAGGCGAAGCCGCAACTCATCCCGCTCCTCCTTGACGCTGCGAAGTTCCGTCTCCAGCTCGCTGATGCGGTCGATCCGCTTCTGCCGATACTTGCGAGCCGCGGCGTTGTTGCGCTGGCGCTTGAGAGCCGTGACCGCGTCTACACGCGGCGAGTGGCTCTGCGACTTGGCAGGCTGGCTTGGGCCGGAAGAAGATTCTGGCATATCTGGCGGTGAGACAGACGGGTTTGGGTTTTCAGCGTCTGATTGCGACGAGATGTGAGAACCTGTGGGTAGATTGAATAGAAGATCTGGACTGAGTTCACAGCTAGGTAGTGTGTTTGAAGCTATTTTAACTGTTAGCATACGCATACGAGATAGAATAGGATAGGCGTAGAGAGCCGACTGACCGTTCAGCTGTCCGTTGCACTCTTCATTTTGAAAAACGATAGAGTTCCCTGCCCCCTCGAAAAGGGGGAGGGACCACTCGGCACCATTTATACTGTCATTCTCTAAACCCAGGGACCAATTTCCAACTAGAGGCTCGACCGAGCCCTCCAATGACGGGAAGAAATCCGCCGGCCCTAAGGCGGAATTCTCCCAATCAAAGGAATTATGTTGATTTGGAGAGAGGGACTCCCTGGCACGGCGGACAGTATCCGACGTAGGAGAGCCTGACGCATTGTGCAGCGATGAAGGTAATTGCTGCCATGACGATATGGTAAGGTAACCTCGTCTCGGATCTAGAGTGATTTTATATACGCCGTCCTTCGAGCGAACGGCGGAGCGTAGTCCCAATCAGAATGGGAATAAAAGAAGATGAAGTTGGAGAGGGGAAAATCTCTCGGGGTCTTTCCTGGATTACGGCTGCTCTTTTAAAATAAGTACAGAAGTACGTACAGAACTCATCGGACGATGATATCAAAAGTGGTCCGTGCATAAGAATACCGTAGTAATAATTTAAAGTCTTGGCTTAAGTTGTCTTAGTCAGGGACTAAAAGGATCGGCACCTCCGTATCTGCACAATTGCACAGCCATCAAGCCTTAAGCTAAAAGATTCGGCAGGATATTGCGGATATCGAGATATCGAGGCGGTCAATTAAGTCAGCACATAACCCCACTAACTTACATATGCTTCACATCTTCACATGCTTCATTTCACTTTATTATGTATTACATGTATCTTTAATGCTTATTGACATTAACTCCTCCACACGCTACGACTGCGGCCCGCCATGATAAACGCAGTTCTGGTCTTTAACGGCCAGGGCCAACCAAGGCTGACCAAGTTCTATACTCAGCTAGTATGCCATACCATACCATACCATCTGCTTGCAATCCTACCCTACCAAGAAGCCCCGATCCCCCCCCCCCCCCAGACATACTCGATCGACCCTAACAATCTTACCTGCAGGAAACCAGCATCCAGCAGCGCCTCATCTCCGAGATCTTCACACTAGTTTCGAACCGCCCGGACGGAGCCTGCAACTTCCTCCCCCTACCCCCCCTCCTCGCCGCGTCCGGAACCTCGCACTCCGCCTCGGAGCCTCACAACGACGTGCCCTCGCTCGTCACCTACCGCCACTACGCCACCCTCTACTTCATCATCATATCTACGTCGACCGAGTCGCCCCTGGCCCTGCTCGACCTGATCCAGGTGTACGTCGAGTCGCTCGACAAGCTGTTCGAGAACGTCTGCGAGCTCGACCTCATCTTCAACTTCGAGACCCTCCACGCCGCCCTGAGCGAGATGATCGTCGGCGGCGTCGTCATCGAGACGAACCTCGACCGCATAGTCGCCGGCGTGCGCGCCCAAGGCACCATCGCAAAGCGGCCGGTCAACGAGTCTAGGGGCACGGGACTGGGCGCCGGGTTAGGCGTGGGGGGACATTTCGTATGGCCCGGCAGGTGATTCCCGCGCAATACGTAGGTATGCATCGACACGGTGTCTGGAGTTTTTGTAGGTTTACGGATTGGGACAAGCATTTTATCAGATCAGAGAAGCATCGTCTTTTAATAATAGAATAAGTATCCCGACTTTATACGGGGGTGCAAATGACATCGAGCGGGTATTCCTAACCACCATTCCCCAAACTCCAACCATGCAATGTGAGGCTCGTAATATATAGAGGTGATATATATATTTTACTTGGAATTTGTAATGACTGCTATATCGGGAGTTCGTCGTTCGTGTCTCTGCTCGGGAGAGAATGCGCCGAGTACGTCCCAGAAACTGTTCCTTAGCTGGATGTATTGGTTAGATCATATAGGTAGTTCACAGTGATGAAGGTAGAATATTTGGCATACCCCTTGGAACGGCTGGTTCTCCATCTGCCAGTCCATAAACAAAACCGAATAAATCACGAGAGCTACAGTAGAAACGTAGTGTTAATCCGGGTCCTCATAAGTTGAAACCCAGCCGTTAGACTTACAAGTTACGCTAAATAGCTGCGCCAATTTAACGAACTTATCCCACCGCGGCCGCGCAGTCGCAAGCTTTACCCTCCGCTTGTAGCGCCGTTCGAACCGGAACTGTTCCTTCTGGGAGAGCTTGGAGAAATCTGGCGGCCAGATCTTCTTGGGTTTGTATGGACTAATATAGGCCTCTGCTAAAGGCGTCCTTGTCGCACTCCTCAGTCCAGGAGGTATAGGCCCTCCCGCCATCCTTCGTACCAGGGTTGCAAACATTGTGGGCTAATGTTCTTCTGTTTCGACGACTGGTTTTGATATGCGCCGCGACAAAGTTCGGATCTCTTAACCGGGGCTTTAGGTATTTTCTGAAGTGTGGCTTTCTTGGAAACTGCACAGCCCCTCAACCTAGGTAGGAAATCATTAGCCACAATCCATTACCCTTAGCCCTTCTTGTGTTAAGATGGTATATAGAATGAATTATAAAATCTTACATCTGCTTTACAAACCAGGTTCTTAAGTTGGAATGGCTATTCCAAAGAGAGTCACTGAAAGAATTGTAATATTCCAACTTGCCATAATCTCCTCGATTCAAGTGTACGCGCTAAATATAACAGTACCGATTGCATAGTCAACTATCATCGAGCAACATTTCCAGCTTCACTTTTCATACTCTGCTAAACTCATATCATACCTAAGTAGAATATCAACAACGATGCCCACCGACTGGTGAAAGCATATGTATTCAGATAAAGCTGAGAGTTGGCTCGAAACCATTGTATAGTATAGGTCGTATATCCGCCATACCTTATCACGGCTCCTGAGTAAGCCCTTATTTGCCAATGACTGATTCAACGCTGGCTTGCTAGAACGCAACATGATTTTCAAAGCACTGATCCTACGTACGCCCCTGGTATCTCATGCAGGCCGGTCTATATTTTATTCCTCCCGACGGTTTCGTTAACTTTTGGCATCCAGCCGTTGCCCATAATCTACCCCATTACGCTTGCCATTACCATTAGGATTATGGTCCGAGTTCGTAATAACATCGAATAGCGATTAGTACGTTCGTTCCCAGGAGGTCCACCAAACTCCGACATTGGCCGCTACGACGAGGTCCAGCATCTTGAGGCCTTCGTCAAACACGATCAGCTTCCCCATCTTAGCTCTCTTTCCTCTGTTACCGCCGCCTGCTTTCTCTCTGCCTAGACTCATGTCGAGGTGCCAATCTCCGTCTTCATCGTACTCGAGGCCGTGGAAAACCTTGTTGAATTGGCTCTGTATCTGATCTCTAGCCCTGACACCTCCTTCGGTAGATCGCTTCTCGGCAAACAACTCGCTGCTAGGTAAATTGAACCTCAGATCGCTGATTGGTTGCCCTCTGGTTTTGTGGCCTTTGTTCCCGGACTCGTTGCCGTCTACAAGAGGGTTGAAAACGCCGCCGCCATACGTGGGTAGGATATGATTACACACGAGACTCCGTCCAGCGTTTCCGGTTACGAATTCGCAGCGGCCACCCCACGGGCTATAGAATACGTAACCGCGTGGCTTGAGACCCGGTGCGGGTTGAGTAATGACGGGGGCATCGCCGCCATCAAAGTCTCTGCCGAACGATGTAACAGACCCCTGGCTACTGTGACGACCGTGTTGAGTTTGAATGGTAGGTAAACCTAACCGTTCTTCTTCCGAACGACTGCGATGATGATTGAACTTTTCGCGCAAGTTAGTGGCGAAGGATTTTGAGTACGCCATCATGACTTGACGTTCAAAGGTATTCGAGGTCTTGTTAGATCCAAGAAACTCGGTTCGCTGTAGCCGCGATCCGGACGATGCGCTTCCAGGACGTATATCAAGGCTAGATCTTATATCTGTCGGTGGGTGGGTGGGCATGCCGCGAAACTTAGCATAGCCGGATGTCTCCAAGTGTATGCTGATCGAAGGAGATGGCTGGTAATACTTGTCGTCGCTGATGAGCTCTGGGTTATCCAGTTGAAATGATGCTACCTTCCCAACGTTCCATTGTTGCCCCGAACTCGGGTCTCTTCTTATGAGAGTTAATGAAAACGGAGTGAAAGGCCTAGTTGGCGATTTAGGCGAAGGTGATCGACCGTTACCATGTGGAGAAGCATACTGATCAGTAAGTTGTTGTAATGTTGGTTGCTCGTTAGGTCGTGGTGGTAATTGAGGAGGTTGATCGATATTTGACCCAGCTTGATAATCGGGCAATTGATTATAGACTGGCACCGGCGGTAGGCTTTTCTCGTAAGGGTCTAAATTACCTTGTCTTGGCCCTAGAGGTTTTCGTTGGATGGGACTCATTGGTGTTGCGAATTGGGATGGTGGGGGCCGTTCGGATAAAGGAGCGGATGAACCAGGTTGTTGGGCTGCAGTTCGGGGCGGAAGCTGCACCGAGCCGGCACCGGGCTGGTTCTCCTTTCCGGATGGAGGTAACTGCACGTTTTCATCTACTCGCGACGAGGCAAGACTTGAGGACCCCGGTACGGGTTTCCTATGGATCTGATTACCCGACCTCGAGCTCTCCCCGCTCGTTCTAGGAGACGTTGAAGGCATGGGCTGGCCGGGAGGAGAGATAAGGGCCTCCTCCTCGGGGGTATTCAGATGGACATAGTAAAAAGAGCTGGCTACATCTTCTGCCGTAACGTTCTTAACCTGTGGCTTCAAGGTTGAGAGAATGATGTCTAGGCTGGATGTTAGAACAGAACTACAAGATTGGTTCGAATTATGTGCTATCTAGGCCTACCCCTCGTGCCGGGTACTCTCGAAATATACAGAGTGATCGGATTTTGCCTTTCTTCAGTTGGCTTTTTCGGATACTGAGGCGGATTGGAAGCCAAATAATTAAGCGAGGCTAGCGAACGTGCCTCGACTTGCTCTTCCATGGTCATGGTTAGTGTGGTGTGTGATGTGTGATTCGGCGAACCGCTCTGAATTGTATGCGAATGCGAATAAATGGACTAATAGAAGAATTTCCGCCTATAGACGTAAATTATCCTGTTACGGTGAGGGCAATTGACAGGGATGAATAAAGAAAGTGAAGTGCCTCTCCGGGAGGTGAAAATAATGCTCTGAAATGCTGCGAGAGCCCGGTGCAGTGAAGTTTATTTGATCGAGCCACCTCGTGCCGAGGAGCCTTGAGTAGAGTTTGTCTGTCGACTCTCAAGGTTCAACCATGGGGTTGTGTTGAATCTAAATATAAATATAAATAGAAACTCGGTGAGAGGCTGAGATATTGCTGTGTACTTGTATCGTAGTATTTATGCGATCCGATTATCCGAAACAACAGGAATTATACTTATGAAGGTCGTCGGGTGGTGGAGGCAAAGCATAAACCGAATTATTTAATGCGTCAGCGTTGGGGCTGAGTTGCTTGAGTTTGGCTGAGTTTTTTTGTCAAGTTCAAGTTCAAAAATAGGCCGAAACGTTCTGGGTGTTGACTTTCGTGATGCTTTCCTGCCTTTCCTCCTTTCTTTCGCTCTTGCCCTCTTTACGCTGGGTAGCTGCTTAAATCGCTTAGATCAGGCACCACCCAACCAACTGGGACCCCGCTAACAAAAGCGCTTAGCAAACACCTCTGTTGCTGCATATACGCGTAAATCGTGTACATATTAATGGGTATAGGGGTATCTTAGCAGCTTGGCTGCTCAGCTGGCATTTCATTCTCCAATTGTCGCACATGTGCAATGACGACTTAATCATTGCCACGAGCTGCCAGCGCATCCAATTAACATACATTAGGTACCTAATCTGTTATCATCCTCTAGCCACATGCGTTTCTACGTACAATCATATGGACTCCTACCTAGAAATAAAAAAATAGATTGGCGTTAATATGTATAGTGAGAAAATAGTCTGTCTAGCCGCTAAGCCCCAAGAAAATGGGGGTCGCGAGCCCTGCGGGGTTTCTTTTGATCTCAAGTTCATCTCAAGTTCTACCCCAAGGTCTTAAACAATCTGATACTACCTTTTATACAAATTCGTACGATGTAGTAATTACATAATTTACAGCAATAAAATCAATTTCTATTACGGACGAGCCTATTATACAATCCGAAAAGGAAATATCAGTGGGGCGAGTCTGTGGAATATTATAGGCCTCAAGAACGTCTGAATAGCCTCATGTGCGCCGAAAGTGGTGAATCCGCAGAACACAGGCTATGTGACTTTTTGGCCGCTCTAACGAGTAAAATAAGCCAGGAATACTAGAATAAACAACATAAGTTACTAGTAGAAATTCCAAGACCTAATAATAACTTACGACATTGACTAAAGAATCTCTAGGCTACAATATCCCGCATAAGCCAGCGTCGTGTTTGCTCAACCAGGCAGCAAATTTGACATGACATGTGATAGTCTTTTCCGTCTAGGCCTCTATTTAAACAAGACAGATCAACACAATACATTTTACAACATGTCTCTATACGATCACCATATATGCTCACTCGTGCTTATCCAACAAAACGTAATGCTATTCTGCGTTTCTACCTACGCAAAAAAGTTTATTCCCAAAAAACGTATACTTCATAGATTCATATCATCCTGGTTCATAAAGTCCGCTCCGACCCAGTTTATCCAATATGCCCCAGCCTAGGAATCACCGATAGCCAAGAGGGGGGAGGAGAAGAAAGTCTAGCCTTCAGAGTGGTCAAGCTTGGTCTTCTCCGTGAGCGACGACGGCAGCGCACCAGCACGGCGTAGCTGCTTCTCGAACCGGACGGTCCGCAACGCGGACGGCGAGTCCTTGAACATGAGGTCAATCTCTTCGAGGCTACGTCCCATGGTCTCGGGGAATAGGAAGTAGACGGAGACGGGCACGCAGGCGGCGATGACGGCAAATACGATGTAGTACTGCCAACCGATGCTATAGATGGCGACGGGGGTGACCATGGCGACTAGGAAGTTCCTATATCCGACATGTCAGTATATATCATCCGATCATCGACTTGGCACGCATGAAGGCCAAGAGGACCAAGAACCATGGAAGGACTTACCAGGCCCAATGGTTGGCTGTCGAGATCGAGCTCATGGCCATGCGCAGCCGGAGTGGGGCGACTTCGGTGCAGTACAAGAAATTGGCGCCAAGGAACCCGATGGGGACGAACATGTTGTACAGATAAATAAAGCAGCCTGCGGCGATCTGCGAGGCTCTGTTGGACGTGGGGAACGATGTTGCAACCGCGAGTGCTATCATGCAGCACGACACTTCAACGACAACAAGTCAGCAATCGCCTCTCTTACCGAGAAATTCGGGGAACGAGACATGTTCGTAGAAGCAATAACTTCTAAGGTAACTAGGTTAAAAAGGGAGAAGAGAACTTACTGCCAGCACCGCTCACGATGAAAACAGCGCGTCGCCCAAAGCGATCGATAGCTATGAAGGCTAGAAACGACGACAGGAACTTCCAAGTCAAGGCACCAGCAGAAAGGATACGAGACAACTCGCTGCTTAAGCCAAGGTTCTCTTGAAAGAGGATCGGCGCGTATACGCTGATAAGATTGCTTCCACTGCGCGAATTTCTGTCAGCTTCTTTCCATCACATTGCCGGCTCTCGGTCTTTGGGAGGGAGATGAATATATGCTACGTACGACATCTGCTGGTAAAACTGCAAGAGGATGCAAAGCCCAAATCGGTACGCTAGTTTGTCTTCGCCCATCTTGAAGATTTGGCTTAGCTTAGCGCCGCCGTCGGCCGAGAGCTCGAGAGAAAGTTCAATACCCTCAATCTCGGCACTGACCTCGGGCGCATCCTGCGGAAGACCTCGGAGGATGGAGAGATTCTCGCGGGCCAGCTCGCTCTTGTTCGTCATGAGAAGCCAACGGGGCGACTCTGGGAACATGTAGATAGAGCATACAAGCACTAGCGAAAAGACGCACGCGATGGCGATAGGCGGGCGCCATGTGACGGGCCCAGTTTTCAATTCAAAGAAGCCCAGGTTAATCCAGGACTCGAGAACATAACCGAGGCAAATAAAGAGACCATCCAGCACGACGTGGCGACCACGGTTCTTCGCACCGGCAGTTTCGCTCTGCCATACGGGGACGAGGGAGCTGAGCTGTCCGACGCCGAGACCTACGACAACTCTACCGACGATAAATTGCGGTAGACCAAAGGAAGACGCCTCGAGGATCTCGCCGACTAAGGTGCAGAGACCAGCGAAGAAGATGACATTGCGGCGGCCAAAGCGATCACCCGTGTACGAACACGAGAGGGCGCCAAAGAGGGCGCCGATAACGAAAACAGCCACGACGAAACCCTGCAGCGTCGACTTCTCGCTTTTCTCCTCGGAGCCGACGGCGTGGACAGTGTCGATCTCGGGGAACGTTTTCACCCAATCGTTTTGGGTGATCAGACCGCCAATACCGGCCTGGTTGTACCCAAACAAGATGAAGGACGGAGCGACGATAAGAGCCGTCTGCAATCTGCTTAGGAGGTGGCCTTGAAGGCCGAAGTATTTTGAAGAGGTCATATTTCTAAGATCATATCATAGGGACGGGGTAGAGGGAAGAGGGAGGAGGAGGAGGAAGAGGAGGAGGGCGAAGAGGAGGAAGAAGGGGAGGTAAAGGTAAATAAAGGTAGCGGTAAAGGTAAAGGCGAGGGTAAAGGCAAAGGCAAAGGTAAAAAAGCCAAAGCTAAATCCACTACTACTATACTATCTATATGTATGTTGAGTCTATTGCGGGAATCGGAGATCTAAAGAACGAACCACCAAGGAAGGGTACATAGGTAATCCAGCAAGGGGAAATATTTGATTCGGAGATACCTGATAGGTATACGCACTCACTCACCCACTCACTACGTACATACAGTTCGTAATCAGAAACTAGAAATCAGCCACTCGTCCCTCCCTACCCTTCCCCCTCCCCCCCAACGTTCGGCTTCTCGTTGATTGCGGAGCCCCATGGGACCGAAAGAGCGAGAGAGAGCAGAGCAAAAAAAAAAAAAGAAGGGTTCCCATGTCGGAGTACCTAGGTAGGTAATTCTGGGGCCACTCATTCAAGGGGGTCACTGCTGCAAAAGCACAGATGATCTAAACTCTTGAGGGGGAAGATGCGACAACATGACATAGTTTATCTTTATCGTACGCATCTCGTTGGTAAGAATCATTATGATTGTCTCTTGTCCTATGAGACTTTAAAGCAAGGTTCGTCTCTCCGTCTTGTCATAGTGTAGTGTAGTATAGTGTAGGTGGTATTAGTGTATGTAGGTACACTTCACATGCATAGGCACGCTATGGTATCTGCGCGAGAGGGACCACCCCAGCATTTCGTATTATCGCCATTGATGCGGGTACGATGTACAACGGTTCCGGCATGTAGAAGCCGCGACTAGAACTTTTAGTACGCGGCTTTCGCTCGGTCTGGTGGATCCAAAATTTCAGGGTCGAGGCTTATTTCGGTTTTTTATACCCGGGTTTTGGGGATTACATATTCCGTACATATGTACCTGCACATACTGTGGTATCAGCATGCATATGTATATTCCGTATACCTATACGGAATATACTTACATAGGTAGGTATGTAAGTACATTGACTAGAGTATTACATATAGTAGTTACGTCCAACTAATAATATGTTTGCCCATACACATGTAAGTCTCCATGGTCTCCATGGTCTCCATGATTTGTCCAACTATAGAATATATTGATTGCATCAATGTAATTGCATCAATGTACATGCATTTCTCAGCCATCTTATTTTATTTTTCCTCCCTATCAAATGTCTCTCGCCCGCATATATGCACCTGACTACATGCATAATGCAACTCGGAAATAAAGGTCAACTTAAAGCGGTTCTAACCGGATTTTCGTTGTTTACTAATGTTGTTTTGTTTATTGTATGTATGAGCATCTCGCGACTGCGACTGCTAGCCTCATCATGAGATCCATGTCAATCCACTACTAGCTGATGAGGCTCGAGGGGTAAAGTGGGTAGACTACGTACAGTTTTTTTCCAACGTCCCACATAGATCATCTCACCATCTCTTAACTTGCTGACGAGGCGGGGACTCAACAGCCGGAGATCACATAGAGGCCAATTGATAAATCCCGCACGGCCCAAAATTCTGTAGTGGCGTTTGACAAAAATGCGGTGTCCGCAAGCTGATTGCCAAACATACCATGCTGATGGATCACTCGACCTAGATGGTCCCTGTATTTTTGTACACGAGGCTAACAATCCCATCTCTTCTCCTCCTTATATATGTACATCATATCCCTCCCCTCATTTCCATTTCCCCGCCGTTATTCGGCGGTCAACTCTCCAATTCTCCTCTCAATTTCCGGTACCTGTCTGAGTAATATATCCAGGTCCTCTTTTTCATCCTCGAGCTTCAATCTCCTCTCGGCGTCGAGCTTCGTGAACACATAGTTACCCTGTCCGTCGAATTGCAAGATCCTGCTGTGATACTGCCACAGGCTTCGCCGATGGCTAACCGTCATTAATGTAATTCCTAAAGCCTTCGCATTATCGTACATGACTTTCTCGGTCTCGAGCGTCACACTGCTCGTGCATTCGTCTAGGATCGCGTATCGCGGTTTGTGGTAGAAGAGACGGGCCATGGCTACACGCTGCTGCAGACCACCTGAGAGTACGTCGCGCCACTCTGCCTCCGCATCCCAGCCCTCGGGGTAAAGATCTACAAGATGCTCGAGGGAGAGGATCTTGAGGATATCTAGTAATTGGGCGTCAGTAACCCCGCGCGCACGAACACTTCGTAGACTATCCGGGTACGTGATTTGTTGGCGGAGGCTTCCCCGCGATAAGTATGGCCGTTGTGGAATGTAAAAAATATCTGTGAAGGGCGGTTTGTAGACGGTGCCACCATACACGGGCCAGAGGCCTCCTAGAATTCGGAACAGACTTGATTTCCCGCAACCGTTCGGACCAACGACGAGAAGATGATCACCTTGCTTAAGCGAAAATGACAACGCCTTTACGAGAACGTCTCCGTTAGGGGAGATAATCGGCACGTCGATGAATTCGATGTCCTTGCTCTCGACTACTTTCCCTCTGCCCTTCAATACTGCTGCGTTATCCTCAGTGCCCGAGCTAGATACTAGCTTCTTCTCGAAATGCCCGGCTTGGATATCATCCATAACGTCCAATAATGATGCAACACGTGACGTGTAACCGGCCAACTCCATGATTTCGCGGTAGGAAAACATTATCCGCCCAAAGGCATCTGATGCGCTGAGTAACATCCGCCTGTTGGTTACGAACGACTCTGTTCGGTCGCCCATGGTAGAAGTACCGGCTAGCTCTCCGGGTAGTTTGAAGAAGACGGGGACGCTGCAGAGTAGGAGGCCTAGAGCACCCCAGAAATATTTGATCACGAAATCCTCCATTACGCCGTGGTAGAATCGCCGCCGTAATATGTAGTTGACGTGTTTAATAAGCGTAAAATAGCCCTTGTCGAGAGTATCCTTTTCTGCTTCGTGGCCGTGGTAGAGTGCCACCTCTTCGGCGTGATCGATGAGTCTCGAATGTTGGAACCGGAACTCGCCTTCGAGCCGTGCTTCGTCTGCAACGTATTTCCCGAATGGAGGCGTTAGGGCGCGCATGACATTGGCTGAGAGCTGGACCAATAAGGACATAAACATGACGCCTTCGCCGCCAACACTTTTTGATAACGACCAAGTATAAATAGTCTAGCCCGTGTTAGTCTTCTATTACAAATGCCATGATACACAATAGGCTCTCACCATGTCCAGTATTGGTTTCGCTAGGTTGCTATATAGTTCGGCCAAACTGTTAGAAAAATTGGCAACATCGACTGCTATAAGCTGATCTGGGTTTTTTATCCGATCATCTAGTGCGGAGATTCCGTAGAACGTGAGCTGGGAGAGGTATTTGTCGTGGATGTACTGGGTTAATCGTGTTCGATAACTAAGAGACAGTTCGGCTTGGTGGTACGATAGCTATGATACTGTTAATTATCCCATCTAGTAGATTTAGGACTAAGCTTCTTACCATAGAATTTGTGAATGTCGCAGGAACAGCGATTAACATCCACCAGACAATTCTCGTGAGAAACTCCTTACCACTTCCTTTTACAAGTGCTTTTACGATCGCGCCATCCATCTCGGCAACTTTGAGACTAATAAGCGTCCGTACTACTAAGAAGAAACTGTGGCTAACGAGAAGCCGAGCTTCCTTGCTCCGCGCGCCGGGAACGACTATTTTAAGTAGTTTTAACAAGGACTTAAAGAACTCGCGGTTCAGCTCGACCTTTTTCTTCTTCGTCGTATCCTCACCGTCGCTCGAGGTTGTACCCGATCGTCGCTTAGCCGCTTCGCGTGCGGACGCAGCTTTCTGCTCGGAAATGGCATGTCGGACGCGGTTGACGAGTGCGACGAGGAGAGTAAGGTAGACGGCGCGTGAAATTCGGGTTCGATTACCGACGTACAACTTCGTCAAATGCGCAACAACACTCTTGATCGACCGATCGGGGAGAACAAGCTTGGATTGCACCGCCATGATGACCGATATGGGAGACGAAATGTTTAGTCTCTACGATACGAGACGAGGCGATGCGGATTTCCTTTAAAATTCCAAAACTTGTTGGCCCCAAAGTTAAACAGGAAATAGAATTCATCCCATAAAATCAAGATGGATATATAGGTCCGTGGGTTGAAATTACACAACTTGAAATATCGTTATTACATGGCCGCAGATGTGTTGTGAAGCGCATAGCTGACAACTTTGCCGAATCTCGTGCTATGAAGCTTACTTGAAGGGAAGCAACCTAAACATCCCTCGGCGGATGCGACCAATACCAGCGGGTTTGTCGGTTGAATTGTCTAATTGGTGACGTTCTTGCTTTAAGCATGTGATTAACCCCAGCCTTCCAGCGGGTTTCCCCAGCTGAAGTGGCTGCGGTTAGGCTAAAATAGGTGCTAGCGGCTAGTATCTTGCAGGTGGCTGCAATCCCCTTTGTGGCCAGCCGTTAGTGTGTCCACTGTCAGAGTGTGGGGGGTGAGACTCGGCTTATTGCATAAACTCAAAGCCGTGCTTATCCGATTCGTATGTATCTGAGAGCGGGGCTCAGATTTTTCTAAGACTTTTAATAGTAACAAGTTTCTACACTTTAATAGTAACAAATTTCTCTACGTTGAGATTACATAGTGGTTGCTTTACTAGAAGAGTCATCTATTCCGCTCTTCCCTTTTCGATTTATGAAAATCTAGTGCTATCTACGGATCAAATCAACAGAGGCTTTTACGATGGCTGGCGACGAAGAAATTGCGGTTTACGACGAAGTCGAGATAGAAGACATGACCTTTGATGAGACGCTACAGATTTATCACTATCCTTGCCCGTGTGGCGATCGATTCGAGATATCGCTCATGGACCTCCAAGACGAGGAGACGGACATTGCTGTTTGTCCAAGCTGTAGTTTAATGATACGGGTTATCTATGATCTGGTTCGTCTCACATTTCTCTCCTGCTGTCACAGCGAGTCCACATATTAACATGGCGCTCAGGATAACCTACCAAAGCCCGATTCCGACCCTCCGGCTCCTGAATCCTCTGAACATCAAGTACCTATCGCTGCCTAGTCAGTTTCGATTTGAAGGGAAATCGCATGATATGATACACAGCAGCATATAGTAGACACGAAAGCAACCAAGTGCCGAGCCGTGAATGGGTAACCGGAGCACAATGACACCTCACCTTTGTGAAGCTAGATCGCTTCGTGCTCGGTATGAGTAGACAGCAAAGACGAAATATTGCCACATTTCGCAGGCCTATCTACCAACAGAGATACGACCTATTAGTTCTACTCTACTTACCTTATACCCCGGGGAGCGGTGGTAATATTACATCTGCAAGATTGAAGATCTACTGGAACCCAAACTGCATCTTTCTGCAGTTTAAATCGGGCCACCGCATATTCAGTATGCAAGAAGTGCGATCTCAGACGATCGTCCTACTAGGTCAGATCTGATTCAATGTAGAAGTATTATTAATGTTTAAGAAGATGCAAACGTGGGGTATATCCAAAATGCGAACACCATCTATGCCAAAACGCTACCAGCGTATTGGAAGCAATCCCGGACCGTTCCAAAAATTCATGATCACGTCCCTAAACGCCAATGAAATGCTAGCCGACCCAACAACTCATTCCAGTTCATAATAGATACAACCCAGCGGCCGAGAAGACGATGAGACCCATAACGGAAGCTTTCTCCAACGCGGGCTTCTCCGCAGCTACGGTCGTCAGGGGCTTCGGAGGCTGTACGAGCGAATCGGTGGAGTTGACAAGAACAGGTGTGGAGGCTATCACGATTCTAGGGTCAGCGGCATTCTTCTTGGCGAGTAGGGTCGAAATCTAACGTGCTACCTACTCATTGAACCAGGCGCATCTTCGATTCTCATGCTTGTTGAATGCGCGATCACTCTTTGTTGAGCAGCAGCGAAAACGACTGGAAGCGTTGTAGCGGCAAATACGCTCGATAATCGCATCTTTGCTGAAGATGTTGTTTTCCGTATATTATGATTATATTATCATTCGAGCTCGATGCGGTTTTTTCGTTTCGTGTGTGATATGCACCGATAAGGTGGTGGTACAACCAGCGGAGGCGACGTAATGTTGAGCTGCCCGACAGCAGCGCATAGATAGAAGGAAATACTATGGCAGCTCCAATACTAATAAAAGATGCAGCTCATGCAGGCGAAATATATGGTGATTGTTCTCGTAAAGTGTAAAGCGGGAGATGAGCGGGGGAAGGTTTACACTTTACACTACATAGGGATAAGGGAAGCTGTCAAAGAGAAAGCCGGGCACATGGTGGTATGTTACTGGGTGTTGGACATGTGGATGCGTGGATGTGCGTGTGGATGTGTGGATGTGTGGACCCATCAAGGAAAGTTCAAGGCAGGGATATGTGAATTACGATACGAAACAAGATTTCCTGCAGATAGCTACTCATGTAGTGTTATGTATGCGTGATAAGTGACGAAAGAGATTGGTATTAAAACCTATTAAACCGACTTCTGAAACGCAACGTGCTCTCAATTCAAACGGAATCTGCCGTTTTCAGAAACATGAGGCTTGAGTTACGGGGACGGATTAATTGATTTATCGTGTCTTATGTTTGAAGCTGTTTGAGCCTACGTACCTACATTAGGTACATACTTGATCCTATACGCAAGGTAAAAGATCTATGTTAATAAGAGGTAGTTATGTGAAGAATACCTATCAATGCTACATACTTCAAATACGCATGCCGTATTCCGTAGTGGTGACAATTCTTCTCGGCCAAATCCACCTAGCCTTGCATGTAGATCCTCGACAAACAACCTTTTAGTCAGGAGTCAGCGCTGCATTAGAGAATTAGCTGCATTGATATCTGAGTCGGGTGAGCTCTTGGTTGGACTACCTGTAGGTACCTATCTAACGAGGAAAAAAAACATACGTCATTATACGGCAAAAGGGGGGTGGGTTACATTAAAGAAAACGTTGATTCTTTCAAAGTTGCAGAGGAATGCAAAAATAGAAAGTGTCGCAACTTTTAACCAATGACCAACCCAGTTTCGTTTATCGCGACCATGCATGCTATGCCATTCGTCCATTCCTTTGTTTAATGATGTCAATTTAGATTTCCACACTACGGGGGGGAATAAAGCACGACAGCTCTTATACTCTACATATACATATACATATACACTAGTTATACGATAGGTAAATAAAAGATACGTGGGGTAACAATGAGATCATATTCATTGTAAAATGGCAGTCTAAGATAGGTATCTATTATTTTCAAAGACATATGATCAAATGTATTTCATATGCCACGCTACTAGGTTAATGCCTTCTTCCTACCATCAAGAAGTCATATAGAAAACTTTAGCCATAAATACAATTCCCTACCTTAGGTTCATGTAGGTAGGTATCTTCTTAAAAATTAGAATTCCAGTGCTTTGACAACCACGGAGCATAAGTTTTGCCATCCAACGCTTCTTGTAATGGCGACTCCCCTGCCCGTCTCCAGCTGTCCAGAACCGCAAGAGCCGTTTGAGCAGGCCAGCTCCCGAATAGATCCCAATCTTTAACAGCTTTATGGAACGCGCGCATGATGGCCAGCCCCATGCTCTCATAGCCTAGGATGCGGGTGCTTCTGATGATGCGAGCTATACGCTCGTGATGGTGGGATAACGTAGTTCCCCAGAACTGAAACTTGCCTTTTCCGCCGCTGAGTTCGGTTATAACGGGCACCTCAGTCGTGCTGTGTTTAGTATACTGGATATTGAAACCGTATATGTCGAGTATACGGATGAGAGCGAGCTTCAGGTTTTGCCCTATGGCTTCCTCCTGGCGCATGTACATAAATGCCAACTGGTCCAGGACAGGCGCGGCCGCCTCGGGCGAAGTCTCGGCCCCGACCCGCTCTGGCAGCGGGAAAAGCCAGCCGATGAAATCGGTCGGGCCGTCGTAGTCTTCGGTTGGTAGGTCGAGCAGGCGGTCGAAGTATCGGCCTTTCCAGTCGGGACCGGCGAGCATCGGATGGTAGAAGTCTACCAATTGACGAAGGAGTGGATGACTCGGTTTAGGCACTCTCTTAACCCTATCCGTAACCGGTATTTTGGTGGATGATTTGTTGGATGGTACTTGGCTTTGGCCAGTGGCCCTGAGCGAGCCGGGATTGGAGGGACCTGACATCGTGTATGTTGTTGTATGGTCTTTTATTGTAACTAGGTAGATATTCTTTACTAGACTTATAAATAATAACTTTTTACGTCAGTAACTCAGCTGTCTAGAATGTTGTTGGTAACGATGGACACTTTGACGTGGAATATGCCGACGTAGTTGAATAATATATCTTATTCATTAACTACACCATAATGACTTTGTTCAAGCATGCTTTTTTAACTGCCATTCTGGACAGCTACGACTTTTTTGTTTCATGGGCAGTGATTTATACTTGAACAGTGTGATTGTGAGTAAACAATGCATATGAAATCAAACCGATCTATACATCATATATACAATTTCCCTAATAAAATTAATTTGTTATAAATACTAAAATGAACTGTAAAGCATCTACTTTTAAAAGCCAATTATGCTGTCACCTTTTCAGGTCTAGTCTCAGGTATGTTGATAGTTACAACACCTCGGCAACTACCAACCACACTGTTTTTATAGGTATTGTTACTGTGGGAGAGAGCCCTTGATTGATGTCATATATAAAGTAGATATTAGGATAGATGAATTGAACTATGAACGTCTACTCTCCTGTCCTCTTTCTAAGGCGCTGTGCGCTTTTCATATACCCAATCCTAGTAAGTCTGCCCCTGAATCTAGGTACCCCTATTTCACTTATTCCCTAAAAGTTACGATTAAAACTTCATGAGTCGTTATCAAGTCAACGATAGTTAAAACAGGATCCTCTATCTATATATATATACCAAAAAGGTGCTATGTTTTCAGTGTTGGTTTGCTATCCTAACCCTATAGATATTTGGTAGCAGGCGTAGGCATTATAAGCATTTTACTCCGACAACTCTGGTCTCTGAACCTGAGACTACTTTGGGCAAGCATCTCTTTTTAAACCAGGTATTAATTGTGTTAACTTTAATATATATTCTTTTATTATGACGATATGGTATAACTTAGGTCGCTACGTATTACTCCATTTGTATCCCGTAATTAGTAGGAACCTACGTTTAATTGCAACCAATAGGAGAGAGCATGTACCTTATCAATTCAACCAATAACCATCAATAAATATTTATATGTACGTATATTTTAATTCATTTACAAATAATCGGATATAATTCAACTCATACGCCACGGGATTTAAGATCATTTATACCTCGGCTTCTCGGAGTCGGATTAATTGAGGATTTGGTACCTTACGTCGTACTGGGAGCAGAGTAAGGCAAGAGTGGACAGGGTTTATTTCTATTTGGAGTAGATACGTGGTACCCATACCTTAGACTACTCGTACAAGCTTCCGCTCCCACTAGAACATCGACCGTCAAGAACTTTATACGCAAATAATCCAATCACACCTTAGAACGCTTTAAATCCATCAAAATGGCGGGACCTAAACCGGGACAGAAGACAGTCCTCGTAACTGGGTGAGTTGCCCGACCGTTTTTGCTTTGAGGCGTTTACTGACATGCGCACTGTAGCTGTACCCCAGGTGGTATTGGACATGGCATATGCCTGGAATATCATCAACGCGGTAGAGCGCCCTATTTCATTCGAGAAATTCATTGAGTTAATGCGTGTATAGGTCTCCATGTCATTGCTACCGCCCGAAGATCTGAGGTCTTGGCCGATCTCGCGGCTCTGGGCATGAGCACCGTGCCACTCGACGTTACCGATGCCGAAAGCATCAAACGATGCCACGAAGAAGTCGCAAAGCTCACCGGCGGCAAGCTAGATATCCTCGTGAATAATGCGTAGGCTTGTATTTATTCATCGCCATTTCCGGCATTGCTTACTGGATTGTAGTGGTCGTACACATACGCATCCCGCGACAGACATCTCATTGCCGGATGTCCGACAGACCTTTGAGACCAACGTCTTCTCAATAATGGCCATGGTACAAGCCTTTATAGACCAGCTCATTGCGGCAAAGGGCTTGATTATCAACATTTCCTCGCTTTCGTCTGTGACCCCTTATGTATTTGGCTCGGTCTACTGCGCGAGCAAGGCCGCTGTCGTAGGCTATTCGCGTACCTTACGAATGGAGCTAGCGCCCCTTGGAGTTCGCGTGATGGTATCGATGACTGGTACGGTAAAAAGCAATACAGCTGCACAACCTCTTCGAGGCCTGCCGGAAAATAGCCTCTATAGCCGCGCCAAGGAGATATTCGAATGGAGAGTTGTCTTCAGCCAAAATGCGTCCACCTTTCCCACCGAGACGTTTGCTAAAAAGTTGGTCAACGACTCTCTACGCCCAGAGGTTCCTACGATACTCAGACGCTGGTTCGGAAGACCGGATTGGTTCTGGTCTGGCGGGATGGCAAATTTCGTATGGTTTGGGACATGTATAGGCGAGTGGCTTATTGACGCCTTCTGTTGGCGCACCTTTCGAATGGACGAGATAACGAAGCTACTTAGTGAGGATCAGAGCCAGAAAAAGCTGAAGTGATGCTGCCACCATTTCACATTTCGTCTGTAATCAAATTTCCACGCCATGAACGCGGGGCCATTATCCCTGATTTGTAGCATAGCGTTCAGTTTTCTCAACCATCTAGCACTTTTTCACTTGATACTACCGACAAAATCAGTCATCGTAGCTAGTGTAATGGACGCTAACCTATAAAAGATCAATTGCCCGCGGGCGTGGGTTCAATATTAGATCTTACTTCCAGACGCGTTAGTAGGAGTCAGATTGTGCACCAAGATAAAGACATTGATCCAGTACATCATCTACATCGGCTAAGCACGAACATGTATATAATACATTGTTCAGAATCAGGCCCGTCTCAAGAGTCTTGAAGTTAGTCGAGAGGTCTAAGTAGTTGATAATTACATATTTACGTTGAACGTGATTGTTTTCAGGGTCATTCTATAAATGGGATTAGTTATTCTATGCCTTACAATGGAAATATTACCTACACCATAGAAGTTTCCTATAACGATTACTCTGGATACTAACAATTGTTTTCAATCAAAGCCAGTAGTATTCAGTACTTTCGATTATATTACAACTTTTCACAATGTGTTATAAGAACTTCTATATCTATGAGGGCTGCGGTTGCTCATGGGATCGGCCTAAGGTCGTACACCTCCCAGATTCGCCTTGTTCACCTCCTTACACGGGAGTAATAAATACTAAACCTGGGAAATGCCTTACGCATGGTGGATCAGGCTAAATTATTTCTACGTAATAACCTAACTCTGCTGATGAGGAACGCTGGTTTCTAACGATGCAACTGCGTGAGGATGTTACCCAAGTCTAGGAACTTAGGGTCGAGTCCAAAGCTTTGCATCTAAATGGAACTGAGGCCTTTAAAAGACTATCGCGTTACCCGTCTAAGTAGTTTGATAGTTTTGATAATACAAGAGTTAAGACGTGCTAAATTCCCTAGAGTTCTTGGAGTGTGTTCTCGCTCGTTGTTAATATTTTATAATAGTAATCTTAATAATTGATAACGATAGTTAGTACTACTTAAGAAAAAGAATTTGTTAACCACGTAAACAAAGACTAACTTGCCCTTAAAGTGAATTGACACGTAATTGATACTAAAAATAGGTTAAGAGTGTTGAGATCGACTTGCTTAGGCTATTGTTTCTGTTTAATGTTCTATAGTAGTACAAGGCTTTAACCCTGAACACTTGACGGGAGCATTCCAAATCTTACCTAGGAACTAACGATCCTACTAAATACAACTATTCCAAGTCCCGGGGATATGTTGTCCTTCACCGCCCCTTGGCGATAGTATGGGGTAGGTATGCTATGCCTTGCTTCATGTAGTAGGTTGATATTTCTACTTTTCCCTTCTGAATTAACATCTTAAGCTTCAACTACCCTTTTATAACAGGAATACGAGAAATCTTGCCCCTTTATGCCATCATGTTCTTTGCCCATCCGAGCTAGCCTCTTATGAGGATTTATGAGTGCAAGAATAAGCCACCGTGAGCCGAATTCGTTGCCGTCCAATCAGCTTATTCACCCTCCTTAATAGGCAATACTCCGAACTACCTAACCATGTAGGCACATATATCGTTTCTTTTTAAACTATATTCAAGCAAGGACATCTATCTCTCCTAAATTATAATTTATACATTTAATTTCTAATGACGCTCCTCACAGAACCCATCTCGGACAATATGAGCAAGGAGATCACCGTGCACACGTCTTCTCTCTTCGACTCGAAGCAGAAACGCTTCGTTTCGGACCTGTCCATCTTGATTGACGTCAGCACTGGTTTAATAACAAGGGTGTATAAGCGGGACGGACCAGTCGATGATGCATCGCAACCGAACACAATTGATCTCCGGGGTCTGACTGTTCTTCCGGGCCTCGTCGACGCGCATACTCATATATTTCTACATGCATACTCCGAGGTCTCTTCCTTGAACCAGATGCGCGATGAGAGCTTCGTCGAAAGGGTAGTGAGAGCTACGAATCATGCTAAAGCCGCTTTGATGGCCGGCTACACCACCTATCGTGATTTGGGTACGGAAGGTCTAAGAGATGCCGACGTGAGCTTTAGGGATACTATTAACCGTGGCATCATACCCGGGCCTCGCATGTTCGTGGCGACGGAATGCATTGCTTCTAGCGGGGGCTATGAGATACGGGTGGAGAATGGTCTCCCTGGAGTTGGCCAAACAACGCCTCGAATATCAGACGCCGCGGATGGCGTCGATGGTGTTAGGGCGGCTGTTCGCCGGCGCTTGGGGGCTGGTGCCGATATAATTAAGTTCTATGCTGACTATAGGAAGCGAGCACTAAGGTATCCAAAGCCCAGCTGGGCAGGCGAGAAAGATATTGCCTTTCCTCCGTCTGACGACGCTATCACCGGGCAAAGAAACCCGAATATTCTCCAATTCACCCAAGAAGAGATGAATGCGATGGTGATAGAGGCAAAACGCTCAGGTGCTCCTATTTGCGCTCATGCACAGAGCCCCGATGCCGTCGTAATGGCGGCCAAGGCGGGTGTTACATCTATCGAGCACGGCTACATGCCTAGCGAAGAGCCTCTAAAGGCAATGAAGGAGAACAATACTATCTTCGTGCCAACGCTGGCAGTCTTTCAGGTTTCATTAGGGGACGACAGTCCTGTAATGAAAGCTATTCTCAAGCACATTAAAGCTGCCTTCGACTACGGAATCAAGTTCGCTGCCGGCGGCGATACGGGCGCCTTCGCGCACGGCGAGAACGTTTTTGAGCTGGAACTGATGGCGAAGGCGGGTATACCCGTCCTTGATGTCTTACAAGCAGCGACATTACACGGATGGGAAGCATGTGGTGGGGATCTATGTGGTAGAAGGTTTGGGCTGCTGGATAAAGGATTTGCGGCCGATATCATTGCTGTTGATGGCAACCCGACCGAGGACTTCAGTGCGCTGAGGAGGGTAAAGTTTGTTATGAAAGATGGGGTTGTATATAAGGAGGAGCATAAATAAGAGCTTGTTTTAAATTTACGAAGGGTTATTATGTGTCACACAGCCGATACGTACTATCAAGACGTTGATTGAGGCAATATTGATGAAATCACAGATGATGTGATCGATTATGTTGAGATCGTGAGAACGAGCAATGCAATAGTAATTACAGTAATGTCAGAGATTTCAGGTTACCTGACAGGGCTGATTAATCTGACATTAACCTTTTGTAAACTTGAGGCATAAGTGTTTAACAATGCCTTCGTGGCTCCCTCCTTGGTTCTCATCGCTGAAATGCGATGCAAGTTAATGCTACCGTGTCATAACATAGGTATATATAACAGTAGCTTCAAGTACCTAATCAATTAATACGATATTATACCTCATTTTAGCCAAGAATTCCTTAAGCGGAATTTATCCCGATCTGTTGCAGGAGCTGAAAAGTTGGATTACTTACTCGCAAGGATACTAGAGTGATATATGTAGTCAGAGCCTCGCTCTTTCTCAAGGAATCAGTGGTTACTATGTTATTATTGGCTATATACTGACGTATATACGGTGATCATGGTATTGATTTGAGATCAATTCATTTAATGTGATCTAGCGATTGGTTGCGCTCAAGTGACAGCGTAGGTTGACGTGGCAGCTGGTGCGGCTGCGCAAATTTTGCTTCAGCCTACAGGAAGAATTATCTATAGACGGCTAGGTTTTCCGATATACGCACCATGTCCTACACCTCTCCGAGCTCGTAAATCACTTATATTTCAGTCGTGGCGGCCGTTCCAACTTGGGAAGATATAGGTAGATCGTTAGAATATCTTCTTCAAGCCTATCTTCACAATTACTTGCGCTGATTACTTGTTAAAGTTCGGCAAATAATATCAACATTATCTCGATTCCCATCTTCGTGCGGTCAATATATACGCTGCTCTTTAGAGTATCCTGCATATAAAACCACCGTAGTCTCCGTTATGATTTCTCCGATGGCTGACAAGCCCAGAACTAGAACTCGCGATGAATACACGGTGGGATGGATTTGCGCATTGCCCAAAGAGCAGGTAGCGGCGATTGCTATGCTGGATGATGAGCACCCAGATATCCCCAAGTTACCGAACGATTACAACACATATACCCTAGGATCTATCGGTGGCTACAATGTTGCCATTACCTGTTTACCGAAAGGTACCGTAGGTACCAACTCAGCAGCAACGGCCGCGGCTCAGATGGTCAATACATTTCCGTGTATCAAAATTGGCCTTATGGTTGGAATTGGCGGTGGTATTCCCTCAAAGGTTAGATTGGGTGATGTTGTAGTGAGTGTGCCAACTGATGAGCATCCTGGAGTGGTGCAGTGGGATTTTGGTAAGGCAGAAGAAGGTGGCAAGTTCAGAAGAACCGGTGCTTTGAATAGACCACCACGTGCTTTACTCACCGCAGTTTCAACAATGGAGTCCAAAGTTGAAATGCTTGGGTCTAGAATACCTCAATACCTCGAAGATATGAAGACCAAGTTTCCAAATTTACACCCCAAGTACACACAGTCTAGCCAACTCAAAGACCCGCTGGTCTCTTCAGATACCTCCTCAGACAGCTATAGGACATGGCATGTTATATTCTCAATGATATATCACATGATCCTTGCTTTCCTCGGATACCACCTCGGTCGAGGGACTTTTGACACTACCAACGACGGGACTATGCAAGCCAGAAACAATGCCTCAATTGTTGCAGATATTGATCAAGGCCAAAAGAGTCCGACGGACGTACACGTTCACTATGGCCTTATTGCATCTGGCAATTCAGTAATCAAAGATGCGGCATTTCGCGACAGTATTGATGAGCGTCTCGGGGGAAACGTCTTGTGCGTCGAAATGGAGGCAGCTGGGCTGATAAATGATTTCCCTTGTATCGTCATCAGAGGTATCTGCGATTATGCTGACTCGCGCAAAAGCAAAGACTGGCAGGAATATGCGGCTTCTATAGCCGCAGGATGTGCTAAAGAGCTTCTACAGTATGTACAGCAAGCGGACGTTGATAGGGAAGTTCCAATGAAGGATATATTGCCTAAGAGTTAGTTCTATTTAGACCCTTATCTCCAGACATATATAGATCACTGATGGGAATTCTAGTACTGGAGACTGTGTCAAAAATTGGTTCCAATGTACAACATCTAAAGTCCAGGCTGGATAGAGACGAGGATATGGCCATCGTAAACTGGCTCGCATCGAACAACTCCGGCCGCCAATACAGCGATTTCATTAGCAGGCGACAACCGGAAACTGGTAAATGGTTCTTAGATTCAACAGAATACCAGAAGTGGCTGAGCGCGCCTAACCAGACGTTGTTCTGCCCGGGCATCCCTGGCTCAGGGAAAACTATCCTAGCTTCAATAGTGATTGAGAATATCCTCGAAAAGGCTGCAAAAACAGATAATATTGGAGTTGCATATGTTTACTTCAACTTTCGACGCACTGGCGAGCAGTCGCTTAATAATATTTTAAGGGGTTTGCTAAGACAGTTAGTCCAGAGTCAATCTTCTTTACACCCCGAGGTGAAATCTCTCTATGATCGAGAACAAGGAAACGGGACATCACCTTCGCTAGAAGATATTTCAGCCGCTATCAGATCCGTCTCATTATTATATTCGCAAGTCTTTATTGTTATAGATGCCCTTGATGAATGTCAAACTGGAGACGGATACCTATCATTATTCCTAGCTCGGATGTTTAGTTTGCAGGTCGACACCGGGCTAAACCTTTTTATAACTTCACGATATGACCCAGAGATCCAGGGATATTTCACGGGATGCATCTCCCGTGAGATTATTGCCAATGAAGAGGATGTACGCAAATACATCAATGGCAACATATACAAGCTTCCCAGGTTCATTAGCAAGAGCCCGGGTCTATTGGAGGAAATCGAGCGTGATATTATTTCCGCTGTAAAGGGAATGTAAGTATAGCCACCGTTATTCTATTAGTAGACAACAAATACTGACGTCAAGACAGGTTTCTTTTGGCACAACTATACGTTGACTCACTTATGGACAAGATTTCGGTGGCAGATATAAAAAATGCCTTAAAGAATCTCAAGATGAGAGCCCGCCAAGAAGGAGGGGAAGTAGAGAGTCGCGGAGTAATCAACAAGGCATATGATGAAGCAATGCAGAGGATTGATGGCCAAATGGAAGGCCATCGAATCCTTGGTAGGAAGGTTCTCTTATGGATCGCTTCCGCGAAACGGCCCCTCAAGATAACAGAACTTCAACATGCTCTCGCAGTAAAGGCCAGCAACACCGAACTCGACAGGGACAACATTATAGAGATCGAACTTATAGTGTCGGTATGCGCAGGGTTGGTTACAGTGGATGAGGCAAGTAATATTATTCGTTTGACTCATTATACGACGCAGGAATACTTTGAAGGGCGCCGAGGAGAATTATTCTCAAACGAAAAAAATCATGTTGCGACTACATGTCTCACATACCTCTCATTCGATGTCTTCGCAAGCGGGCCTTGCAGTCCATTCGATTACCGGGAGCGATTGGAGTCAAATCCATTTTACGATTATGCCGCGAACAATTGGGGATGGCATATAGATGAAGAAGCTTCCGTAAACGAGCAGGAAATTCTCAGGTTTCTTGGCGATGATGCTAAAGCCTCCGCCTCCGCCCAGGCCATAATCAAGAGTGATTATAACTATATCAGCGATATTAGTACACCTCTACACGAATGGACGAAACCTGACGGAGTGTCGGGACTGCACCTTGCTGCATGGTTTGGGTTAAAAAATGTGGTTTTGATCCTGTTAAAGAATGGGCATAATCCAATGGCCGAGGACGCATTAAAGCGTACTCCTTTACAGTGGGCAGCAGTGAGAGGTCATCAGCCGGTAGTGGATCAACTACTAGAGACAGGAAGCATTAAACCCGACCCTCCAGTGCGGGTAAGGTGGAATAGAGAAGAGCGTTCCGATGCAGACTCTCTAGGCCCGAAATCAAAAGTTACCTTGTCGCAAGGGTTGGGAGAAGTTTGGAACCTGGACATTAATAAGCGCTTAAGTGGTATTAAGGTACGCCGTCCGCAAGGGTTATCTATTAGAAACCCAAATACTACGTAAAGGATCAAAATGTAACCCATAATTATATGAGACCCCTCCGACCTTATTCTTGATAATATAAATATAACTTCAACTATTACCTATTTGATATCGTTCATTATACTTGCCATCGAAATGAAAATCATCATCACAGGCGCCACAGGATTCGTTGGGGGCGAGGTGGTCCGACAGGCGATTGCAGATGAGGGGATCACACAGGCGTTCGTCCTCACTCGCAAGCCGCTACCCGAGGACCTCTCGAAGAATACGAAACTCACCATAATCGAGCACAAGGACTTTTCCACTTACCCACCCGAGCTTTTAGCGCAGCTCACCGGCGCGGAGGGTTGCATTTGGTGAGTTTCAAATACACTAAGCACGTACCGCCAAGATCCCAGAGTGACTTACCTACACATGGCAAAGGGCCATCGGAGGCCGCGCCACGCAGTTTCCGGACGTGGAGACCGCGCGGAAAGTCTCGGTAGACTACACCCTCGCCGCGGCGAAAGCTTTTACCGAGCTGGCGTCGAAGTTGCCGGAGGTCAGTGAGTTTGCTAGGTATAGTCAACGGACTTGACTGACCGATAGAAAAAAAAGGGGTCTCAAAAATTCCGATTTGTCTTCTGTAGCGGGAAGTTTGCCGAGTGGGACCAGAATAAGAACTTGAAGATGATGAAGGATACTAGACTTATCAAGGTGAGAGCTCAGTAACTCATAACTATACAGAATCCTAAGTCTATAGTGACTTGCGTAGAAGCTGTGGAGTCTAACCGCGAATATTCAGGGACAAGTCGAGAAAGGTCTTTTTGATATCGCGGAGGCCAACAAAGATACGTTCGAGGTTTGGGCCGTGCGACCCGGTGGAATCGTGAGAAAGTACGCCGGGTTGATAAACGCGCTTACTGCTAACACGAGCGGATTCATCACGGTGGACCATCTTGCTAGGGCTATGCTGAAGATCGCGCTTAATGGCCATGCCAACCGGATTATTGAAGCTGATGAGCTTTTGAAGATCTGATTACGCTTGCGTGCTATGGAAATTGCCTTGGATGAGCTTCCTGGACTGTGACGTTTTCGTGGTGGGTGGTTGGGTGTTACCCCTGAGCAGGACATGACACTGTAGTAAGGAGATGTATATCAACGAGAATCACCCCTTTTATACATTAGTGCACCGTGTCAGTATTTAATTCTTCAATCTTAAATATTTATTGTATATGATTTAATTATCTATATTGGTTGTGAGTATGACCTAGAAATAATCTAAGTCAAGACTTAGAAATATATCTCCATAATACCCGGGATCCAACTTGACTACATATATCTAAATCATGATATATTATCTGTGTCCATCCATTATGTATAGGCATGTTACGAGAAAGATCCTATAATATGACTTAATAGAGATAAAAAGCGGGATGATAAAGAGACTAGGACACCACAATAGCCGGCCTAGAACGCCCTTAAGATTCCTCTAGCACAACACCAATCTCCTTTATAGCATGAAACACCCCAGCCGACAACTCATCACGCTCCTTCTTCACCTCTTCCATCCTAGGCCACCAGTATTCCTCTATAAACCTATTCAGTGGCACACCCATCTCTCGTAGCTTTGCCTCAAACTCCTTCATTAAAGAGTCCAGCTGTTCTGCTAGATATCGGTCTTCCTCCCGTATTTCTTCGACCTCTGCTGGCTCCATGAGAGCGAGAAGCCCTTGTTCAACAAGGTTTTGAAGGCTATTGAAACGTCTGTAGTTACAGCAGGTATGCTTCATACCAAGTCTCTGAAATGTCATGACGCGGATCAAGTCTAATACTACTGTACATTGATCATAGCTAATCATTCTTCGCTCGAATATTCTCAGCACATCTGATTCTGCTATATGGATATAAGAGCCGCAAGAGTCATATAATCCACGCGCATACTTCGAAGCCGAAGTACACCCACCAAGAGAGCAATAGCAAAGACAAGAATCTGCGTATTCGTCTTGAAGTAGCTTTACGAATCGATATCGAACTTCTGTGGACAAGTTCATATTCATATTTCCCGAAAAGAATGATGCACGACCTAGGTTATAAAATACTTTATGCATAGTTGGGTAAACTCGCGCCAGTCCTTGTGGATTCGATACGAAGTTAAAACGCCCAGGTATAGGAATTGGCGTATGGAGGTCAGCACCGTGATCTTCGAACCAGCAGACCACCTCTAAACAGGAAGCGAAATTTGTATAGTGGAATGGTAGGGTCATTAGTGGGGTATGTCCAGCAATTTTTGTATCTGTCCTGTGAAACCCGGCGTCGAATAACTCCCGGGCCATGAAAGGAGTGTAAGCGAGCCGATGGTAGACGGGACTGATTTCTGGAATGTGGTAGATGACAGGTATTGGGACTTGCCGTCGCCCGAGGGCCTTGGCAACGTCCAATGCTTTATCGTCAAGATCGAGGACTTCATCCTCCCTCAATCTAAGCTTGTTGATAATCTCAACTGGAAGATTTTGCAGTGCAAGCTTCAACAATCCGGTTTGTCGCTGTGCGAGATATGTGATTACGATTTGCACCACCCTCCGTCTTTCATCTCCTATAACTCCAAGGCAACCGATTATCTGTCCCGTAATAGTCGCACCAGCATCAAGTAACAGTTGGACGGAATCTGATTCATCTAACATTATTGCGTATAGCAAAGCGGCATGTCCGTATGCATCTTCTTTATTGATTATAGATTTTATAGTCAAGCCCACGGATTTGATTAGAGTCGAAATGCCTTCAGGCCAGTTGGCTGCTAAGTGCAATGCTGTTTGGCCATCCCTGGTGCGTTCGTATATCAGAGAAGGGTCGGCACGAAGGCGAACGAAGCTAGATCCTGAGCGAAGTAGTACTTCATACAAGAATTCAGTGCAACTAAAGCCTAAGGGAGTCGATGACAATGAGTATCGCGTAATATAAAACGGAGATGGTCTAACGGTCTTACTATCATATATATTGGTATTATTCAAGGATAAGACGTTAATAATATCATCGGGTTTGTAGCTTTCGAGGGTCGTAGCTTCCATATTTATTAACATATTGGCTATATAGGTCCGTGTGACTGAGGTGGTATTCTTGAAAGGTATAACAGGAGTGATTGCGGTTCGCAGAGGTGTTCTAGAGTATCGTTAGCTAGTGTCCTGAGGTCATCTACATCTATGAAACTGGTAAACTTTACTGCCCATATTTGTCAACCTCATTGATCGGCACTCCCATAAGAACCAAAGCGCTTGCGAACTGCAAAAAGATAGTTGATAATTCTTCGTCTTTTGTTGAATTCGACGAATCGAGAAACAAATACATCGAGCGTATAAAAAACTAAGCTTTCAAATCTTAGTAACTAGGTCATCTACAGTAAGATCTAGCGATGGTTATCAGACGGCCAATTGGTTCAACGTACATGCATCAAGTTCTCTCCTGATTCATTCACGTCCGTCGGCCACCCCCTACCGTTTGTAAATATTTGTTGAAGTTCAACTAAGTAATCTTGGAGGGTGCTTTTCATTTCTTGTATGGTGATTGCCATTCTGGAGTGCAACATGAAACTTATGCCTGACATGATCGTAAACGCAGGAGCGTCGTATGGTACAGTAGCTCGAAGGGTGAGATTGCGCTGTATTTGCCAACTCCGAGCCCACGCTAGTGGAGAATATTCGACTTGCCATGTCCAGATAACTTGGCGCCGGAAAGCTTGAAAACTCATGGAGAAAGTCCGTTTCTTCTTATTGGTAAACGAATACGGGCAGTCTTTTCGATGTCGCGTACTTGAGTACCCGTGCTGCGCTTTTGGACAATCGCAGAGAACAGCTCTTCCAAACATTACCGAAGATGGTGTCCTCGTAGCGCTTCTATCTTGGCGAGTATCGTTCATGCTATATAAATCTAGTGCTATTCGGTTTTCGGCTGAGGTACTTGTTGCCTGTGCCTTACTCTGGTTTTGTAGTGTCTGGATAACCTGGTCTAGTTGATGAGCAATAGCTGACACCATACTGCTCTCGGTTTTCTGAAGGCTTCGTTGAAACGAATATTCCAGCTGGCCGACGCCATCACGTATCGTGCTAGTCACTGCACTGTTGACATCCGAGATAGAAGATTGAAGCTGTCTAGCTGCGGAGTCGACAGCTGTGGTAACTTGCGCAAATTCAAGAATCATTGTACACCTTATGTCTCGAGTAAGATCGCTCCATAGCAAAATAAATTAGTAAGGAGGGCTAGATGCGAGTCCGGTACTTACAGATTAGCCAATTGCAAGTGCCCCAGCAATCTGGCATTGAATTCTTGAAGCTGAGAACGACAATCATCAAACCTCCCTTTGTCAAACGGATATTTCAAGTTATGAAGGAGTTCCCGGCCACGTCCTTTGAAGGTCTGACCATGCTTCGAACTGGCGTATTTCGCATTCATCCGCTTGAAATCCCGCAGACAGGCGTCGCAAGCATCTTGACAATTTTGCAATGAAGTAGTGATGTCTCTACTAGGGCTCTGTGGTCCAGTGTTTCGATTCTCAATAAGGCTGAGCAATGATTCAAGGTCTTGGGCGTGTTGCGTCAATTTGACGAGATCTGTATCTTGGGATTTGTAGTCTCTACAATATTGAATCAGTCCGCCCGAAACCGCCAGGCCAAGGGAAATGAGACCGGCAACGCCAGTCGCGATGGAAAAAGGGTCCATGGATGTGGTTGTGTTTCAGAGGATAGGGGAGGGGTGTGAAATGAAGGGGGAAACTTCTGGTACGATTAGACTACCTAAGGTAAGGAGTTCCCCCTTCAAATATCAGGTATAGTCTAAGGCGCCTCGCCTTATGATTCGTAAATCGTGAGGCTGATTGGGCTTTTATCGCTGATTCTGCAACCTATTAGAGCTCTTACAAGATATGCTGTGTAATCCTAAGCTGAATAAAGTACCAACGACGGCTCTGGTAAAAATGCCTAACAGCACTGCTACGTCGTAGAGCCTACTTCTACGGTCGGCTGTGCACTCCCTTTGATGAAATCGGCCATAGCGGTGCCCTTACTCCTAATATACCAACTTTTCGGAACGAGGATGTGCAGTATTTCCCACACTTTTTAGTAGTAGGTAGACCATAGGTTATATTGCCTTAGGTTGCTAGCAAGCTAGCAATCTTGGAGATATTAAGCCCCCAGGGCAATGTAGCTTATGTGACGGTGTTTAAGTTACTTGATACAAGGACCAATGCTCGAAAGGAGAGATGAGATGTATTCTGTAAGGTCTTAAAAATCAAAACACTATTGCATTAATAAATGTACGCTGTTGCATATATTATGTAATGACATTATGACATTACATAACTTGGATTGTGATACATCAGAAATCAGATATGTCAAGCGCGGACTCGGACAAAGAGTAGAAGCAGGCTGTAGGTACCTATGAGGGGCTATGGCTTCTACGTTACACAATTATCTGCAATAACTGATAGCAGTTGAATCGTATTGGTTCGGAACGGAAACATGCATTCTCAAACGTCACTTCCGGAGGAAAGAGAAAATGACAAGGTTGGGCCTCAATCCAAATGCACCTGCATTCTTCTTCCACTTTGAATTCAAATAAACTTTTCCCTTCGGGTTCATCCTCATTTAGGTATATCTAAAGCTGAAGTCAATTGACTAGAATTTGAGCTATTCAACTCCACCATGGTCAACTTGGCAATTGCCTTCCCTATTGTTAGTAGCTTCATCCTCTTTCCTATCATCAATTTTAAGCTAACGTGTATTTAAAACAGGTGCTGCTCGCATTGGCGGCGGTCGCAATGTAAATTATTCGCTTTTTTTTTCTGGCGTATTTACACACTCGGTTGCTACGACTAACATATCGCAGCTATGTACAGGTTACCTCGAGCAACCTCTTTCTCCCCATATCGACCGGTACTACCGTCCTCACAATTATTTTACCGTTTATAGCAGCCGCCAACATCTTCTATACGCCGCTACTTCGCCGACTGTTCCAGCAGAGAGTTGCGTCGTCGCCTACGCTGTTACGGTTCTTGCCCGTAACCCCTCCGGTCTTGCAGGCCATACTGACGGTGGTTCTGGCTACCCTCGCAGCCGAGGGCTTCTCGTCGGGCCAGGTGATCGAATGTAGTCTAGAGAGGAACTGGCAACGTCTATGGAGCGCACATGATAACAGAGCTATTCAACGCATACAGGATACTTTCGATTGTTGCGGCCTCCGCTCCCTCGTGGATCGCAGTGCGCCCAATGGCCGGTGTAGGGAGCTACACGATGATAGAAGCGACTCCTGCCTCGTCCCCTGGCGTGCTACGAGTAAGTAATACCGACGATTCATTGAGCTAATCGGAGAACTGTTTATAATTACTAACTATTGTAGTGGAGCGTAGTGCCGGGCTCGAGTTCGGCGTGGCGGTAGCCGTCGGCATTGTTCAGGTAATCGCTATTATCTACTGTTTTCCCTCCCTTTACTAATTCCAGGTGTAGTTAATCCACCTCGTACTCTTTGGACTACGTAACTCGGGAAGTAATGGCATAGCTGGCTACAGACGCTTTGTTGGCTCTGATACTCGCGAAGCCTTATTAGAGAACGGGACGGTGGACGAAGACGATGGAGATCAGATTGAGGGTGACGGCGAGAATGGTCGCAACCGTTCTAACCATGGCACCCCTGAAGACGGGGCGAACCATAGGCTCGAGCCATCTGGCCTTGGCGAAGAAGGAAATAACTGGAGATGATTGTCCTTGTTGACCATCCCAGCAGAGGATGATTGGTTATAGCATAGGCCTCTCGGAGGACCGAGAACACTGATGTCAACAGAACAAGTTTGTAAAATAGGGGAACAACTAATAGTCAAGGTCGTAATGCTTATAAGGGCTAGTACTGCATCGCTATACCGCTGAGAGAGTAATGGCTATAATGAAGGATAGGTGATAGATTGGCGCAATACCAAGAGACTTATTTTTATCAATGGCTACCTACTTACCTGTTATGACGTATTTAAACCCTCGGAGGCGGGCATGCCACCGGTATGGTCCTAGGTAGGACCTCAGGGGTCAGGGGGTTTGACCCTCCAGTGGCAGTGCGGCCCCATCCCGTGTACGGCGGCGCCAAAACACACATACCAAATTAGGATGTCCGTTATCTTCTGATTCGTCGGTACTTGATTCTACATAGTACTAGTTTCGTCCCGGTCAAGTCGTATCTTCGTATCTTTTAGGATGGGTAAGTGATGGACGATCAGTACATCTAGGTAAATCCCGTTACCCGTATCTCGTTAGCCAAATATAATCACAGCATTCTCTATATGACCTTTTCATAGGTCTATGATAGATGAGTTCTTTGCGCGGATTCAGTAGGCAAACTACATTTCTTGACAGATGCGTATTGGAAGACATCGTGGTAGGCGGCTGTCAGGGTATAGTGGGTCAGGGGTGGCTACAGGGGTCTATCTACAGTACCTTAAGAGGATAGAAGGCCAGGTGTTACTAGTTCAATAAATCTATGTATTACTGTCTACCTAACCTACCCTAGACACTCGCTCTGTGTATGACTATCATCAACGGGCATTAATCCTGACAGTGGCCGCAGAGACGGTCTATTAATAATGCAATGCGGAAAACACATATATGTAATTGGATAATTATGGTAGAGCTTGACGTCATTTAAAGTCCATGATGTTTACTAGGATAGGTTCCTTTTAAGAGATAGTAACCTTGGTGCAAGATATCTTTAATTGTTTACCATGCGTAACCCACTCGTTAATTAAACCCATATTAAGCCACCTTTCTTTTATTAAAAATCACCTATTTTTAATATATCGTTTAAAATTAATTTTAATAATAAAAATATAAGATTTTATATATATAATAATTTAAGGTTAATTTAAAAAATATTATTAATTTTACGTTAATTAAACTTATATTTATTAAAATATTAAATATTAAATATATTTTTAAATTATATATATATAACTTTAAATATAAATAAATTTTAAATAAAAAATAATTAATTTTAATTAATTTTATATATATTATAATTTTTTATATTAAAAATAATATAATTAATAT